AAGAGTTTTTTGAAGACTTCAGTACTACAAGCATTTCGGATAGAAATAGGAAGATTATTCCACAGTTTTGGAGCAGAGGAAGAGAAAGATTTATCACCAGCAAGTTTGTTGGTTTGGGAACAGATAGACAGGAACCGGAAACAGAACGGAGAGAATAGGTAGAGGTTAAGAAAATCAACAGGCAGGAGATATAACTAGAATTGGAGGACTGCAGTGTATTAAATGTCAGAACTAATATGCGGAACAGGATTCTCTGTGACACTGGAAGCCAGTGAAGATGATTAAAAAGAGGAGTGATGTGACAATATTTGGGTCTGCAACATACAAGGCAAGCACACTTATTTTGAAGTTTCTGAATACGACTTAAATTATATTTACTGATACCATAGAGTAGTGAATTACAGTAGTCAAGCCTGGAGAGTAATAGGGCACGAACAACATTATGAGGTTTCAAAATCAAGAAATTTGCGGATGCGGGACAAACATACCTTGTGATCATATGGGCATACTATTCTTTAGCATTAATACGAATACAAATTATGACATTTAAAAAAATAATTTTTAGTTGCTTAAAATTTCAATGGATTACAGTTACTGAGTATTTTGATTCAGTTACTACCACGTTCACATGTCTTAAGTCATTCGCGAGTGGACGGACTCGAGAGCTGGCTCAAGAGCAGTTTTGGTCGTGGGTGACCCATGACAAGCCGCTCTCGATTGACTCTCGATGCAGCTTGCTCTCGATCCATGTGAACAGCCGCTTGCAATGGGTCGCCAGTGAGCTGTGACCTCTTTTGTGTGAAAGCCAATCAGAACAAGCATCTCTCCCGGGTCAAAGTTTGCGCTTCTTTGCTGTTAAGAATGCTATTTTCACAATCATTGCAGTTTTGGCTGTTGTATGTTATTTTTCATGTCAGCTCCAACTGGATTTGGCCTGGGCCTGTTGGACCTAGGAAGAAATTAGTGACTTGATAGAGATTTGGGCAGAAGATTAAAATGTTAGTGGAAGACAAGAAATCAAAGAACAAGACAGAAATATTATGAGAAAATCGCAGCTAGATTTTCGTTTGTACCAGGCCACTCGCCGACGACGGCACGGCAAATTCAAACAAAGTTGCAGGACCTAAGAAAACGGTACAAACAGTTTTATCTAGAGGAGGTGAATAAATTGGGATCTTGGGCCCCAAACTGGCTGCTTTACCACTGAATTGGAAACATCGGCGATTGCTCAAGAATGTCAGGTGAGGACTGTTGGAGGATCGTTGATGCCAACTCGCCACCCAGGCCTAGGATTAGAAATCGCAGGCATAGCCTAGCATGTCTACAACCAATTGGGGATGCAACGTAAATTTATTTCCGGTCACCTCTAAAGGGGTTGCGAACGCAATTTAGCCATTTTTTAATCTAACACATTCTCGCTCACAACCCAGCGCCTCAACCGCTCGCGATCAATGGAGACATGTGAACGTGACTTAAATGATGCTATCTTTGCATAGGCAGGTTAGGAATATACAGGAGATTAATAAAATATACAATTAAAACTAAGCCAACAACACTGTAAAAGTTTGCTTGAATTTTGCAAGTGTAAAGGATTGAAAACTTATACTGTAAAACCTTGAAAAGAAGCCCAATGGGCTTAATATCAAGAAGAAGCCAATCTTAAAAGCAATTTCGAAAAGAAGCCCATGGGCTTCTAATGAAGATAGTATGGGCTTTTTGTCGAGATAGTACTTACAATCAGGCTAGACTGACATTATCTTTGGTGATTATGATAGCGTGTCATTATCAATATTATTTTATCGTTAGAAGTAAATGCAGTATAGAAGCAATTTCAAATATTTACAGCATTCATTTTGATTGAGATGCAAGACAATACGATGCAGGAAATCTTTTGTTTATAATTCAACACATGTTTACAGAGATAGTTTGTATATTGTTCTGTATAATTTATAAGTCTTTCACGTATATCATTTTCTTAAAGTGCAACTAATCCTGTTCAATTTATTTCATACTGTATTATTTATGTATTGTGTTAAGCATCAAGGATACCTTGTTTTGTGGTCATGACAATCAAGTTTATCTTATCTTATCTTAATTTCGTGAAGAAGGGCATCCAAGATTCCTAAAAAAAAAAGAAGCCCAAGGCTTCTATTTTTCTGTATATTCATAATAAATCATTCTTAATATAATTCTCAGCTGGATTGATAACACAGATTTTAATAAAGATAAATTGTACTTTATTTTCATAATCCAAACAAGCAGATATTCAATTCTTTAGCATAATGCAATACTAAGGTATAATAAAAAATATGAAAAATAAGAAAATTAATTATTTTTTCAAATATTGAACAATTTGAAAAATTAGACAAATACTCTAGGATTAATGAAAGTACATTATCCTAAAAAATATTTTAAAAGATATTTTATCTGTGTTGTGGTAATGAACTTTAAGAATATTAACCATAATTAATACAGCATACATTACTTTGGGTTGAAAAAAGTAATGATCCTTTTATCAAAAATTGACTATTAGACAAATTTCTTTTTCATGAAATCCTCACCTTTCCCTGATAAAAACCATCTTGCCGCTTCTGGCCATATATAGTCAGAATATCGCCTTCCTCAAAAGCTAACTCGTATGCCGGAAAGTCGTTGGGTGAGTGTTTCTCTGGGATGTACTCATATACGGCGATGAACTAAAAAAATAAATTAAGGTACAATAATAATTAGTCAGTATTAATCAAATTACTCTCTGACTATTTTTTCTTCATAATATAGACATATTTTGATTATATTAGGAATTATCATAAATAGCTAAAGTTTGTGCAGGGTTTTGCGGCACTTAAACTAAAGATGTTTGTGGTGAAAAACACACTGCTGGTGTAGCTAGGTATGTGATTTAGCTTATACTGATTCAAACTTCTACCTCATTGAATATTACTCTTACGTATATAGCTACCAACCCGAGAGATTTGAAATGCATGACTACACCAGTTGGGTGGAGAGGGGAACCAGGGCCCTGGGGTCCAGGGGCGGAACCCTGGTGGGGGCCAGGGTTCCAGTCACATAATCAACGGTTGGTTGTGACAATGAACGCGCAAGACCGCACGTGACTACTAGATTCCACTAAGTGCGTGGTTGGCTGGGTTGTTTTGGTTGGGAAAGAGAAATTTTCTCGGTGAATTGATTCTCGAACGAGATAACGAAAGCTCTCTAATGACTCAAGCTACTACATGACCTTTTTATATTTCTAATAAAACCAATTTCTTCTAATTTAAAATACATCTCCCCTGAATTCGTGAAATTCGTTATCACACATAGACTTGTGCTAAATGCGTGACAAATTTATGACCACGCGCATGTTTCTGCAAAATGCGTGTTGCATCCTAAATCACTTTGATATGTGGGATCGTCCCGCAAGATGTGAGACAGTTAGTAAATATAGAGTACTACAGTGTTGCATCACGATACCATGTGATACTACTCTGTTGCTATTGTTGCAAAAAGAATTCAACCGGACACTATTTTCTTCACTGACAAACCATTGATCCCAATTTCTAACGTAATTATTAAAATGTTGTATCTTACTTTTTTTTTTTGTAAATTTTAATTGATGATTAAATGTGTGTTCGATAACTAATACAATGTGATGTTTTGTGTTTTTAGTACATTTTGAGGGTAAAATATTAGATTTTAAAATGCCTATTCCATAAAGCCTATGAAGTCATTCAGGCGTAATGAATGGTAACCAACGTCTGTTGACAACAGAGATCACCACCTGGCATCGTGACGACACAACTGGGGTACTTTATGTACATACTAACTTTTTATATACAGTGTGACTCAAACACCTGCTAATTAGACCACAGGGCATGCAAGCTTATTAAAACTCAGTGGAATGGCAAGTGAAATGGCAAGACAAGTGGTCGAGCAGTAGGGCAGTGTGCCACTAACTACAGCCTTAACATTAACTCTGGTTCGAGCCAATCCTCGCCCAGGGTTTGGTTGGTTGCTGGAACTATAAGGACTTAAAATGGAGGTCGAGTGTACACGTGGCTTGTGTGCACTGTAAAGAACCCATTGCATCTTTCGGAAGAGTAGGAGGTTACCCTGATGCTATGGTTCATTTCAGCCCTTGTCGTTGTGGAATGATGGGAACATGTAGCTACTATAAGCATCTCTTTATGGTAGCTACAGGTAGTCACGGTCCACACCCATACGCAATTCAGCACAATGACACTGCAAGGTACAGGTTATTTGCCTACATTCACCTATCTTAATGTTGAATGTGTGTGTTCCCATAGAAACTTGTCAATTTTGAATATTATGTACATTATTAGATATTTACCATTTCTTAAGTTGAATGGCCAAGCGGTTAAGCCAGGGGCGCCGCAATCTACAGCCATAATATCGGCACTGGTTCAAACGGCATGCTCACCTATGGTTCTGGTGGTGGAACAAGTCTTTTCAGATAAGGACTATAAACTGTAGGTCCAGTGTAAAACATTTGGCTAGTGTGCACTTAAAAGAATCCAGTACATCTTTCAAGACGAGTAGGGGGTTACCCTGGTGTACTGATCTATACAGCCCCTGTTGTGGACAGACGAGAGTAGCTGGTCCCGGTTCAGGGGGACCGGCCCTAGTCCCCACTTTTGGAAAGAAAAAAAAAAAAGACAGAAAAAGAAAAAAATTGATTGCACAAAATGCTAGAGGCTATTTTCGGGTGTCTAGAAAACAAAAATTCTGAGGGGGCGTGCCCCCGGACCCCCTAGGGCGGTGTTATCTCAATCGGCCCCCAATCTCGGACATCTCTGGATCTGCCTCTGGGGTTTACCGGGTAGCTCAGACATGAAAAGACCCTTGGTGGAGAAGTATTGTAATTTACTGTAAGAGCTATTCCACACCTTGAATGCTTTGAGACTGTTTCAGTATAAAGCGCTATATAAATCTAACTACTGTACATACATTACATTACATTAATAAAAAATAACTATTGAACTTCCTAAGCCTTATGATATGATTTGGTTTCCATCTGGAGGGTATTGTGTTGGAATCTAAAGGGGGATGGGAACAATAAGTTTTCATCACATATTTAAAGAGCATTATGTTTCATCGCCATCCAGTAATTAAAGAATTAACTGGAGCATGACTGACTTAAAAAATGTCAGGAGTTTATTAACTACACTGTTTCGGAAAGATTAATACATTGTAGACGATTATTATTATCATAGTAATGTAAAATGATGTGTCTGCTCCCAATAAACAGTTGTGGTTGTGAATTTTATGTGAGTTTAATAAAACTGAAATACCAATATAAAACAACAATATACAATTAAAGCACCAAACCTACTTAAGTATATGTGACCAGGTCTGGCAAAACCAGGAAAAATCCTGCATGAATTCTTTAAAACAGTGTTTATTTAATGGAAATTGGTTGAGTATTAGCAAAGTTATGAATATTTAATTCACTGGATATCAGCCATGTTGGTTTTGAGAAAACAGTTTCCAAAGATTCCCAAATCAATAGTTTATTATTAAGATTTGTATTTTGAAAATAACTTGAACATACTTTTCAGTTACATTTAGTGATTGATATTTTGCAGAATTGGTCTCCAATATATCTGGTTTTATCAAAAAACATGAAAATGTTCAAAATTTTGATTCTCAAATGTTTTGGGTACTTGTGGGAAATTAAAAATTGTTACAAATGGTGGGTTTTGCCAGAGCCAGTCACTGATGTACACATCTATAAATTATAAAAAAAAAAAAAAAATTAGTATAAATATTAAATATTCTGTTTCCTAGAAGTGAATACACTGTACACAATTATTATTATCATCATGGTAATATAAACTGATATGTCCACTTCTCATAAACAGTTGTGTTTCTGAATTTTATGCAAGTATAATCAAACTGAAATACCAATATAAAACAACAATATACAATTAAAGCACCACAACTAATTAAGTATATGTACACATCTATACATTATAAAAAAAATATCAGGAGTTAAATATTCTGCTTCCTAAAGATGAATACATTGCACACAATTATTATTACCATGGTTAATATAAAATTATATGTCCGCTTCTCGTAAACAGTTGTGTTTCTGAATTTTAAGTAGGTTTAATCAAACTGAAATACCAATATAAAACAACAATACAAAGTACTAAACCTAATTAAGGATGTACACTATACATTATCATGAACATTATCAATATTAGGGGCAGTATACAAACAACTCATAAAAATATGAGTAAATTTATAGAATGAATATTGATAAAGCAATCCATGGAAAGATAGATAGTAATAAAAATTATATAAGTTGGTGTCACAGTATTTAGCACATTGACTTGCATATGCTTCAAATAATTACCATATTTAATTAAAACCCATTAGAAAACAACCATCTAAGGAACAGATACTCAGCTTCTTAGATGAAGTATGAAGATGAAAAAATGAAGTTTCATATTTTCTAATTTGATAAGATTATTACTTGTATAACATTCTGAGTTGATTTACATACATTAGAATTGTCTTTGAGGCATGTTTGGTAAGGCCATTCATCAGAATTCATAACAACAAAGTTCAGTCGTTGAATATCTTTATGTGATTGTTTCACTCTGTTTTTTAGACATATAAATTTCATAATGACCATATTCTGGTTTGATCTAAATTAATTCAGAAACCAAAGAATTACAATTTAATCTTACTACTCTTTCTATACCAATAAGTTCTGGTTCTGGTTGGCAAATTGATAATATTTGCACGGTTTTACTAGTTTATTTTTCAATTGTCTCATGGAAATTTGTGATGATGGGTATCACCATGCTGATAAAATCAGATGTGTTAAGATAACTCATTTAACCAGATCGCCCTGATGAATAGCTCCCTCATAGATCATAATTACTAATCCTTATTTAACACTCTGACCGCCAGGGGTTTGAAAAAATTCTATCGGCCACCGCCAGACATTTTAGTGAATTTTAACACATTTCCGAAGCTGTGCGTATGTGATCAGATTGATATGTAATGAATACTACAAGAATTACAAACATTTTAGCTTTACTATGGTACCAAACACTTTATCAATCTGTAACCCATAACAGTAAAATGAAAATAACTCTCTTTTGGAGATTTACGCAATTTCGCACAACAAAGCTGAGATAATCGCGATTGTGTGGAAGTACATCAATACCGCTACGCTCAATGTAAACAAACAAATAGTGAAATACTTACAGTCCAGACTAAATATTGTGTTCAAATTTTTAGTACATATTGGCAATTACCCCATCTATCAGATTCCGTAAAGGAGATCTCTGTGTTTGGCGGCCAAGCGTTGCATTACCAAACATGGTGTTCTCCGTATTTGGAGGGCAGAGCGTTAAGAGTATAATACAACAGATGGCAAGGAGAAGCCCCAAAACAAGTCTTATATTTTGAAAAATTTAGTCTGTGTTTACTCATGTCTTTCAAATTCTAGAATCAAGGTACTGTATATAGCTCTTTCACTTCAACTTACCAATCTCTCCTCCTGATCTTCGCTAAAGACCGAAGACCCTTCAGTTGTTGTTAACTCATGAAAAGAATCTGTTGCTGCAGAATCTGAGTGTGTGGAGTAAGGAACTGCTAGAATGTTGTAGTTTGTGTGTACAATTCTGGAATGAAGACCAGTGTCTGACATCGTCTGGATGCCAAAGGTCACAGGTTTGTTAAGGTCAACACCATCGACAAGTGCCTGAAGGAATAATTAAAAAATAGTATGATATTTCTTGGATGGCAAGTAAAATATTTAGGTTTTCAAAATCTTGAAAAAAAATGTATTTAAAAAACCCTCCACAGATAATCATTAAAGCATTTTTAATGGTTTTATTTGGAATCACTTGATTGTTTTGAATTTGTTTAAAATTTAACCATTTTTTTAAGGTAAATTCAATATTATACGTGGTTCAAATGAAATGTTTAAAAATGTTAATTATTAGTAACAAGTTGTAACAACTTCCGAGACATTATATTCATTTTACACACACACAATAATCAGAACCATGTGAAATCTCAATAAAATCTAAATTCATCTATCAATCAGAAATTAAAACCAACAAACTAGATTCAAATCAAATCGAAAAATTTTAGTTGTTGATTTTTTGTAGAATTTACTGATGTACATACTGTAAATGCTTGAATAAGTGCCGCTATGGAATAGGCGGCACTCTCGAATAAGCGCAGCACCAAACATGTTTTTTTTGCTAAGCGCCGCTCTCGAATAAGCCTTGCAGTGATTAATCGAGATAGATATATCACCCTGTGTGTAATGAAACACTTTGAGGAACAAGGTTTTAAATACAATGTATAGTGTTAAAATAAGTAAACACAATGAGGACACAAGCATTTCTTTATAAACTTTTATTTGCGATGACGTAGGTGATAGGCAAACCAAACTATGGGAATACGTGGAATAGTAACAGGGGAACGGGCAAGGGAAGCATCACGCCAATAAGCACTGCACTAAAGACTCCAAAAAATGTTAAAATCACTGTGGCGCTTATTCAAGCATTTACGGTACTGACACATGTCCAAGTTTGTTTATACCAACTATTAAATCTATAGTACGTCAGTAGACATGTGTTTAAGCACAGATGTTTTTGGATCCACGATTTAATAGCGAAAAATGTAAATCAAACAAAGAATGACTGATTTAATGATTAGGTATCTATCTAAATTCATGTATCCATCAGAAACCAACCACAAAAGTAGATTCAATTAAAATTTTTAGCTGTAGATTTTTGTTTAGAATTTATCGATGTACATCCTGGCATGTTTAGGTCTGTTTATACCAACAGATATTTTTGGATCCATGGTTAAATAACGAAAAATGTGAATCAAATAATGACTCACTCAAAGCCAAACTTATGTAATGATTATACACTCTTAAACTGAATAAGTTTTTATCATAACTCAAACCAACTCTTCATATTCTCCAAACCATTTCCAATCAATTTAATATAGTAGAGCATTATTATCTGATCTCTTTTCACAATTCTTTGATATTAAAATCTATTTCAAATTTGAATAATCAAAATTAGCGTTACCTTCTTCAGGTTGGCGTCACTGACAAACTGGCGTTGTTGCCCATTAACATAGAGTTTGTAACCAACAACTTGTGAGTTGTTGCTATGACACGTCCTATCCATTGCTGGTGGTATCCACGTCAACAGAATGCCATGTTTACCAAATTGCTTAGCAACCGAAAACTGTGTGGGAGGCTCAGGTGGCTCTATTTTAAAAGAAAACAATGTTGAGGTTCATCAAAAATTAAACATGCTAATAGGCATATGAAAGTCAAAATGTTATAATACAATTTCAGCTCACATTAATCCTTATGCACTGTCTAGACATTTTTAAACAATAATTTAAACAAATGCCAAAGGAAACTTGTCTATTAAAACTGGTACATCACTTAAGCCCCACAACATGGTGTTAGTGGCTTCGCTAAAACCAGCCAATGAGCAATCCTACTATTATAGTAGAGATAAGTGGTCTGGATGGGGTTTTAGAAATGTCAACAATCGGAGATCATCATTCTGTTATTAGGTGATACAACACATAGTCTCAGTAGCACTGCCCTCTTAAAATGAATTGACTCAATTTTTTTGGATTTACATGTGCAATCGAAACATTTTTATTTACGTGTTCTGGGATGAAGCAAGTCTTTATTATGAGGCCTATGGAGCGGATTTTTTTTATGGCAAAAATTAAAAAAAACCTGTTCACCTACGGGAATTAAACCTAAGACTCGTGTATTAAAAGAAATCAAAGCCATTGCAGTCTGAGCTAATTCCATAGCCTAATATTGCAGGAAACACTACAAAGTGACACACTATCATCAAAATCTAGAGTATGTTTAATAATTGGGTGTAGCCCCCAAGCTTCTTACGTTCAGGTACAAACATTCTGATTCAGGACAGCACAGCACAGAGGCAATATTTGCGACGTCCCACGCTATAAAAGACAGGAATGAAGAGCGTCACCTTAACGCCCTACAGCTGAAAAGGTTAACCACCAACCCACAGTTTCGCTCAGTTCAGTTCTGTGGACAGTATGTTTCTCTCAAACATTTAAGCACAGTATTATGAAATATTTACCTGCTTGTATGGAGTGTTTATTCCCAGACCTAATGTGTCCATTAGTTGTTGATTTCCCCCTGCCTCCTGAAATATCTGGCATGTCAATACCAGAGTGCATTGTGGGATTTCTTGTGACATTTGTGTGATTCAGGTGCAGGTTCCTTGGCTGTGCTGCAAGTACTGGTCTTGATGATGGTTCTGGTAAAACTCTGGTTAAACCACTTGAAAGATCCCGTGTATTTAATTGGCCAAGATATGCCATGTCTTGTCGAGGGCTGACACCGTTCGAGGATGGAACAGCATTCCGCATTGTAACTGGTCCATTTGCTCTGTTACCTGGAAGTCCATTAAATGATAAGGGGTTATGTTGAGACAAGTTTGGATTAGAAGTATTGTTGAGATATGCGTCTGAGTTTATCAAACCATTACTATGTCCATTAATTTGCATATTCTGTTCAGGTGTAACTGTGGACAGGTGGTTATTGCTTCTGGAATTCACTTTATTTTGTGGAGTTCCTTTTGTAACAGGTGAGTTTGAGGTAATTCCTGATGACAATACTGGATCTACAGAGCTCTGATAAGGAACATCATAATGACTAACATGTGACTCCTGTAGTTCTTGATGCATTTGAACAATCCGTTCAGGACTCGAATTCAGATGCACTGACGGTTGCTAAAAAAGTATATAAAAATAAAACATTTTAGGAATTCAAACCTAATAATTTATAGATTAGAATTTCAAATAAAAAATAATTTTTCTATGCACGACATAAGCAATGATGAAATATACAAGACAAAACTAATAGGAAGAGTAAGTAACATAAAAATCTTCAAAAACACATAAAATCTCATTGCACATTGTGAATAAATAACTATCAAAAATAATAAAAGGTAGAAAACATAATTAAGTTCATAATTCAATTGTGAAGAAATATTATTAAGTTGACTGAATATTACTTTAAAATTTTGCAACGTTAAAAAGGTTATAGAATATTTACAATTCGTTCGTTCGTTCATTCATTCTTGCTGGCACTTTCAGTACTTGTGTACTGATTTTCAAAGTGATACAGTTACAAAACAAACCAACAAAATAGAAGGAAAGCAACACATAAAACAACATCAAAAGAAAATTCAAAGTAAAACATACACTAATAGAATCATAATCATACCATTAATCGTCTACTTCTTGTTCTGCTTAGGATGTCAGCTCCTGCGGGAGATGTATTCAACCAATCAAGACTTCTCTCTTGTGATGTTTCTGTGTCTGCATCTCGGGAATGATTCGCAGACCTTCCTCTGATTGTTTCACTCAGTGTCTGTAGAGAGTCTAACAAGTCCTCCACACTATCATTTCTTGTGCCAAATCTTGTTTGTGGTTGTGCTGTCTTTTGTAACAAATCTGTCACAGAGATTCCTTTAGTCAAATCAAGTTCATCCAAACCATTATGTAAGCTTTGAGATCGCTGACCACCTAGGTCATGTGAACTCTGCCACTTCACTCCGGGCTTCTTTTCAAGGCCTTCCGAGGATAGACTTTTCCTTGAAAGTGGACTAAGTGGATTGAAGGTAGCAGCAGAGTTACCTTTAGGAAGGTAATCTTTTTTTGATGACTTCTTCAGTTGGGATGAATGTGGTAATGGCTGGTTGTACTCTTCTGATGGTAATGATGTCTGTATTTCCGAGACCTCTGAAAGAAGTTGTCCACTTAGACTAGAATCTACATGTGCTTGAAGTAATCGGCTCATCTTCTTTATTAACAAGTCTCTTTCCTTGCACTTTTCGCGAAGGTAAGATACTTTAGCCTAGAGGAAAAAAAATGTCATGGTCATTAGAAGAGCTGAGACAATTCAGCAATTATAAAAATCTATGGACTGTTACAAACATATTAAAAGCTAATGATATTTGGGGCATACAAAAAATTGGAGAGAGTTTAGGGACATAGCTGGGATGGTTGAGAACATATGAAAAGCTGGGGAACATTTTGGTAACAAAAATATTGAACTCTATAATATTGACAAACTATAAGCAATAAACATTAACATGGCCGCTGTTGCCTGCTTATGATGAAAGTATTAATTTTGGCCAGTTAGAGCACCTATTGCCATGGAAAAAAATTGAAATTTAAAATATTGTTTTCTATATTTGTATTACACCTCCAGCTGCCATGACTCCTATAAATATATTTAGTGATTAACAATTAGATTACAAAACTCTTTAGACTGCAGCAACTCACTTTTCTATGTGTGATAGGATGTCGAGGGATGGAAAAAAAAGGCACTACTTTCAACCTCACACACTTGAATTCAATAATAATAATGCGCCAATTCCGAAAAGAATGATCCAAGGGGCAGTGTATATTAAGAATGCAAGATGTTAAAGAGATGAATTTTAAGGGCAGATTTAAATGGATAATAATAGAGGTAGACGACCTCAAGAAAGAAGGTAGTTTGTTCTAAAGATATGAGGCAGTAGACATAAATGTTCTTTGTATGTTGTGTGAAATTTCAGAACAGCGAGAAGATATTGTGAAGATTGAAGGCAACGAGTGGGCAATTAGTGAATAAGATGACTAGTACGGTGATACGCTAAGAACAGTGGCGTATCTAGGAGTCTTGAAGTTGGTGTGCTGATGGGGGGGGGGGGCGAAGGTGATCAGTTGAGGGGACGCTAACTCACAAAATTAAGTGATTTTAGGTGCTTCTTAACAACGTGACCGTAAATTTTAGGGGGGTTTCTGGGAGGGCACGAGTAATTTTTGGAGGCGTGTTCGCCCCTCCCCCCGCCCCAGATACATTCACTGACCACGAAGTGCTTTAAATGTTTGTTGAACTATTTTAAAGATAATAGGCTGTTTGATGGGTAGCCAGTGAAGGTTTTGAAGTACAGGGGTAATTTGGGAATATTTTTGTATATAAAGAGTACACATTTGAAGGCATTCGATAGAAGTAGCAGGAAAATCAATAAATAAAAATTATGTTTAGATGATTTGGTAAGTGAATGAGAAAATGAAAGTCTTGCTATAAATTTTTTGAAGCAATCAACAGCACTATAGAAAAAGTTAACAATTATATCCTAAAAAAAATTAGTATTACAGGATTTAAAAGTCAACTTAGCAATGTTGATCTAGTAATATGGACATATGTACAATTATTTATGTTATAAAACTACAATAATGCTTATAAATGCTTATAAATATACAACATAATATATAAAATTACATATTAAAAAAGCAGTTCAATAACGGGGATCTGATTGATAGGACAAAACAATGTTTGTCCAATTATTAAAATTAGTTGCGCAGATTAAACACACACAATTTTCCAATAAATAAATACAAACTGACAATGTAAAGCAAGAACATATGATTATACAGACATAGGCAGAAACATAACTTGTGGGGGTGTAACATACCTTCAGGGGACAAATAGCAAGCTCAGCTTCATTCTTCTGTTGTTCCATTGTGTCAAACTACAACATGCAAACCATAAAACACATCACAGGTTAACATATACTATTATACCTATTGTTATATCTGAGAGTTCTTGCAGAGAGGGGTAAATTATTGTTTTTAAAAATATTAAATGTTAAGCGCATCAACTCTGGTATTTTGCACTATGTGAGTGTAACACTATTATTATTATTATTATTAATATTATTATTATTATTGTTATTATTATTATTATATGACTATTATCAATAAATCTGGATACATACCATTTGTTTATTAGGTCATTGGGCAGGGCTTTTGTGCAAATGACGCAGACGAGAGCTCACAAAGGCTTAGACCTCGAAACCTTATTTCATTTTATTTTTGGAAGCTTAGTGCCACAGGTTTCCACTTAAAACAATGTATATTACATCAAAACCAGTCACAGGACAAAACAATAGGATGCTTACATTTTTTCGAAAGATGTAAAAAAAAACAGGCTTTTTTACATAATCAACATTATTTGACAAGAATAGTTACTGTAAGTATATTCGATTCGCACAAATCAAAATGTTAACAGGACAGCACATAAAATCAAGTTATCAATTTCCAATGAGCACCAATCATGTGACTCGTGAGTAAAGTTTCAGACAAAGCACCTGTGACTCATGACGCGAGTACAGTTCCAGCTGGCCACGTGTCTCAAATTATTGGAGAACAGTGCAACGTGTTATTATTTTGATTCTTTGGTAAATTGTTTCTGATTAGTGTTAGGATAGTTCATGGGTTAGTTTTCTTACTTTCCTTTTCATATTATTTAAGCACTTTGAGATGATAATATTGAGTAAGGCGCAACACAAGTCTATTTCCACTTCCAAATAGACACAGAATAAAACAATACAGTTTACATTGATGTACACACTATTTTACTATGGAAATCTTTAAAATGATTACCAGCCAATTAGAAGTTCATGCCAAAATTTATATCACAACATTATTTAGGTGGTAAGAAGCAAATAAAGTTTTTTCTTGTTCAAATTTTCAATGTAAAGCCGATAAATGCAATTTTAATATTAAAATTTTGTTGCTGACATTTGGGGCTTGCCATCCCATAACCAGTGTACTGTCACTGATTGTTAAACTGAGTAATTAACATAAGAATGTGCCAGTATTGTATACTTTAGCACAGAGAAGCTGTAATACTTTTACTCATAACTTTGGCAATAGTAAATCGATTCCAGCAAATTACCTGTCATTTTAAAGCTTATAATGTGAAGAATATGAATACAGTTAAACTTGCCTAAGTCGACTGTGCCTAAGTCCAATAATTGCTAAGTCGATCTTATTTTACATGCCAAGTTGTTGTGTTTTCCATTAATTAACATTCTGTAAGTCAAATTTTAAGTCGACAATATTTCAGTGGCATTTTGGATTCGACTTAGGCAAAGTTCAACTGTATATGAAGAAGTCAATTTTCATGTTTTTGACACTGATGCTGGTTTCGGCATAGTAAGCCCCATTTTTTTTTTTTTTTGGTGGGGTTGGGTCAAGAGACATATATTCAATGAATAGTAGCAAACTAATGTTTTACCTTTTCTCTAATATCCTGGTAATGTTCTTCAATATTATCCTTATATTTATGCAGCTTTTCTAAATGATTCACCTTCTCCTGGAGTGATGCATTCTCATCCACTAGGAACATCTCCTGACCAGTCTATAAATACAACAATAACAATAAAAATAAACAATAAAAATAAAAATAATAGTTATGTAATCTACATTCTCTTAACTGGTTACCAATTTAGAGATTTTTGTTTGTAGTAAAAATGTCTGTAGATCAGTAAAACTTCTTTTGCTTTGATAACGATCCCTATTAAATGAGCTGTTTTATTTTTTAATTGGATTTTTGGATAATGCAGATTTTATGATGGAACAACCAATAACAAATAAAAGGTCATTTACTAGAAAAATGACAAGATATTTAAAAATCCATCTCTTTATGTTTTACGGAAAATGTTAGTGAAGAAATTGAATCAAAACAATCAATTATAATTAATTTCTGCAAATAGTATGATTAATAACCTTTTCTCTGAGCATGTTCTCGGCCAATTGCAGTTTTCGATCTACAGCATCCTTCTCGCGGAGTGCAAGGTCCATTTTACGTTGTTGCTCCTTCAGTGCCTCAATGTTCTCCTCCATCTCAGGTAACATGGCAACCTGTTCTTGAAGTTGAATTTTCTGTAAGAGAGAAGATCGCAAATTAGATGGTTTGGGAATATACCTTGGTGGTTAAGTTGTTTGCCTAATAATTCCAGGGTCACAGATTCAAATCCTGTGACAGCACACTTTTTTTTAAAGACTAAAATATCACCACTTCCCAAGCTTTAAGTTTATAAAGCATCATATTTCATTTATGAAAGCCCTTGTATTTCTGCTGACCTTCTGGGATAGGCTGAAAGGGTAACCCTCTATGTCATTGATGTTTTAAAGCTCACTTTCACACAATCCAACAGAGAGAGCAGCTTAGCTCACTCAGCTTATCTGGTGGTAGCCACTGTGTTTGCACTGAACCGTGGAGATCTCTAGGTCCCCGGTTCAATTCCCATCGCTGCTCTCCTTGTGTTTCAGCTGGAGGGCTGAAATACAAGTTACAATACCGCACCGTCTTTCAGACGAGACGTTTAAGCCGTTGGTCCTGTGTGCATTTATAGCCCATCAGCAGTACACTCTTCGGAAAAATAGTAGGGAATTGTCTCCTGGAGTACTGCCCAATCACCACCAGAAGGACCCCATTGGAAATAAGTCTTCTTCTAGACTTTTGTGGGCTATCCTTGGTGTTTACGCAGAATAAATTTAATCAATCAATCAACAATTTTGTTATCAGCAAAATCTCAGAACACGTTATTAGCAGGATTTGTACTAATACATTTGGAAATAGTAGATAGACATTAAACCATTTTTTGGAAATAACAAAATTGGCTACCTCATAAGTGCATGTGCATTATTTACATATAAACAGCATAACATTGTCACTCACAAGAGCGTTGTATCATCTACATGTAAACAGTAATAGTAGTTAGTTAATCAGTCAGACAGGGCGACGTACTCATATGGAGTTTTTTCAATAGAAATTTCAAGACAGATGTAGAACTCAACAGATATTTTGTTTGCATTGCTAGCATAGCTTATTGTAGTTGTTATGCATTTTGTACAGCATCATATATAATTTTTATTGCTATGGTTTTATGAGTATTTTTTTTTATTATTAAAATATATTATCATAACAATGAGCAGACATGCATACAGCAGATACATTAAAAATGTAAATGTGTTCATATATTAAGTGTACACAATTTTGGTGATGTTTGATTTTGTGTTACAAAGTAACAATTCCAAGGAAACAAATGCAGTACTGTATTATGACAAACTACTCTTGAATATTTTTAGTAATTCATATTTTCAGGTTATTGTTTTTATTAATACCATTATTTTATAATTATCATTATTAGTGGCATTCAAGTTTCTAAATTTTCTAAATAATTATCATTATTGCATTATTATTTTTAATATTATCATCACTATCATCATCATCCTCATAATGATCTTAATCACCAGGTTATTGTTACTATCAATACTATTATTTTGTTATTATTATCATTATTATTGGCAAGTTACTTTTTTATATCGTCATTATATTATTAAATATTTTTTACTATCATTATCACCACCATCACTGTAATCATCAACAGCATCGCTATAATCATCATCATCATCATCACCATCAAAACCATGATTATGATTATAATCAATATTATTATACCTCTCTTTGCAGAGATTCCAGTTGTTGTTGCATGTCTGTAGCTTTAGCATTATTGGTTTGAGTATCAGCAACTTCCTTTTCCAATTTATCTAGTTTCTCTCTCAATTTACGTAATTCCTCAGCTTTCGTCCTTAGCTCTTTATCCTAAATCATGAAAAAATTTAATGATTATCAATCAATGAAACCAATCATGATAAAATAAAATAAATATTTATTTTTAATAACAATGATAACAACAATATTAATAAAAATGATGATTGTAGTGATAAACAACAATAACAGTAATAATAATATCAATATATCAATTATAATAGTATACCAATTCAATAGAAATACCATATAACCATACCAAGTAGTGGGGTACTTACACAATAATAATACCACAGTTTCTTGGGTATAACCCCACCGTGGGTATATAAGCCCACCGCCCACTTTATACATAATACAGGCTATGACTTTTACAAATATTCTCAGAAGAAAACATCATATATTTGCATTTAATTAGGCATACAGTGCTACTAAAAATATAGGAATTTTGAGTCATTTACCTTGGCAGAAAACAGCCAATATTGATTTGTTATTAGTTTGCATTATTAATCCATAGATAAACTAGCCTGTTTAATCTGCTTAGCAACAGCTTAACGGTCTCTAGTCTGTGTTAAATTATTGAACATGGCATTATCGCCTTTCATCTACTCTGTCATTTGTAATAAATTATACGAGCTTGCTCAGTTGTTTATGCAAAATGAGATGAATTGATATTCTATCTATGTTCTTTATGGGAGAACATGGGAATTGTCTTTTTTATAAACTATAAAAAAAAAATCATTTGTGGCAAAGACAAGCCAAACCAGTCACTCATCGCAAATCATGTTTCAGAGATAATGGCCAAAACATGCTGAAATGTTAAAATTTTTGTAATCTATTTTATTGTACTAAACTAAACTTTATATATCTATACATCATGATTGCTGTTAATTTCCGAATTTTCAGTGTTAAAACAACAATTCTTAACATTTTGGTGTTGGTTTCTGCCTCAGAGATGCCTGAATCATAAATAAAACTTTAAAGGCTGATTTCTCAAATATTGTTCTTTAAACAGCTATATGTTTAAACACTTGTAACTTCATAAGAAAATTTTATAGCTCTCATTTTCATCTTTATCCCTGTATTAATAACTAAAAATTGATTTCTGCGATAAGTAACTGGTTTGGCTTGTCCTAATTGCCAGATTTATTGATATTATATTATATCAATTACTTTGCCTTATAAAAAAAATACAAAGTAATGAAATGAAGCAGGGTTACATAAATGTTATTAAAATCATTACAGTCAAGATGTTCTCCACAAAGAAAAAAGAATATATTATTATTATTATTATTATTATTATTATTATTATTATTATTATTATTATGTTACTAAAACCTACTTTAAGGGGAACTTAAGCCGCAATAGCACTGGATTTAAAATAGGGAAATTTTTACCGAGACTGTGGGTAACATTCCAATGGGTAAACTTCCTGTCGTTCGCACTGGGATTTATCGACGTGGTTAGTTTTACCACAGGCCATGGTGAAAATAACCATTCGTACAGATTCAACTATTGGGGGCGCTAAATCGTGACGTTCACTTCCGGTATGTGTGGCAAAACAATTAACGAAAGCGCCCAGTAATTAGAACTGCTATATTCAAGATTGCCTCAGATTGCCTACGTTGACGCTCACGTACGACAGATCGTAACAAGCTAAACCGCCGGGTTCTCCTTCTTGTTGTGACAGTGTTTCTTTGGACTAGGCCCACATCATGTTGTATTTGTTGATAATCGCGATGGATTGTCTCACCAAGACCTAGCACATTTATTAATGCTCCATATAAATCGGCCATTGAAACAAACCGATTAAACAAGTGAAAAAAATGACAAAATTACTCAAAATCAAGACACTAGCAAACACGCGCGAAATTAATCAAGATGTCTGTGTGTGACGTTTTATTCCAGGTCACAGCTCATGCGTAATTGCCTGACAGCCTGAGGAAGGTCATTCACTGTGATGACTTGGGAAGTTTACCCAACTCGCGCTGTTCGCATTGGACTTTCCTGCTAGGTAAAACTAACCTGGTCAGTTTTCCTGGGCAAGCGGGACTCGGTTAAATTAACCGCGCGGCTTGGGTAAGTTTTCTGTCAGGTAAACTTCCTGTGCTGTTCGCACTGGACTAATTATGGTAAAACTAGCCAACGTGTTGGTTAGTTTTACCAAAAAAAGTCCAGTGCGATTGTGGCTTTAGACAATGGAGAAATTAGAGAACAATGAAAAAAAAACACGATGTTAAGGGGAAAATAACATGAAATTAAGGGGAAAATAACATAAAAGATATTTCATTTTAATAAGTCCGACTTATTATTATTATCATTATTATTATTATTATTATTAATTGTGCTTGTACAGCACATACTGCATAAGTTTATAATTATAACCATGAATATAATCAATCAAATTACTGTAATTCGGTGGCAAATTTCTTTATTTGTGAAAGGTATAAACCTTTTAAAACAGTAATTAACGATTTGTTTAATCATGGCATCACAGCTGAACTTGATAGCTTCAGAGACATTACCTCAAATAATTTAGAATGGTCAAAAACTTTCCTTAATGTTTAAGTAAAGAAAGTTTAGTCTCATTTTAATGTTATTTTTGAAAGAGAATAATCGTTATTTATAGTAATTATAAGAAACAATTTATTATTTTTAATTTATCATGATACAAGTCTTACCAGATAGCAAGAGTTATTTTAGTTTTTGAATAAAGTTATAATACATTATATCAAAGAAAAATGATCTTCATCATTAAAAATAACAATTTTAACAATTTAAAAAATTGCCCTCACGGTGCATCCAAAAGTGGAGTGCACCTCACATTATCATTATTTTTGAAATCATATTATCATTTACTTTATAGTTAGTTAGGCCCATTGTTTTAATGCTAATTGTTTTACAGGATTGCATGAGTTTTTTTTTTTTTTGTGAATTTCAAAGTGTTATAATAGTAATGATAATGATTTTTTTTAATTTAATTATTTACTTTCCTTTCTTTTAGTAGGGTAGCCCTCTCAGTGATGAACCCTACTGAAAGAAAGGGAAGTAAATAATTAAATAAAAAATCATTATCATTACTATTATAATCAGGGTGTTTGTTATAGCATCTGCACTTTTACCTTTTCCTCTAACTTCTGAGTACTTAGATGTAATTGTTCTTTTAAGTTCTTCTCATCGTAGTCAATATTTCCAAGCTGATTCTCTTTCATACGAAGCCTTTCCTTTGTTAGGTCCAACTGTAGATATACAAACCGTACAAAGTTATCCAATCACTCCCTTATATATGGGCAAATCACACATATTTTTTTGCTGACTGACAAAACTAGCAATGCTACCAACATGGGTGCAACTCAAGTTTATCTTGTAATTTTTCATCCAATATTCTAAAATTAATAGATTTATTCTCAACTTGGCAGTGTAAGGAAAAACTAGTAGGTGAAAGTGTGAGAGGAAAGCCAAGAACGAGCTGGATGAAAGATTGAAAAAAAAGATTAAAAACAAAGATTAAGTAAGGAGAATGTGTGAGAAGAGCTTAGATAGGGAGGGATGGAGATTGAGGATCGTCGAACTGCTGAGAACAGATGGCACTAACAGGTAAGCAACGAAAAGACAGTTTTCTTTACCTCATCTCGCATTTTTTTCAGGATTCCATCTTCATTCACATAACTTTGTTGTGAACGTTGAAGCTCATTTATCTGAAAAATTTTTAGAAAATCATTTACAATATAAACTATTTTTTGTATAGTGTTAATTCACATTCCACAGTGGGTTGACTGCAAATTAAAAAAAAAAAAAATTATATATTTTCCATTTTATTTTGATTGTGTGTAATCCATTTGCTTACTACTGTACTATCATCCCTTGTAACGTAAAAACTTACCCTTGATTGGAGCGTTGCAATCTCTCTCTCTTTTTGCCAATTTTCCGACTTCAGACTTGAAATTTCAAAATTTTTCTCCTCAAGTTCCAATTCTTTGGCTTGAATCTACAACAAAGATAATGACTTATTATTTGTAATTCCCACAGAGGTTGTGCACAGGTTGTGAAATTAGCTCCCATTTGTGTCCATATACCTCTATATTTTTTTAAAAAAGTACATATAGGTTTAAACATTCACTGTGCCTTTTGCTTGTATCCGTTTCCTGGGTATGTTTTTCTCCACCTAGGAGTATATATGGGTACCTTGTTGAAATATACTAGGAAAGTTAGAAAGGTGAAATGGAAAGGGACTGGCCACTCTACCTCACAATTCTTTAGTTTAGTACGATGGGCTTCGTTCTAAAAATGGTCAACAAATCCTAACTTTGGAAGGCGATTTACTAAAAATCATGTTTGTCTTCACTCCCCAATACCTAAGGCTTGAAATCGTCCAACTTCAATGAATGATCCCCTTATTTTATGCTATCGGACAAGTCCGCCACCTGAATACATATCCTGAAGCATTAGAGTGTAATTTTCTCAATTTACATGCAATTTTTGTTACCTTCTGTCGACTGATACTGACATGTTCCATGTCTCTCAGTTTTCTCTTCATCTCTTCTTCTCTTTTTCGAATCTCTTGAATCAAGTTATCCTTTTCCTACAATCCAATTATTGAATTAAATTTAATAAGAAATGTAACAAATTGGCAAACCAGCCTCACTCATAGATCAAACAAACTAGATAATGTATATAATGTAATGTAACATTAGGAACTTGCCAAAACATTTGAAGTCTAGAATAATTTTTTCTCAATATCTAATATGTACTGAATTATTTGCTTCATTAGATTAACTGTCAAATCAATCAATTTTATTGGCTACACAGTGACAATACAATGGTAGTGCATCATTAATAAATAGATAATAACCAAAAATGTTAATAACTAAAAATATAAAATTAAAAAATATGCACAATCAGTAATCAGTAGAATAAGACACATTTCCATAGAAATAGTCAAAATGTTTTGAAAATTTGCTTCTTGCTGACCATGTTTGTCTTAGAAGCAGAAGCAAGAGGTAGGAGCAGACATCTTGCAAGAGTTTTGTATACCAACAATTGGTAATTCAGACTTAGAGAGAAAAAAAACATGCCTCTGACCATAAAATTATCTTTAATAAATGTCTTTAGCACAAAATTTTATCTGTACACTAAACTGTATAGACAACCGGTGGTTGTCTTGAGCACAAAACAAGAATTTTTTTCATATCACTTAATTTTTTTGTTTTTCTCCTTGAAAAATCCCTCAAGAAAATGTGCGATGTCTCCAAGAGCCACTTTTTACTTTTTCCAGCCATGAATTCTGAACTGAGTAAGTCATGTGATAGTTTGGTGTTTGTACACAGCTCAAGGTGTAAATTATCTCTTTACTAGGGATAAACACGTAATCTAAAATCAATATCCTATCCAACCTAAATATAGCAGTTAACAGCAAACATACACATTCGCTAAAAATAAAAACATATCTAGAGGAACTCTATAGATTTAGTACATTAGACTACATTCTATATATTAGTACATAAAGTTGTAATTGAATTGCAACCTTGAATTCAATCATTTATACAAATAAATTTAATTGTTTCTGAAATATTTACATAAGTGAGTTGATTGGGCGAATGATTAAGGCAGGGTGCTGCAACCTACAGTAATAATATTGGCACTGGTTCGAACGGCACACTCGCTTATGTTCCTAGAGGTGGAACAAGTCTTCTCGGATAAGGACTGTAAACTGTAGGTCCAGTGTAAATAATTGGCTCATGCACTATTATATAAAGACCCACTACATCTTTTAAGATGAGTAGGGGGTTACCCTGGTGTACTGTTCCATATAGCCCCTGTTGTGGACAGACGAGAGTAGCTGGCACCGGTTTACCGGATAGCTCAAACACGAAGAGACCTTTAGCGGAGAAGAAAGTTACTGTACAAGTTAGTCCCGCTTCAAATGCTTTGAGACTTTGGTGCTATAAAAACCGGACTATTATTATCTAATTGTTGACTGAAGTTTTATTTTGTTAGTAGGGACAGTGTGCTTGAAGTGTGTGTATCTCGAATGAGCTGTCAGATAGGCCTACAATATACAGTGGTATCCATACTGCACAACTCTATGGTCGTCACATATACAGTATATAAAATCACTTTATTTCGAAACAAAACAAAGGAAAACATACATAACCTAGGTCGTAACCTTATAAAGGAACACGCAAGGTAAATAGTCAAAAATAGTTACAAAAGCAGGTGACAAGAAAACAGAAGAGAGACAAATTAAATAAAAAAATACTCTGATCAAAATACAATATAGTTAAGGTCATTGCCATCAGATTTAAATAATTCATTCAAATTTATAAAAAAAAAACTAAATACAATTAATATGCATAACTCCAATCAATATGCATAACTGTTACACTACATAACACATGCTAAAGACCTAGTAGAATTTACTTAATTACATAATGAATACATTAACAGATCATGAACTTTTATAATAGTGTATGTAAGTAAAACAGTAATAACATTAACACAACTTACATCAATCTTTGACTGCAGAATGGTGTTTTGTGTTTTCATTCTTTGTGCTTCATTAATTTCTTTGTCCTTCTCTTGACTCTGCCATTCCATCATCTTCTTAAGCCAAAGAGGAGTTGGTGGCTTTGGTGGAAGCTCTGGTGTTTCTCGTTTTCCTTTTGGAGTAATTGGCAATGATAGAGCTCTGCCAACTAGTGGATGATCAGTCTCTTGATCAACAGTTGTAGTGGATAGTGTTTCTGTGCCACTGTCAAATGATAATGGTTTTGCAAATAAGGACCTTGGTCTTTGAATGCCATCATTCTCATCATGTCCATTCATCTTTCTTAAAGGTGGTGCTTCTGTTCCAACAAAAGCCTTGCTACTAACTGGAGGAGGCCATTCAGGAAGGGGTGGAGGGTTGTCAGACATCTCGGAACTTACAGAACCTCTTTTATGTTTTGGCGGAGCACTGCTAGGCAGTGGTGGAGGCTCCACTGGAATTGGCGGTGCCTCCAAATTGTCATCAATCCTCATTTCATTTAACTCTTCTTCCACTACCACTGATCCATTATCATTACTCTGATCCGTAACAGACTCTTCCACAGTGATCGTAGGAAGGGCATTTACTAGGTCATCAATTAGTTTCCTTCGGGTACTTGGACTTGCTTGTTTTAATGGAGTAGGCTCTTCAAAGGAAGAATAGGACTCCTTAGTGACTATTTCCCTCTGTATCAAATTTGTTGGATGTGTCTCCAATGCAACTGTTGCTAACCACTGTTCCGCAGCTCGTTTCCTTTCCTGCATTTTCTTGCGAGCGCACAATGCACAATGAATCTCCACGGGTTGATCATTCTCATCAAAAATGATGTGGGAATGTCCAGGTGTGTTGTGCAACCTGGTCGCATTTAAAGGTTCTTCCAAATCCTCAAACATGTCTTCTAAGGCTTGTAGTCGATATAATATATAAAAATTTCCTATTGAGGCTTCAGTAAGATGAGCAGGATAACAATCTTGAGAAACTGATTCCAGTGCATCCTTCAAAGATTTATGGCCTTAAAATAAATACAGAAAAATATGATAATTTTTGCAAAATTTTAAATCATTTGTTTAATACTAAAATATTTATTGTCCAATGTAAATGACAAAATCATAAAAAAATTATTTTGAAATTAACTAGCTCATTTTGTATACAATTAACTTGAGCATAGAAATTATTGAATTTGTACCTTGATTTTTATACTGGATATTGATGGTACTGTATTACTGGAAGTTTTTCTATTATTTTTCACTGTAAAATTACAGGTAAACATTTTTTAAATACACTAATTTCTATGTTCAAATTGACAATTTTTGTTGCTTTAAAACGAGCAAGTTAATTTTGGGACAATACATCATTATATATGACATGATATTGTGGGACTCTTATCCAACAATGGTCAGCAAACATTCTTGTGTGTAAAAGTTAATGAAAGGTACAGCTTTTTAAAATAATATATCATTCCAAAAATAATTTCATATTTTTGTACTAATATTCCAATTAAAATTGTTTAAAAGTGCATAATGTATGAAGTTTCTTGTCATGATGTTTGAAGTGTGAACATCCTTTGCATATCACACAGCTATATCACATGCTTGTCTAACCTGTTGTTGGTGTATTTTGGAGAACGAAGTCATTGATGAACTTGCAAGAATAATGATGAGACAACTGGTGAAGAAGATCTGGCAACTTGCCAACACCCTTTAAAAAATAATTTGAATTATTATTGGTAATTTTATGTATTAACTCTAATCTAATTAGGCTTCAATACGTGAAATTATTTTTTTTTAGGAAGCTCCAATATTTGAATATTTGGCAATCCATATATTGTTAGAGGCACAGTTCTCTACTGTATCATGTGATGATACTCAACCTCAATCCAATTTAAAAAGTAAAACAGCAATCCATATTTATATACATTTATAATACATATAGAGGTTAATTTTGCTGATATCAGGAGGATATCTTTCAAAATGTACATTTTCTTTAAAAATTAAATCTACAATACATTTGGTAAATCCTGGATTAAAATGACAGGGTGAAGAAGTAATATATTGAACAGGCTGTAAAATCTACCTGGTATGTTTTCTCTGTAATTTAATAAAAAAAAAACATAACACAGTCAACCACCTTTTCACGACCCACTTAGATGAATCATTGTTAAAATGCATAAATAAGTATTATTATTTTAGAAAGTGAGAAAGGAATTTTCCAAGTTACTATTTCTACATATTTCCCTTAATCAATTTATGCTTATTGACCACCAATCAATTGGTTATGTGTCTTCCTTTAATTATGTAATTCTAGTGTGTTGTGTAGCCTGAGAGTGAAATCAATTACAAAACAAAAAACCTGGCAACTGAACACATGTTACACTGACTCAGGACACTAGAGCAAACATATCAAATTAAATGCTAACAAAATGAACAAATACAGATTGGAATTGAATGCCCTGTGGTGTATTTGTCCATGTGCCTACTACCAGAAGCTGGTCATAAACTATATTGTAAATTTATTTCATAAACTCAAAATGATCATAGAGGATCTTATCACCCTTTCTCTATTCCCATATGGATCTGATCATTGGTAACACTGGCACATGCGTAATAATCATAATATCCTCACAAGGAGAAGTATAGTAGAATGAATGTTGCTCTCAATAATGAGAGGGAGACCATGGTTCATTGTTTTGAACCTTATAAAGATCGACTTAAATTTTGCTATTTCTAGGTATTTCATTCAATCATCGATCTTGTACATGTCCTCTAATACAAGAAACATTTTTTACCCCAAATAAGTAGTGGCTATTATTGAATGTTATGGTCTTAATTCACACCATACCAATAACATCCACTTCGAATTAGGAATTTATTTAAAACTGGTGTAATAATAGCCAATGCTTAATAATTAACATTCACTAGAAACCGACCATGTACATCCCTTACTCCCTTACCTTACTGTTATGGTTTTAATTCACTCCGTATACATACAATGTTCATCAAATCTGAATTAGGAATTCATTTAAGACTGGTTTAACAATAGCCAATGCTTAATAATTAACATTCACTAAAACCTGATTTTGCCGATATTCATTAACAGTTACATATGCTCCCACCTAGAGAGGAACTCTACACTGTCATCTTACTTCTTGACAAAATTCAATCCAAAGCCCTGTACAGACTATCAAATTTAATTTGACAAACAAATGTGACATCACATAATGACCATATATGGGCATATAACAGTTTTTGTCAAAGAAAAGACGACACTGTGGACCAAGATTTAGTGCCTTAGTAATGTCCCTGTGCTCATCCAATGTCTTCAATCCCTTGAACACCATTATAATGTTTCTGAATTCTCTCTCCATTTTTTAGAAATATGTTTCGGGTTAAACTGTTCTGAATATATTGTTACGTCTATTATATCAGTCATCTGGATCTCTCCTACAACTACATATGAATCTGACATTTCCCATCATCATCATCACCACCACAATGGATTTCATTAAAATTAAAAATTAAAATTTAATCATTTATTAATAATTAATATAAATCTTAAATAATTTATTAGAAAATAGACCACTGTATCTATGAGAGACTAGTCCATTTTCCAACTATTAACAAAAATTGATTAATTAAATTTCTTCCTGAGATATATTTCAGATATTATTACAGAATCTCTTACACAATTGAATTTAGTTGAAATAGACACAAGACACAATATTTTAAAAGTAAATTGATTTTTAATTTAAATTAAGAAAAATTTTATTTAATGGTAGATTACTCTAATACAAAAACTATTCCATAATCAAATTAGTAAAAATAATATTTACATCCAAAAAATTAAAAGTGCAAATAATATTTATACAACAATGACCATTAACAACACTTTACCTGTCAAAACAAACATGCTCCCTACAAAAACAATAGTGAATTCCAATACAATGCAATGACTTTATGCCTCTGTAGTTGTGTCAAAAATGTAGATTTTTGCATGTATTCAGACTTACTTTAGCCTTACATTCAAACATATTCCTGAATATGGAATTTATCCATCAGATATTATCTAATTCCTTGCTGGTATTTTGAATTCTGTAATAACTAATTGGATATTAAAATGATGGTTTTATTTTTTTCGTATGGTGAGGAGCGTGTGTCATGAACTGATCAATAACTTGTGAGTATGCCTATCTACATGACAAAGGATGATGAACAACGGATGTATTCCATTAAAATGGAATGATCCATTGTGATTTAAGGTGTGGTTCATAAATGATGTGTAACTAAACAATCATGGACATAATGAGATGAAAATTAATTATAATTGGAAAATACAGAAAATGATAGTAATGACAATGATGCTGAAAATAACAGTGATGATGATATTATTAATAATGAACATAATAGAAAATGATGATGATCATTATGAGTGTTTGATGATGATAATGTTGTTAGTGATAATAATGACAATATTTTTTGATAAATAATGATGGCATTAAAAACGGTTCTTTATTTGTATTTTACATCATTCATTTATTTATTGCCTATGCAAAACGCCCCCACCCCCGAAAAAAAGGCCCCCAAAATATGTTCCATATCTATTTAATTGATGTAAATTATTATGTAGAAACATTAGTTTCTGAAATATTATTCAAAAAATATTCAATATCTGCACCTTTCACTATATGTATTAGTATATTTTTATCTTTGCGTCTGTTCAGTGTTAGTAACATTAAAACATTATTTTTAATATACAAAACAATTTGTTGAAATGAATATTATTCTTCAAATTTCGTTTTCTCCATTTTCTGCCAATTACTGATTTCATCATTGATTTATGTGTTTCTATGTTATGTATTGCTGGTTTAAATTACTGGAAAAATATCATTATTGTGTTGTGTTATCTGTAATGAGATGTTGGTGTTGGAATAACCATTGCAATGGTGACAATAATGCTAAGGGTGATGATGAGGATGATGCTACAAATAAAAACAAAATCCAGGCCTGGGAAAACAGATTTTGTGCCTGCAACTATGAACATTTTCTTAATATAATGCCTTCAGTACCAAATGTTATCGGGATACAACATAGCTAAACAGTGGCTTCCTGGAGCAATAAAAAAAAAACTCCCCAAAAAACACAACATAATTTATATGCTTCCTCATAAAAAATGCATATTGAGAAATGCACAAGATGTCTCCAGTCACACCCTTTTTTCGGCCCTACCAAGAAAAACAACTAACGTTTACTGGTACTGGTACAGGCATTTATACTGCGCCTCTTCCTTGAGCTTATAAAGTGCACTTCTTTTCCCTGGTCATTGGGTCCTACTCCTGGGTGGAGTGAAGCAATGCAGATAAAGTGCCTTCCTCAAGGAAGCGAAATGCACAGTGAGGGATTGAAACCCTGACCTTGAGGTTGGGAAACGAAACATTTCCCATTCCGCGAAACTGCTTAAAAATTGTATTCAACTGAAAAGACTTTACCTGAAGTTGTTCTTGCACATCAACTGACAGTAGAGTTACCTGGGCTTTCATCTGATGGTATTCTTCCTCAGGTACACTCACCTGTGAAATCAACAGGTTGAGAGCTTGACCATTAATAGAGAACTTGAAATGGTCAGTTACATACATAACAATATGAACAATCAACTTCAAGGTTTAATAGAGAATAATTATTTCCAGTTACATAATTCAAATTTGATAGTATAATACATACTCCAAATATCGAAATGCATGCCATCGTGTCGGGATTTAATATTTCGACATTAATTATGTCATCATCAGGAAAGAAAAATTATCCATATTCAAATTTCAAGTAGACAATACAATACAATACAGATTGTCACAACCTGTGGATTTCACAATGACTTTTTTATGCCTGCTCAACTCTGAACCAATCCTGCAGTTGTCTATACAGACTTTAAATGCATGCTCACATGAACTAAATGATAAATTACATTATTTCACAGTGTGAAGAATTATAAACTTATTAAAATGTACAAATTAAAATGAAAATTATGTAAAAAAATAGGTAAAAGCATGACAAATTTATAATTTTGATAAAAATAATTAAAGCATATGGCCATGGTACCACTACATACAGCAAAATACATTTAGATGTAAAAAAAAATAAAATAAATCAGATTTTCTGGAAATGGCTATTGCTTTCTTGGGACCCCTCACAATACTAATGGATGAAGGAAACAACAAAATACTGTACAGTAGTAAAAACAAAACAGTAGAAGGTCCAGATCTAATAGGTGCAATATATCTTCATGTAATCATTAATACAATTTAGTTTATTTTAGTAGCATAAAACTAAACATAATCTAAAACAGTTTGGCAGGCAGTGAATACATAATAATTATTAACAAAATTAATAAATTTTAACATAACAGAAATAGTATACTATTTAACATTAGTATTCACTGTAGATTGAAAACTGTAATTGATGAGTAAAATGGCACATAAAGGGTCGCACTCAGAGGAAATGGAATGATATCATGTGAAAGGATTTTAATAATTTAGTGATAAATACTATGATTAATTTATGTTAATAATCATAACAGGAAAATTGCCAAATGATTTTGCAAATTGTTTTCATAATATTGTTATACAAATTGTGATTCAAACCAAATATCTCCTGAAGTTTACCATCCACTTTACCAATTGAACTAAGAGGCCAAGATTCTTTATTTTATCATTTTTATAATATCTTAATCGCAAGGGGCCATTTATCAAATATAATTTTAAAGTATTCCTATTATATACCTTATATACTTGCGTATAAAGTGATCCTTGCATTAAAATTTGTTATTTTAAGTCTCGTTTTATATGCGAATATATACGGTACCATGACGTAAAGCAAAGAAAAAAATTAATCTATGAGAGATGTAATTATATTATTAAAAATCAACATTTCAATAAGAAATTTTCTTGGAAATATTAATTGGTTAATCCTTTATATCTTCAAACAATTAGTATATTGTAAAATTACTCTTCCAATATACATTGAAATGCAATCAACAGAGTTGGGTCATAGCAACAAGCTTACCATAAATGAAAGTCAATGCGTCAAATGATGTTGCTAAGCAAAATCATGCATTAAATTTTAATATAGGTTACCATAACTAGTAAAGGTTTAACTATATAAAAAATGGTGGAATGAAACAATAAAATTAAGCATAGGTTCACCTTCTTTTGTGCTGTTTCCTTGTTTTACATAAAAAAAGAACATATAAAAGAAAATTAATGAAAAAGAATATTGTACAACTACAATGGCATCAAACAAATCTAGACATTTCAAAATAAGAATAATGCACTATTTTATTGTTCTATGCATAAATCAAGGGTATAAGTACCTACAGAGGGCAGCAAACATAGTTTATTGTATGTCACTATGTGAACACAAAATTAGGTAGGAATGCTTTAAAAGTTTGTGCAGAAAATCTTTTTCTGAAAGCAATACTGTAAATCAGAAAAATGTAGCAAGAAACAACAATTTATAAAATACATAAAATTTTACCATTGTTCCATTATTTAAATTGTTGTGTAATTTGTTTAGTTGGTCTTGCAGTTGATCCTTAGATCTTCGTAGTTGATCTTGCTTCATGTTTGTTTCCTGGAGTTCATTTTGTAGTCTTAGCACCTCTTGTTCTAGCTCAATAGCTTGATTACTCTGTCAAAAAATTTCATTTACAAAAACTTCTATTTAGTATCTATTTAAAATCTAAGTGATTGGAAAGAATATTAAAATATGATTAAAATAAAATAAAGTTTCTCACCTTCCTTTCCATTGATGAGTTATTCTCCTCCAGTTCTTGTATTCTATCCTTCAGTTTCACTTCCCCTCTTTCTAATTTCCAAACTTGAGTTCTTATCTGGGACTCTACACTCTCCAGCTCCTCAATCCTTCCCCTAAGCATTTTCTCTACTTTCTCTGCAGAACAAATTTTATCATTGAGAATATCTTTCTCATGTTTCATCTGGTTAAAATCAATTCTCATCAGTTTCTCTGCTTCTTCAGAGGATAATACCTTGGTTTTCAATGTCTCATTTGAGCTCTCTAGTTGCTCAATTTGCTGCACTGCATTCACTGCCACCAATTCAAGCTTCAGAACTTTTTCTTTAAGGTCTGCTTCTGAATCCTCCATCACTCTAACATGAATCCTTAACTCATTGTCCACTTCCTCCATGTCATATAGTTGTTTCTTCAGCATCTCCTGTGATTCTTTTAAAGACTTTTCACTTTCATTAAAGTTATTCTCCGAAGACAATAATTCTCTTTTCAAATTATCCTCTGATTCATGCTTTTCACTTAACCTCTCTGTCAAGAATGCTTTAGTTGCCTCAAGTTCACTTATTCGTTCTTCAAGCTCAGTAAGGTTTATTTTAAGCGCATCTTCTGATTTATCTTGTTGGTTCAGCATTTCTTTCAACTTTTTTTCTGACTCTTCAAGCTCTTTGACATTATTACAATAGATTTCAAGATCATCTTGCAGCTGAACATTTATTTTTTTTAGTTCTTTTACAAGATTTTCTTTATCTTGAACTTCCTCTATGAGTTTCTCTTCTTTTTCCTGCAAATCCTGTAACTGCATGATTACATTTTCGAGTTCTTCTTGTAACTTCTCAGCATCTTGACTTAAAGACTCATCAGATGGAATTTGGCAAGGCTGGGCTTGTGAAGTGGATTCCAGATCTTCGACTCTTAACCTGAGTAAGGCAACTTCTTCTAGAAGTTCTTCATTTGCCTCTGTTAATGTTTTGTGCATATTTTCAGCTTTTTCCAATTCTTCCAAAAGTTTAGCCTCAATTTCTTCCAATTCTGACAACCTTTTCAATGATGACTCCAATTTTTTATCTCTTTGATTATTGTTCATAATAGCATCCTGCATATTTTGGTTTATATTCTGTAGCTCCAGTTTTTGCTGTAACTTTGTTTCCTCGAGTTCTAAAATTATTTGCTGGAGGTGTCTAATTTCTTCATCTTTACTTGGTTTTATGAGTTCTTCATCAACATTTGTGTCATCTAGTGCATCATGCCAGTCATCACTTGCTCTATCTTCTGAGGTGTTGTTCACTGCTTCCAAAAGTTTTTTCAAGTCACCCTGGGATGTCTCAAGTTCATTTATTTGTTCAAGAAAACCAGATTCACGTTCAAGCATTATGGCATCTGCATGTGAAAGAGTTTCCTGAAAAGCATTTTCTTTTTGTTCAAGTTCAAAAATTCTTTGCTGCATCTCCTGTTTTTCATCTTCAAGTTCTTTAATCATCTTTTCCATTGAATAAATATTTCTATCACCTTCTAATGCAGACGTGAACATTACAGTTTCAGTTGTTTTCTGAACAGATGGTTGTTGAATAGTTTCTACAACTATATCCATACTTTCGGAAACTGAATTTGACCTTTGAATCTGATCATCTGATTCACTGGCATCAAGCTGTTTACTGAGGTGATTAATTTTCTCTTTTAGTTCTGGAATGTTACTACACTGCAATAATAATTCAGCATTCTCCTCTTTTATAAGCTGCAAACAATTTTCTTTCTCATGAATTTCATTTTCCAGTGACTGTATTTTCATTTTCATTTTCTTATCATCTTCCTGTATTTTCTCAATTAAGTTAGCAATCTCCATCAATTCATGTTCCGATGTTTCAAGATCCTGCACACGAACCTTTAAATTATCACATTCTGATTTAAGTTGAGCACATTGCTCACTTTTTTCCATATATTCATTCTCATGTTTTTCAAACTCTGCAACCTTGTTCTCCAGTTCTTGACAGTAGTTTGCAGACTTTTCCAACGCCCTGTCTTTCTCCTGGATATCTTCTTGCAACTTCGAAATTTTGATTCCAAGATCTTCTTGTACTCTCTGAAGTTCAAGGGTTAATGACTGGACAACATCCTGCTCACTATCCTTTTGCTTTTCATTGTCTTCCAATAATGAAATTTGTTCTAATAAAACCTTTTCCTTAGTTTCAAGTTCTTTAATTCTAGACTTTAATACTTCCATTTCCTCAACAGCTTCATCTTCTGAAATTTGCAATTTCTGCATAATTTCTTCATTCATTTTTGTTACATCTTCCAATTTTTTACTTTTTGACAAATGAGACTTTTCTATACTTTCGAGCTTTTGTTTTAATCCCTCAGTTTCATGAGACAATGCATTCACCATATTTGCATTTGTTTCTGCTTCCTTAATCTTTTCATTCAATTTTTCCTCCATGTTTTTGAAGTCACTAACATGTTGAACAAGCAAACTATTCTGCTCTTCCATATCCTTCAATGCTATCTTCATATCCTTTGCATCAGATTCAACCAATTCTAAAGATAAAACTTTATCTTTCAATCTAAAATTTCGTTCTTCTAAATCACTACACTGTTTTTCTAATTCTTTTACTTTTGACTCTAAAACTTCTTCATTTTCTTCCATCTCTAATATGCTAATCTTTAACTCTTCTACTTCCTTCTCAAGGTCATGTTTGTGAAGGTCATGCTCACTATGTCTTCTTCCTGACTGTGCAATTGCCTTCTCAAGCTCCTCAATGTCTTTATTTTTCTCCAATATAATTTCCCCCATATCCTCCAGCTCTTTCTGTATATTGTGTAAATCCTGATTACATTTGTCATTTTTGTCCTCAAGCATTTTAACCTTCACTACCAAATCTTCGCTTTGTTTTTCTTTCATCCTTAAATTTTCTGGAAGTACATGAAATTGGTTTACATCCATTGTAAAATCAATCTTTTGATTGCTATTTATTTTCATCCTCTCAAGTTCCTCCCAGATTGCAGCTTCATCTCTTTGTTGACTGTTAAGAGGTAAAATAACTTCTGGTAGCAGAGTTTGAGGAGAATCTTGCAAAAGAGGAGGTAGAGACACTGGAAGAGGAGGTGGGGATTCTGGTAGTGGTGGTGGAGTACTGAAGTCGATAAGAGTTTTTTCACCCTCTATTACCTCCTCAACAATATTTTTTGAAGACAATTCATTTTGAAGTTTTTCATTTTCCTCTTTTAGCTCTGTCACCTGTGTTTGTAGCTCACCAAGTTCTTCTTTTAGTTCATCAATAATGTTATCTTTACCAACATAATCAAAACTATGTCCAAGATCATCTTGTAATGATTTAGAAGTTCCTCCAAGATTATCATCTCCCAGAGAGATTGATGTTATTTTTAATTCTTCAAGTTGTTCTTCGGTTTCTTCAACCTTTTCTTTAAGGTTTCGTCTGATTTCTTCTAAACTTGCAATCTGTTCTTTGGTTTCATTTAACTCCTCTATTAGCCTTTCATTATTTTCATTCAATATAGATATTTTCTCCAATAGAGCTTCTTCAGAATCTTGCATTTCACTAAGTTTTGTTTGAAGCTTGTTTTCATTTTCTTTACTTTCTTTAGCTTCAGTCTTTAACTGTTGTTGTTCTCCTTGTAGTTTGTCTATTTTATTCTTAAGGAATTCAATAGATTGTTGCAAATCATATGCATCTGCAATGCCAGCATCTTTTACAAGCTGTTCAATTTCCTGCATTTTTACCTCAAGGGCATCCTTATCACCTTGTAAAAGCTTCACTTTATTTTCTAACTGTTGTTTAGTATCTTCTAATACTTGAATAGTGTTTACCATATTTTCATCTCCAACAATCTGATTGTCCACTAAATGTTTTGACTCTTGTAATTCTTTTATAGTTGACTGTAATTCTGTAATCTCTCTATGCAGGTGGCTTTCAACAGAAATAAATTCCTTAAGTTGTTTACTCATGTCTGATCTCTGAGTTGCAAGTTCATTGTTTTTCTGTGTAAGATCACAAACCTGCTCCTTTAACATACACTCGGAGGCCTGGATGTCACCTAACTCTTTCCTAAGGGCATCTTTTTCACTGTCTCTAGAGGAAACATTTTCAATTTCATGATTATTTCTTAGTTTTCCATTTTCTGTCATTTGATCTTTTATCACCTTCTTCAGCATCGACTCTTCTTCCTTCAATTCCTCAACCTCACTTTGGACTTTACTCTTTTCTTGTACAAGCATAGAATTTTCTGTTATTAACTGTGAAAGAGTTTTTTTCAAAGTTTCATCTGATGATTTTAAATTCTTGATTTCCTCTTTCAATTCTATCTCAGATGTTTCTAATTCATCTACTTTTTCTTTCAATTCCTTTTCTGTTTTTTCATTGTCTCCTTTTTCGTGGTTGATGTGAGCGTTATCAATAGGCAATGAGAGACTGCAAGAAGTGTCTTCGTCTGATGATTCAACACCTTTGTTTTCATACTGGTTTAGTTTCTCCTCAAGTGTTTGAATCTGAATTCTTTGATCATTTTTAATAGTCCTAAACTCTTCAATTTCATTCAGAAGCTGCTTGTACTTGTCTACAGTCACCTCATTATCTTCAAAGATTTTAATTTGACAGATTAATCTTTCATTTTCTTCTATAACTGTTTGCAATTTTCTGTCAATTTCGGCCATCTTGTGCTGAAGTTCAGTTACCCTGTTTGAATGTTGTAATTCATTGACATGAATAATTTCTTCAAGAGAATTCTTATTTTCTTCACAGTCCTTAAGTTTTTCTTGAAATTTTGCTTCCTGTGCCCCGAGTTCTGCAATTTTCTGAAGGACAAAACAGAAGATGCAATATAACAGTTTGTTTTAGCACATTATTATTTATAAGTCACATGGTAACCACCAACATGCAACAAACACACACACAAAGAGGAGTTTGAAGAAGCATGTTGAAACCACACCATATATAAAAAAAATAACTTACACTTGCTATACTGGGGTTCAGAACACTGCTGAGTTGTACTGTATGTTAAGTAGGCCAGTACTAATTTTGTGACACACATGCTGGCATACATACATTATTATTCCCCCCAATACATGAAAGAATAAGTACAAAGGAGCCTCATATTAATGCTTACTAATTCATAGACATAAAGATCCTAGTTCTGGTGTCGTCATCCAGATGAAAGGTATACATTCAAACTACTAATGCCTTGTAAGTAGCCGTTATAAGCTATGACCTAGCTGCATCTTCTCTATTGTTCCTTGGAGGTTCTTTGTGAGTAAAAACACCCAGCCAATCAATAGTCTGTTACTTCAAAGGAGACATTACCATCACAATTGTTATTATTTACTCCTATTCCATGACCCCCTAGGCTAAAGTCCATGCAACTGTAAGTGTTTACTTTTACAAGTATAATAGGAGTTAGAGTAGTTTAACTACGTTCCACAAAGTATCAACAATTATGATATAATGAATTACACCACTATTAATATGTGAAATCAAACAGGCCACTAATTATGTTTACTTGTAAATGTTAGCTTGAATTGGATAGTATTTGCTTATTTGATATGAACTGCACTGACCAAAATAAATGAAAAAAAAAAAAAAATCCACAGGCACACTCAGTGAAAACAACATCATATAGCCTGATTATATAGAGCCAAATTATATGAATGATTTTACTGTAAATTTATAATATTCTTTTTTAAATCAAGTATATTTTAGCACATCTATTTGGTAATTATATGCACAACAATCAAATGTCTTATAAATATTTATGTCACATACTTCAGCCTCTTCGTTGTATGTCCTTGGTTTAAAGTTTATTTATTATTTTACTTTCATTATTTTCACACATATATATACATACATACATACATACATACATAATATACATACATATCGTAAATCAACATACATACATTACATACTTGTACAATATTATTAACATTTTAAATAGGAAAGCAAATAATAATGTAAAAAATAAAAATTTAAAACCAACCATGCAATGGTGCAATACTCTATTTCCTTATGTGCAGAAATCAGTGGGCAAAATGCATATAACTGTACACAGCTTGTGTCCTAGAATAACCATGCAGTGCTTGGTAATTATTGTGAGTGTTATCGTCATGGAGATCAATAAATATATTCTAAAAAGTCAGTCATGCATGAAGTCAACTTCTGGCAAACAATACTAAACTCTTGGATATTGTGGAAACAATATCTAGGTGAGGAAATCCTATAACCTTTTTTGATGTGTAATAGCCTAGGCATTTGGGTGTTGATGGGAATGTGATGTTGCCACTCACATGCTTTTAGGAGATTTTTATTCTTTTATAATAATTTGCTGATTGATTTTTATGCCACTGTTTGAATCATTCAATAATCAAAGCTTATTCATAGACAGGATAATAAGTACACTGGTTGGAAGTGGGTAGTGTTTATATTTATTTATAATGTATTTTATATTTATTTATAGTGTATTTATTTTTTATATTCCAAAGTCTTGATCAATAAGCCTGACAGCCAGAGTGCTAAACAAACACTATTATTAATTCCCAGGCAACTCAGTTTGTACTAGTCTTTTTGTTAAAAATTTGCTCAATTGTTTTGTACATTTATGTATTTTTGGTTGAATAAAGAATGAATAAATAAGTGTTATAAAGCACTTAAGAATTCCAACCAGTAATTTTGAGCTAAAATTGGGCCTATTTTTTCCAGCAAAAAATTCAGAAAAAATTGTTAAAATGATGAAAAAAAAATTGATAAAAACCACAAATTAGCTCTTTCAAAAAATTAGCACGCACTCAGATTCTTCTAGCTACTATAATCCAGTTCGCATATATTTGACACATTGATATTTAGTTTGTAATTGTTATACTTTAAAAATGAATTGTCCCCTAAAAATGGCAAAATATCATAACCAATATTTTGATATTAATTTGTTCATTTTCAGTAACATACAAATATCAGCTTGAGCATAGAAGAATAAAAAAAAAAATGTGTATCCTGATATTTATACTGGATAATGATAAAAAATAATAAAAACACACCAGGGACTAGAAGTGTTTCTATAATTTTTTGCTGTAAAATTATGGATAAACACTCATTTCCATGTTCAAGTTCATTAAAAAAGAGGAAGTTAATTTCAAAAATGATTTTTACAATATTTTTTGGATATTTTTCATAGGACAATACATCTTTAAATGTTTGAATTGTTATTTTTTCTTTATAGAAGGCAGGCCAATAATGCACACATTTTTTTTATACTGTACATTTCTTAGTGAGCATTTTCTTTTTAAAGACTGACAGAGAGGAAAAATCAAAAAGAATATTACCATTCCTGTTCTATTTCTTATTTGTATGTCGACTTAATATAATATACAAAGTACGAAATTTTAATATTGAATCTTATTTTATATAGACAGCGTACCTTTAATCATGCCTTAATAAAATGTGTACCCATGGGGTGTAATGACACGTAGTGTTATGGCACCTACAAGAATACCTACAATGTGAGGTCAAATCTTGACTGACATATCACAATAGATGACATGGTTTGTACATCCTGTAAAAAACAAACACTAGAAGTATTCAATGAACTTCGTCTACAAATCCATTCTATGTTTTGATTGGCCTATATCAACCTACTGTATACACATCTATGATGTCATTGAATGTTTGTACTTCAAAGGGGATTGAACTGTTGAAGGCTGACTCTAAGATACGAAAGGTGTCGGATGGAGGAAATCAACCCTACTGTACTATTTCAGGATTCAATTTTACAAAAATGTAAGATTCAAGAAAAAAAAAACCAATAATCTGACTCTAAGGAATTATTTTAGTACTAAAAATTTTTAGGTAGGGTGCTTACCATTTAATTTAAAAATTATATTTTTGTATATCTTAGTTAATTAGGCCTGATGTTACCACCAATATTTATGAGAGGCGGCCACACAATATTCACTTAATTTATAAGCCATGAAATACTCGCACCTGGGGCTGAAACATAGCGTGAGCCACTTCACAACCTGTCAACAATGCAAGCTGGGGTAACTAAGTATGGCTGGCCAAGAATGGTCAGCGTGTGGTTCGAACCTTCGACAACGAGTTTCACAACCTGAACGGAAATCACTGCGCCAAACCTCCTCCCCCAAGTGTGTATGTTGCAGATTAATAATAATAATAATATAATAATAATCTTCATTTATTCACGAGACTCTTTCACCCCGTGGGTGTTCTTACAAAAGGCTGTGAGGTACATGAATACAATTGTATAAAATTTATTAAACTAAACTAAAAAACAAATATGCACATTGACTAAATTGTAATAAACTAATTTAGCCTAATTGTATAAAAACAACACCACAAACCATTCAGTACAAAAAAATAAGGTTTAACAAATTTAAAACTAACTGGTTCACTGGTTCAATCAATGCCACATACCTACACACTAATGAAATTATATATAGTGCTTTCCATGTATACCTCTCAAAGCACTTAACTGCCCTAGTCATACGTTATTCAAACATTTGTGGTGAGAAACATTGTCCAACAACACAAATTAATGGTTATTGTATGGTTAGCTACTTACCATTTTAAGATGTGATGTTTCTTGGACCAATTCCTTGTTTTCTTCCTCCAGTAGAGTTTTCTCTTCTTGCATCTCAGCACCTTTAGTTTCATGTTCCATAAGGAAATCTTGAAGGTTTTTTATAGTCTGCAGAAAATAATAACATACACACACATCAATCTCTCTGTTAATCATCATTGAAGGGACAACATTACAGTGACAATTCGACAATGCCCTATTTTCATTTTATTAGTCACTTGCAGGTCAGCTGCATGGATATAAATTAAAACAAATTACATGAGTTGATCCTCAGGATGTTTACATGTTTAAACACTTGGATGGATGAATCTGCTACCTAAATTTAATAATAATAATAATAATAATAGTTGGATTTGTAGAGCGCATCATGCGAAAAAGCCTCTATGCGCTTGGTGATTGAGCTCTTTGATTTGGACATTTTGAGAAAAAAGAAAGTTGAAGTTATTTTTGTCTCTTATACACATCTAACCTACTCCTTAAACTAAGGCATGGTTGGCCGTTGGCTCCGAGGAGTTCATCCGCCCTTTGTTCAGCTGTTTTTTTTCGTGCTGCTGGGTGTCCATCCACCCTCCCATTGGCGGCCGCTAAAGACCACCATGAGGGAATATACTTCCAACATTTTCAGGATTCTGCAACTTTCTGATATGTAGTAAGACCCTGTATAGTGTTTCTTATATTATATTATTTGTGTTCTTGCTTTAAAGATGTATACTCAAATAATTTCTCCTTAATTACACTGTAAATGTGGAATTACAGCACATAATTACCGTCAAAATGTGTTATTGTATGATCATAAAGACTTATTGATCCCAACCAGGTTAAAAAAAAAAAGCAATTCAACTTGAGTAGAACGTTAATAGAATGTTGAGAATGATGATAATGCTTCCATTACATTGTTTACAGTCATTTAGAGAGGCATTTATTCCAATTGGGGCTCTACCTGTAGATAAAGGGGGGGGAGTTTATTCGAGAGGGCGTTCATTCGAAAAAATACGGTAATTATAATAGGTAAATTTATTAATATGCTGAAAATAAGTGGCTACCTTCTTGTGTTGTGTGACTTCTTTTTCCATTGTAAGTAATCTCTGTCGTTCCGTCTTATTCAAGTGCCGCTCTCGAAGATTAAGTTCTCGCTCTAATTCTGTTACCCTCTACAAAGGAAATCAAACAACGGTTATGCAACTTGTTCCAAATTGTATCAAACTCAATAATGAGAGAGCGAAAAAATTATTATGACACCAGGCTAGTTATCTGGAGGTCGTGGGTTCGATTCCCACCCAAATCAAATGCAAAATTTGTTTTTGCAAGTAACTGGGAACGGAGCATTCAGTACGATGCCACATCAGGTAGGAAAAAACATCATTCCGATTAAACCAATAATGGTAGCTAAAGAGATGACAAAAGGTTAATTATTAACCATCATTTTATATGGATGAAGGTTCGCCAAAGGAGCAGCCAAAATGTGGTAAGCTAAAATTATTATTGGATTTGGAAACTATTTTACATATTTTTTAAAATTAAGAAATATGATATAATAATCATTATCTGCAGCGCATGCTGTTAAAAAAAACACAATGGGCATAAATGATGTTAAGTCACTTAGATTCTGTTGTAAATCATTGGATAAAATAGCATGAAATGCACAAACCATGCTGTTGACATCAATCATTCAATCCATACAAGCATGTAGCTTTTTTAAAATTTAACTTTAACTATATTGTAAACTTAAAAAACAGTGGGATGTGAGAGAACCCCTTTAAAGGTCTCTTCTTTCACCTTGCCTCTCTTTCTGAGGACAGTAGAACTCATGTAAGACATTTATGGCCTGTTTATACTTGGAAGGATAATGATAAAAAAACTAAAAAGCAATTGTTCACATAGAAATAAAAGAAATCAGGGAAGTTTTTACACTAGGATTATTCGATAACGATTTATCGTGTATTTGATAACACAATATTTTGACAAATCAATTCAAATGACGTCATAATCATGGAAAAATTGTAAAATTGTTGATACTACTACGATTTTATCGTTTTTCCATGATTATGATGTCATTTGAATTGATTTGTCAAAATATTTTGCCATCGTATACACGATAAATCGTTATCGAATCGTCCTAATATAAAACTTATCTTATTTCTTATACTTTCTCTATGAACAATTGCTTTTTAGGTTTTTATCGTTATCACTGCAAGTATTAACAGGCCTTTTCGGTGTAAAAATACTTTTTATTCCAAATTTATTTCACAGAATGTTAAATTTTTCTGTGTAATTGCTCACATAACAATATTCATGTGGACATTAAGAAAAACATTTCTAAGTATTTCAAAAGCAAAGCCTGTGCAAATAGCTTGATACATACAACAACATGAAACATTTACTGTCATTTCATAGATCATAGCACAGGTTAAATATAATTTTAAATCAATAAGATAATGCAACCAAAAAAAAAAATCCAAATCACTTTTTATGTGATTTTGACCATTTCAGACTTCATGTCTTCATTTCTAAACTATAATTTCAAAAATGTATCTACACACTATTAAGTTCCAATTCAATCTAATAAAACATTTAACATTCATACCCAAAAAGATAGTATGCTATATAAAAAGAAATAAATAATAATAAACAATGGATTTATGAAATTTCTAGAGCCACCAATGTGTGGGTCACGATAAAATTGCTGTCTGGTAGGCTGAGACCTGCGGACTGCACTTTGCCCACCTGTGATATATATCCATTAGGGCTATACATTGTGTCACAGATAAGAAACAAAAAATAATTAAACAGACTGGATCAGATTTCTGAGTGTGGGTGATGTAGAGGGATATGTGTGAGTACACACAATCAACCTTTGCTAGACTCAAATGAATGCAATTATTAATGATAATAATAAATCAAACATAAACAATTAATCATTTACCTTTGCATAAAGATAAACAAAAATTTAGCATGCACTAGTTAAAAATAGAATTAAAAAAATGAAAGGGCCAATAAAATGAGGTGAACGTGGTTAAAGGTACTGGGTATGAAAAAATTGTGTTAATAGCTGATATTGAAATACTGCAAAGACAAGGATAGCAAATACTGAAATAGAAATAGAAGAAAAGGTCACCTGTTTCAGAAGACACCTTGATGAATGAGGGTATCTCTTCAATGAGAAGGAAATTAATTACACTAATTTAAAGTATCAACATAAAAAACTATTCAAAATTATAAATGGAAACACATAGTATACCATGAAGGGGCCTAGGCTCATGAGGGGAATGGTGAAATCTATTGCCCTGAGGTGATGTGGAGATCGTAGCCTATCTTCCCGATCGCCGAAGGCCTGAGGGAAGATAGGCTATGGTCTCCACAACACCGAGGTGCAATAGATTTTACTGTTCCCCACATCTAAAGCAGTCAATACTTGTTTTATATATCTCATAAATAGATTCTACAAGGCCTAAAAAAGTACTTACTTCCTAGCCTAGCCTCAAGGCCTACTAACTAGGGCCTGGGGCCTAGACGATCAAATAGTGTGTCTAGCTCTTGTTTGCTCATTTCCTCAATTTCAACCCATCGTCTTGCAATATTTGTAAATTATTGACAAGACATTTAGTTTGTCTTTTGGTGCTTTTGCTATCGGCTTCGTCAAGCAGTATAGGTCTAGGCTAGGCCTATTTCTTCTTCATCCAGGAGCTTGAACCGACAGCCTCCATAATTATTTTTTATCGTCTACTCGCTGATCCGTGGCGTGTTCAAGGGCAAATCTCTTACGTTGTAGAGGTCACAGTCCCCTCTACCGTAAGTGGGATGGTAGGGCCTAGAGTTTGCACCACGTGACAAGTCAAAAAAGTGTTATTTTTTAGGGGAATAGTACTTCATATTGCCCGCTTCTTAACCGATCAAATGCCTAGAATCTATGTATGAGGTATACTGTATACTACAAAATAGTTTATAATAAAGTGTGTATGATAAATCGTTGCTTTCACCACTAACAGAGAGAAAATAGTTAGTGCGAGTTTGTGAAATCATATTTGTTGTCAAGTACTTTTGTATTTTTTCCAACAAAAAACAGCGTGTATTTCATGATCTAACACAAATTAATTTGTGTATTTATTATTTTAATTTAAAAAAATAAAAAATGAGTAATCACATTTGTTTTTTAATTATCAAATAGGTTTTGGTATGACATAATATAACTGAAACAAACTTTAACAAAAGTTATCTCTGGAAGATGTGTAAAATGTTTGAAATATAAACTGAAGATGCCCTGGTCTCGCTTTATAAGAAGGTTGTTTAAACTATCTTTATTTCTAAATTTTTCTCGAAAAAACTTCCTTCAAAATTTGTATTTTTAAATTTTATAACCCGAGTTATGATTTTCACATTTTACCACACTGACAAAGAAAAAAATATTCCTATTCCTAATATTATCCGTAGTAATAAAGAACATTTAAGTTTATGTTTTAATAAAATATAGTGCTTTGTTTATTTTTACCGTCCATAGTAGAATACATTTCTTTTGAATTTTATAATATATAACATTTCTTTCAAGAATATAATAAACAAATTTTGACCGCTGTATCATTAAGCTCAACTAAACATATCTTCAACTTACCTGTTCCAATTGTTTATTTTCATTTATTTTCTGCTGTAGCATCTCATTCTCATTGGTCCTTCCTTCATTAGCATCACTCAATCGCTTCTTGAGTTTTTCATTTTCTTGCTGTAGCCGTTCTTCACTTCGTTTAAAAGCGCCCTCTACTAACTCCATCTTTTCCTCCACATGCTTCAGCTGTTCCACTGTCTGTTGTAACTCATTGACTTTCTGAAAATGAAAAATGTAGGTTCATTTTAAAAATTTTATTTCTCCTTTTTTGTAAGAGGGTAACCCTTCCAGCTGAACCTGTAGGCCAGCTGATATATAAGGGCCCAATTAAAAATGTAGATGCATACAGATAAACATTTATATTTGAACAACTTGATTATTGTTAATTAAATCAAAAAGATACGTTCATTCTCTATCTATTGTTTTTAAATTTTTGCTGTTTCCTCTGTGATTTTATCTTTTGTGTCTTGTTTTAACTTACATTTTAACTGTGAACAAACAAGAAGAATTTCAAACCATGTTCTCACTGTGTTTGACAATAAAAGTTGAATTGAATTGAATTGAATTGACTGACAGAGTAAATAGTGTGTGTAAGTATGTATATTCATAAAAGCCATAACTTAATAAAAAGCATAAAATATGCTAATTAAAATCTTTAAACCCCCCCAAAAAGAGTTGATGTGGCTTACAGTAGCTACCTGTCTCAAGAGGTGGTCAATGCAGTTTATAATAGACAATTATCAGAAAAATAGACAAAATTTGACCAAATATTAATAATGGTACTTATACCCTTCTCAGACTAGCATCGCACTGCGATCGGTTGTAGCAATCACACACAATTGCAAAGTAAAATTGTGTGTGAAAGCACCAATAGTAGTCGATAAGTATATCGATATCGCAATTGTTACACGTTGCGATTGAGTGCTACAATATTTATTACTCCTGATTACCATGGAATACGATCGCAACGAATCACAACAAATTCCACAGGCACTGTTTGGTTGCGGTCAGTCAACATAGGCCTAGCTATAGGAGGCCAGACCCTAGAATGTAAAGTTTGTTTGCGTTGGTCTGAATGCGCTTGTTGATTTCGATCGGGAGTAACAGTATTGGATTACCACCGATTAAATTGCAACCGATCGCAACAGAGTGTAGTCTGAATAGGGTATTAGTATGCATGTTTTCATGGTTAATCTTTTATATTTTGTACTACAATATGACTATCAGCTTTTAATGAGCATATGCATCTAATTGATCAATCAACTGCTTTCAGTTGAACAGCTTGCTCAAGAGTTGGTCTTGAGAGGTGAAAAATAGGAAACAAATATATTTTTCTCCTTGCCTTTCAACTCAAAATTTGGAATGCACATGAGCAAATTTATTTCAGCAAAGCTAGAAAAAGGTGAGATCACAAAATCTGAAATGCAGTACAATCAATCAATAATTTACTTGGCCAGTCAACATAGGCCTAGCTACAGGAGGCCAGGCCCTAGAATGTAAAGCGCTCAGAATATGCGATTGAGAAAAGGTGCATTTTCAGACTTTACTTGAAAACCTGTAAATTGGGAGATAATTTAATGTTCTCGAAAAGAATTCCATAATTGAGGTGCAACGCTAGAGAATGATAAGCAACCAAAGCAATGAAGTTTCCATCTTGGCACGTTCAAAAGGTGTTTATGTGAAGACCTCATGTTACAAGGAGGAGTTCTGCTGTGAATTATGTCAGAGAGATATGATGGAGCAAGTATGTTTAAAGATTTGTATGTTGTGAGCAGCAATTTAGATTGTATTCGTTATCAACAGGCAAACAGTGTAGTTCCTTAAGAATTGGAGTGATGTGGTCATATTTTTTGATACATGTACAATACACAGAATTCAACTTGGAGAGAGTTTTAAATTCAGTTTTCAAAATTACAGAGAGGTTATTCATTCCCTACAGGTGTAATCCTTCTTAACATTAATTCAATCATTAATTCCTGTTTATACTGTCAATCAGTCAAGTTAATTATTACCCTAGGACCTTGATATCCGTTTCTCGAATCCATTTCAATAATTTTCAACTCATCTAGCAAATCTAAAAGGAACGATTTCGTTGATAAGTTGCATGAAATAAACAGGTGAACAGGCATAAATGCACCTGCATTTTGGCCACATTCCTACATAATTGTGTTTCTAATTCTGTATATTCTTAATGATGAAATCAACCGAGTACTTGTGTAATAACTTACAGTTGAGTAGCTCTTCTTTATTGTAATGGATGTCTGAAAAGTATGTGTACTGCACTTCAAAAAAATATTGGAAAATGGGTCTGAATGTAATTTATTAAAATCTCGTAATATTTTTAAAGCGGTATACTGTAACTTGCAAGCATTGGCGAATCAAGTGGCGAAGCGGCAAGGCTGGGGCGTTGCTAACTACAGCCTTAACATTGGCGCTGGTTCAAGCCGGTCCCTGTCCTGGGTTCGGTTGGTAGAACCAAGTCGTCTCGGATAAGGACTTAAAATGGAGATCCAGAATACACATCTGGCCCCAGTGCATCAATTGCATCTTTCAGAAAAGTAAAGGATTACCCCGATGCTATGGTTAATTTCAGCCTCTGCCATTGTGCAATGATGTGAACATGTAGCTACTATTAATAGGTGCTTCTTTACAGCAGCTAGGTAATCACAGACCACGCACAATGGCGCTGCGAGCATGTGTTATTCTCCTACCTTTACCTATGCTTTCCTATCAAATAATAATCTATTACTAAGGCCCACATCATTGGGCTGCTAAATTTACTTGGTTCACAAAGCAACCCAAAGTTTCACTACGTGATTGACAGGTGCAGAATACTTAGAGAAAAATAAATATATACATCATACACAATTCCTTACCACTTGTGCACTTTGACCTTCTACTGTTTGATTGGCAAGTTCAGCAGTCATGTTAACCTTATCAGTTGCTAAGATATCTCTCTCATTTTCTACTTCTGAAATGTCTCTCCTCAAAGATGTTATTTCCTCTTCCATTGCTATCAATCTCTGAAACATCCAATGAATATTCATGAAAATATTAACAAATGCAGAGATCCCAAGTTTGAAAACCAAAAAATAGGGAGAATTTTTTCGTGAAGCGATTGCCCCCTGTAGTGATGCGCTGTGACGCCTTACGACGCGCTGTGAAACATGAAAGTATTACACAAAATGAAGAAAACAAACAATTTTCATCAATTTGTTTACTTTTATTTAACAATTTTACATTTGTTTACATATGCAGTTGGCCTAAAATATAAATTTATAAATATTATTATTTATTTAGAATTTTGCTAGTAAAGCATTCTTGGCAGCAGTCAACAAGGCTTTGCTAATATGCATTGGCATATTAGAGGCTATGGCTGATTTACTACATCACTTCAAAGAACATAGAATTCTAGCAAGGTAACTGCAACTTGCAAGATCCACACGATTGCTAAAAAATAAAAAAATATATATATATATTTTAATTTAGTTAGTAAATCATACTACATGTTTTAAGTCAGCATTTACATATGTCTAGCCTATAATAATTGGTACATAATGCCATGAAAAAACATTAAATCCTGCCTCGCTAGGCTCCATCTGTACGTGCGTAACTAGGCCTAAGGCCGCAGACATGACCACCACTACATACAGAAGCCCACTCAACACAACACACATACCCTGCAGTGCAGATAGAGCCTAGGCCTACATGTATTTCGGGATTGATATTAAAATAAACTTCATTTTTCGGAAGACTACTTAGTACCAAAACCTACTAACTATGACTTTTTTAGTATTGTTATTAAAGAACTGAAGCTTACTTGAAAGAAAAAGTATTTTTTATGCACCGATTCTACAAACTTCCAAATCTTCGCGGCGAAAAAACTTGTGGCATCCATTCCCATGTGATTTCTAATTTCGTTAATTTGTTGAAATTTATTTACTCAACTGACAGCCATCTCATTGGTTGAGGTCGGCGCGGTTGAAAAAGATCGTAACATGGAGGATAAACTAGGCGATTCTACCACGGATCTAGGCCTGCCAATTGCCATGGAGTTGTTATTTTGATAAACAACTTAAATAACAACTCCCTGGTCTTGTTTACGACATTTTAAGGCTGAGCGAGCGCCATAGTATATTGGCTTAAGATAAGAATTGTTTCATTGCTCTATGACATCGAGGAAATCACATTTTTTTGTGAAATTTTCGGGATATTTAAAAAAATCGGGAGATTATTAATAAAAATCGGGAGGGAGGGAGGCGGTCTCAAAAATCGGGAGAACCCGCCATTTTTCGGGAGACTTGGGATCTCTGCAAATGATACAATTGGTCAGTTGGTGCAATGAGCATTATTCAGGTTCAGATTTCTTTATTTTGTCTAAAAGAAAATTACAGTAGGTGCAAAAATACATCGCAGAAAAAAGATACAGCAAATGTGAAAATTAAATTACATTGTTTTATATAAAAGACCATTAAGGATGTGCACCGAGTTTAAGTGCAAAGAGTATGAATGTCACTCCAAAAATTGATAAGACCAAAGCTTAAATAGTGGCTTAGCGGCATCCAAAGAATTAATTTTTTTTCTCTACTTTAAAGGTAATTAATTATTTATTTTGCTTCCTGACCATAAACTTGGTTCTCACACTGAAAACTTGCTCTAATCTACATCTCAGAACTGTTTATTCCCAATATACTTTCTCATCAGGATACTTACTTTGCTGTGATTGGATAATTGCCTCATTTAAATAAATACATATTAATTAGGATTTCTGGTAATTTTTGATTGTTTTTGTTTTTACCGATAAAGAGTTTAAGCTTAAAAAGTAGAAAATACAAAAAACTATAACGAAGACCATTTTAAAATCTATATTGAAGAGCAAAACGATCACACAACACTGTTACATAAGCCATTTTCCAGCCTTTTCAGCTCATTAAAAAAGTATTTTTCGTTGAGTAAGTGTAAAAAGAAAATTAAATATATAAATAAAAAATAAAATGCCAACCCTCAATTTTGAACATTTTGGGTCGGTCGGATGTGGCCAACACAATATTTTTTTTTATTTGGCCTTATTCCTGATGATGTTTAAAAGAAATAAAAGTGAAATGTAGTATGGCCTTGTCAATTTTAGGAGTGATATTTATATTATTTTTTTTATAAAGTTTTTAAACATTTATGAAGCTGCACTTAGATATTGTATATACATAATCATATTGCTTCCTTGATGAACTTGACAATGCTCTAAATAGTGCAAATCAAATAATGATGTATAATATACATTATATAATACACTATACTAATATTAGTATATTAATATACTATATTATAGTCAATTCAGATCTAGTCTACATTGTACTGTTTACACTGCTATGACAATTGATGACAACATCCCAAACCGATGACAATGACAAAATTCATCATTTTACCTTGTCAGCCACATTCAACATCTTGAGCGTTTGACCCAGTAACTCCGAATCTGGTCTTGATAAGAAACAATCCTAAACAAGAAAATAAGAACAAGAAATAATAAATGAATTTTGATCTTCCTATCAATTTTACATATGATATTAATGACAGGATGTCTGAGTTTCACAGATAAAGATGCAAAGGAAACAAAGAAATAGAAAAATCAGTCATCTGCAGCAAATATAATTCAAACAATGAATCATTACTGAATATTACCATTATCACCTTTACCACAAGACTCAATCACTCAATTGCACCATTCCAACAGTTGCTCTATTTTTAAACCTGGTTTGCATAAAAATCACAACATGCTATCTCTGACTCTTTTGGCGATGCTGATTGGTCAGTTGCATCAAGGAGAGTTTCAGTGCAAGGACTGCAGTGAAAATGCTGTAGCGACTGTATGGTGATTGTATGGAAACCAAGCTTAACATGAATGTAATAGTAGATGACCCAAGTTTATTGACAATAAACCTTCAGGTTAGTAGAATAAACTATGGCATAAACATATAGACAGGGATCATCTGTTTCTTTCCTCCATGGATAAATTAACCAATTACCAGTTACATAACCAAAATGATAAAATGGTCCACAGTAAACTATGGATTTCTACAGTGTTTGTTGAAGAGTACAGGAATTTATGGTACTATTATTTGGAAGGACTAGATTGTCTTCGGATGTTCTGTCCTATACAGCATCACTCACTTATCTCATTTACCATCACTACCACCCCATGGGTTCCCAGTCAGAATGAATTTTGTATTACATAATTTACTTAACTACTACCGATGAGTTACTTGATTTGGTAAGACAGCCTATCAAGAGGCCCCTAGTAATGTTTCTAGATTCAGTATTATAAAATAAAAATAAAATTAAAATATGTTCTATCTAAATAATATAATGAATTCAAAAGATGATAAATACCTTGTTCAATGCTTCTAGACGTTGCTTTAATTCACTAAACAAAATTTCCTGGTAGTCAAAAGAAATGGAATAAACTTCTTAATTATGCAATAAATTGGCAATTACTTTTATTAAATTTTGAATAAGTAAGATAAGATAAGATAAGATAAGATTTATTGGTTCTCTCTTTTATAACAGAGGAACACTCTCGCGCAGGAGAGGTTCGACCCGTACAACAGTTACAAAACAACAACTGACAACATATAAAAATGAATTATTGAAAAGATAAATGAGTAAAGAAAAAAATACTGGACAAACAAAACAAATACTCTCATTATTCTGTAGTAATTAAGGAATAACTTAATGTACAAAAAAAAAAGATAGAAAAAAGTAAAATAAAATTTTAAAAAATTTAAAAAAAAAAAGAGAATTCAATTACAGAATATAAAGTAAATAAATAAATAAAAATGTAAGTAGTAATTATTAGTATTATTAAAATGGCACAGAGTATCTTATCTAATTGTATTTTTTTTTCTGGGTTTTTATAGCAAACTAAGTATAAAAAGCTTTAATAAATTATTTTATATAATATTTTATATTTATTTATTTTATATTTTTTTTAATATAATTTATGTATATAATGGTAAATATATCTCATATACCAGTACACAAACATTTTGATCAAGTTTATTGGCTAAAGAAGAATTTATAAAGTAACACATTTAAAGAAGTATTCCAACAGATGTTATCCAACAAGATATCCTTCTATTGTGTTGAAAATGTAAGTATGTTCAAAGGATTATTGTATATATAATTTCCAAATACATACATCAAAACTGTCTAGAGTACAAGCATACTGGAGTCCAGCTCCATCTGTGCTTAAATGGTGAGTAATCTAATAAAAAAAAAAAAAAAATTATTATTAAAATATACAGCAAATATTTCAATTTCATCACTCATTTCTAGTAACGTTTAAAGTGGTCCCAAGTCTACTGCACTCCCCCAAACAAGCAAAGATCTACCGGAAAATAACCAATCCCCCACAAATTCATATTTGTACGTTTTTACTAATTTATTACGTTGTCTCATAAAATTCAGTGCCAATGGGTGCATAGCCTAGCATCTAGGTGCCCCATTAGATGATTCAATTTGCCATAAGTATTACTCGGCCTAGCAAAACACAATAAGATGTGTTATAGGTAACAGCCGCCCAAAAAATAAAGAAAATATAAAAAAATTAAATAAACAATTCAATTCCTAATTTTTAAGAAATCATTATTTTCTATGATAAATATAATGGTGCAAAAAATATTTTGTGAAAGGTATTATTTATTGAAATGTCCATAAATTTATGTTTTTGCAGTTAAAAGCTAATAAATTAATGAGATATAAAAATTATGGAAATTTCTATTTTTAAGTGTATATTTTGATTATGTGTGGCTTCATATCTTTTATAAGGCAATTTTTTTCCGTATCTCATTAAAATCTTCTCAACTTGGAACCTCTTGCCAACATTTACCATTATTCTTGGCGTGCTTGCTCTTGGTGAGCCTGTCTCAATGATGTCATCTCCTTCAGATGTCTCCAGTAGTTGGAATTCCAGAAGCTCTTTCTCATCCTCTGCTTGCTTTAAGGAGTACTCCAGTTCATTCACCTGTAGGATACAAAATAGTAATTTAGTTATGGTAACAATTTTATGAATTTGTATATTCTCACATATAAGATGAGGCTTAAAATAGAAAATTAAAACAGGGGGTAGTCTTATACAGTTGGGAGGACATAGTACATGAAAATGTTGATCCAACATCCTGCCTTTAAATAACTTACATATTTGTCGTGGTTGCTAAGTTTTAGTATGTAGAAAAACCATGGAGAATGGTGTTGCAAAATCAATTGTTTTGTGGAGGCAGGGGTGCAAAACAGTATTATTGAAAATGTTGATAAAATATTGGCCCTAAATTTGATATAAAATATAAACATAAATAGTAATCAGTTTTTGCAATGAACAAGTTATATCAGTTTAGCAGGGCGAGTAGATTTAGTATAACTTAATTATAAACTGAAATATTAATGAATAAATATCAATACAAATTTTATTTCCATATTCAGTATTCATGCAGCAAAAACATGTTGCCATGGAGATACAAATCAATTTTGTCAGACATTAAAATATATCTTAAAACTGCAGTTGCTTCTCTCAACAAAGAAGGCACCAATATTCAGGTGAAAATAACAAATAAATTATTATTGTAAGAACATAAAAATAATGATAATATAACGACGGCGGCGACGACGAAAACAATAAGACTTAATAGCGCATCTCTATGCCCTTCACATTGTTATTACTCCGGTCTTGGATTAAACACCTATGGAACACAAACTCAGCTCCTCGAGGGAGTATTCCATAACATTGCGGCAGCTAATCAGTATATTTGGCATTTTAACCTTACTGGGTACCCACTTACACTCCCTGGTGGAGAGAAGCAATGCTCAAGGACACAAGCGAAATGTGCAGCGAGAAATTGAAAAACCCTGACCTAATGGTTGGGAAAACCAAACCGTTCATGCTGCGCCAAACCACTTCTACATGTATGTAACAGAAGGGGTTATTAAGAAAGAGAATTATACCCCTAAAACCAACATTAAACAGGAGGTGGGTAAATTTAACAAATACTGTAAGCAAAACTACTACAGGTATATATTCCCTGACATACTGTCTTTGTAATACAACTTGCTTGTTGTAAAATTAAGTATTGATTCTCAACTAATTATAATGCAATCAAATGCTAATTATTTATTTAAATAATAAAATTGTAAATTGACGAGATAAATTTAATAAATAAGCAACTATATAAACTGCTTTTATCCCCTGACATACCCTTCATAATACAACTTGCTTGCTGTGAAATTAAGTATTGATTCTCAACTAAATATAAGGCAATCAAATGCTATTTACTTATTTAACTAATAAAATTGTAAATCTATGTCTTCATGCTACTATAAATATGAGCAAAGTATATAAGTATTGATAACTTCACTAAAATGAAAAACAGAAAAATAAATAAAAGAAATAAAAATCTAAAAGAATATCATACCTTCAGCTTAGAGGAAGAGGAATATACGAGAATGAAATTATGAGACAAATTAAATTTAAAAAATGACAACATTTGCTAAAAAGTGTAAGTAGTTATTTAAACTGCTTGAAATAAGATAAAAACACTAAAAGATTCATCCAAGTACTTTTGGTTGGTTAAAGAAAATATGGTAATTTATATTTTTATTATATTATACTGATGATGATGATAAAAATAATTATGATAATACGACATTGATAATAATAATGAAAATAGTGATGGTACAGATATAGATATGATGATATTGATGACAATGGTAGCGATGTTATCGTTTATGATGAAATGGTGTTTGTGATGATGATTATGGGGCAATAATGATAATGATAATTATGATCTCAATAATATGAGATGATGATGATGATGGTAATATAGTAATGATAATGAATATGATAAAATGATATTGGTGATGCTGATTATGAGATGATAATTACTAAGAAAACAATGGTGATTACAATAATAATGATAATAATAATAATACAGATCATAATAATGATGATAGTGATAAAGATTTTGAGGTCATTCTCTTAAAATAAGATGGCACCGTCAATACCACATGCACTACAAACACTACTAAAGTTCATTATCTCCAAGAATAATGAATGTAATGCACTACATAGTACAGTATAATGGGGTTAAACTTTTGATGGTAACATTGCCATCTAGCGCTATGCATGCTCTTCTACCTACAACTCACACATAAATACTGGGCCTAGGCTTCATTTACACAGGCCTAGGCTTCTAGGTGACGAGAAACTGTGTAACATTCAAATGAATCTAAAACATCCACAGAGACAATGTTAAAAAAAAAAAATCACAGAACACAAAAGAATGGCTAAAATTGAAAATTGAATTATATATTTAAATAACTATCTTTGTAAAAAACTTATTTACTATTAAAATAAATTGGTATAATATGATATTTTAAGAGTAGATATGTCAAAAAAAAAAAAAAAAAATCAATATTAATTTTATATTTCAGCACAGACTTTCAATAATTTTATATAGAATATGTCAATTTTAGAAATAATTAAGAGATCATTATGAATACATTTTTATAGCACTTAATCATCCATTTCTTCTCTATTAATATTAAGCATTCTTCAGAAATGCAATCAGTAACGGTAATTAATTATTAGTTAAAAATTCGTAAAGCACAAAGACCAAAAATAATTATTCTGTATTAATAAGTATTAAATCACTCCTATGAATTCTATTAATATGTTTGGTTACTATATTAAAAAAATAATAAATCCCATGCATCAATATAAAACAAAATTAAATTTACCTTTTCATTGGACTTTTTAATCTGCTGTTGCATCGCCCTTTTCTCATTTAGCCAATCCACACTGGTGCCATTATCCTGCAGTGACTTCTGTAGTGCTTCTATCGTAGCCTGGCTTTCAATAAGGTCAGATTCTAAATCTCTTCTCATCTTAAAAATATAACAACATAAAAAATGTTTATGAAAATCATTAAAAATGTATGCGAGTTTGCAATTTGCATGAGTCTGACAATATTAGGCATAAAAAAAAGTAGCATGTCCCATATCTGACCATCCTAAAGTCCTCAAAATCTATTGCTGCCACTTTTTTTGCAAATATATTTCCTAATGAATTAGGAGCCACATATACTAAAAGGGTTAAAACAAACATTTCTTCGGCTTTATAATTAGTAAATCTGAGAGCTTCAACTACCTTTGCATTAACCTAAATTTATGGGGTGAGTGATGGTTGGCTCTAGAATCAGGTCTATAAACTTATTATAGTAAGTAAAAGTTTCAAATATATGACAAGCCAAACCTAATTTGCAAATGTCACTGAACTTTGGGCAATACAACAATTTCAGCAGGACTACCATAGTGACACTAACATAATGATGTGGTAATGTAAGGTTGCATAGAATTTCTTTACCTTTGCCTCTCTCTGTGGGTCCAGCGTGCCTCCTACCATTGTCTGTAGCTGAGTATATGCTTTCTTAAGTTGAAGGTACTCTTTGCTTAGCTGTTGGTAATTAGCCTCTAATTCTGCTTTATCAAACTGAATATAAGAAAGGAGGGGAATAGCAAAAACTTAAGACGGAGAGAAGACCTCACCAGGTGTGGATAACAGATGGACCAGTACATTATGACAGATTTGTCACCGAAAAGGCAAAGTGAAAAGTGAAACTTAATGATATCACCTGTTAACTCTAACGAAAATAAGTATAGGCTATTAATTCCTACCTCATTCCATCCATCTTCGTCGTCCGAGATGATGGACGTACCACATTCAGATGCAAGACTAACTTCATCGTTCAGAGATCTCATACTTCCATTCTTGTCTACACTCAGAACATCCCTGTTGGCATCCTGAGGAACATTAAAAAAATCAATAACCACCATGAAAGTAAGAAATCAAGTTGACTCGGTGATGAATGTGTCTGCTGAAGCCGGAAACCTGGGTGTTAGGTTCGATTCGTCACTTTCAATGAAAACCCAAGTGAAATAATTTTTAAATTATTATTATTATTATTATTATTATTATTATTATTATTATTATTATTATTATTATTATTATTTAATATTATTATTATTATTTTTTTTTTATTATTATTTATTATTTAATTATTTAAAAAAAAATTATTTTATAGTCAATTTGATTTAAATTTAGATTTTTATTTATATAATATATTTATATGTAATAATTTCTTTTCCTTTGTTACTTAGTTATTTTATTTTTTATTTTTTAAATTTTTTATTTATTTATTTATTTTTTTTAATTTTTTTTTTAAATTTTAATTTCTTTGTTTTTCTATTTATATTTCTTTTGTTACTTGTGTTATGTATTGAGGGTCCTTAATGATCAGCTCCGGCTGGATGGACCACCCTCGTAAAATATTGTTGAAATAAATAAATAAATAAATAAATAAATCTATATGCTCTTCAGCAATGTTGGGCATTAAAAAAATTGGCAGCATCCGTAGGTTTCTGGACGATAGGTCTGCTGCAACATTGGTTCATGCATTTGTAACCTCAAGGCTGGATAACTGTAATAGTCTACTCTACAACCTTCCAAAACTCACATTTCAGCCTCAACCTGTACAAAATACTGCTGCTGGACTTTTCTCATGCTTTAAGCCATATTGCCACATTACACCAGTTCTTCAAAACTTGTACTGGCTAAATCAGCGAATAGCTTTCAAGATCCTGCCTCTTACATACAAGTCCATTCACAACCTTTCTCCATCGTATATTTCAGAGCTCATCCCCACTTGCATACCGATACGGAAACTTCGATCTTCTTCTTAACTCAATCTTGAATTTCCGAAAATGAGGATGAGTTATGGCTCTCGTTCGTTTGCAAATGCCGCCCCAAAACTATGGAATGGTCTTCCTCAGTACATCAAATCGGCTGATTCTATCGAGTCTTTCAAAACCCTGCCAAAAACTTTTCAGTTTAACAACACTGAATATGCATATGTTTTCCTTTAATTCATACAGGGTGGTGAGGTATGTGCTATCGTTTGTGGAGTGTCCAAAGCGGGGCCCCCACCTGTTGCTTACTCGAGACGTTGTTGTCTTTTGCAGTGCACGGTAGTAGAGCCGAGGACTTATTCTGTCTTTGGAAGCTACCGGAGCCATGCATACTGCCTAACATAGTGCCTATGTGCACCTGGGTGTGACAGCGACGTTTGCTTTCGACATCGGTGGGTGGAGCCCTGTTCTGGATACTTACACCGATAGAGCAAATGCTTTTTTGGAACTGTTTTAGTTTAAGTACCGCAGTTGTTTACTGCTTGTTTTCTTTTCTTTTTGTAAAGCGCATTGAGGCCTTTTGCAGAATGCACTACCATAAGTATGCAATTATTGTCTTTATGCAGTATTACTCGTTTATATTATTCGGCGGTAAGATTTTCTTATAGCTTGCTTAGAATACGTGTAAAAAATGTACAGAGGTACTACTCCAGTCATATTTCAATTTATATGACTATACTTACCATTATGCTTTACTTTAAGGTACTAAAAAAGCATATAGTGAAGTTAAAGTCATAATGTAGCAACATTACAGAAGCAGCAGTGGAAGACATCTGCACTACTATACTATACAATACTATAGCAACAATAGCAATTATATACTCACTGTGGCAACATGTTTCAGTTCATCTATCACTTTTGCTTGTCGTTCCAACTTTGCTCTGAGTAGTTCAACTTCACTTACTTCTTCTTTTATGCTGTTTGCATGCTCCTCATTCAAAGCTTTCTTTAAGTTTTTATTCTCTCGCTCCAACCTGCTACGCATCTGGTCCTTCAGTGTTCGCTATATTAAAAAAAGAAAATCACATAGAATATTGCCTCATGTAGTAATATTATCAAAATTTAAAAAAACCATGAATATTTTCACATAGAATTATTCTATTTACACATATTTTATTTTCATAGATTTATATCAGGCACAGAATATCACCAAAGATTACAAACCTGCAAAAGGCCAAACTCTCACATGGTTTCGTTGGAACATAATTCTATTTCAAAAAGTACTGCCATGAAGGGGTGTGTCCTAAAAAGACGAGTTTCGAGCGAACTCTATTCGAATAGGAATTCTAATAGGGCACCCCCTATCTTGTGGCAATACTTTTTTTTTTAACGTTCATACAAAATTAGGTCAGTCAGACCTCTTGCAGTTCGATACTCTTTGATACCACTTGCACCCATGTCATTTGACATAATATCAGAATTTTATGTACAATATGAAAATCTTCTCCACTACCTGATGAGTATTCTTTAAAGTATTATTATCCAAATTTTTCATATTCAGATACTAACAAGTACCCATTTGTTGACAAACCAGTATTGGATAATATAAAGGTTGCTGCAAAATTGAGAGCTCTTCAAAGGACAAGGAAAATAAAAATACATCAGTAGTCATAAAAACTTAATAAGAAAACATTTGACATACATTTTGAGGCAATAAAACATCACCTTTTAGAGTTACAGTTTGAATAAGGAAAGGTAGATGATTCTAAAAAAACTAGTCTCAAACACACCATTAATAAAATTTTAATATTTAAATTTTTGGAATTTTCAAGATTCGAACCTTGGACCATGAGATAGGAAGAAAAGCACTTCAACTATCAAGATCCACTCCAGTATTATAAGAACTATATTGCTAATATACAGAGTTGATCATACATATTTGCACATACATTTTATAGCATGAGTAATGTTTACATTACAGTACACATAGTGATTACTATGAAAAATATACAGTATTCACCATATTGTACTGTAAAATACATACTGTAGGCACAGGTAACATTGCAAGCATGGTGTTCACCTTTTAATTCAATGATCATGGGTTCATCCCTACAAACATTCAAAGACGATTGTGTGCTCCAATATATGAATCCAATGACCAGCGGTAATCAGTAGTGGCTAAGAAGAGGGGTCCGACATGTATGTCTGACAGCAGGGTTATGAACCAAGGAGCCGCCTTGATGAAGGTCCCGGAATAAGAATTTCTGGTAGGGTTGATGGGCAGAATTTTTATGGCTTAGTATGGTAAAAAATTATGCATTTTGACCACAATATTAGGGATTGGCAATCAACGTAACGTTTTGGATAGGAAATTAATATTTTTGGCCCAGGCCTGTCCGACGAGTTTAGGCCTGTATAAGATGCTATAAATATCAACACAATACTATTTATTATAAGTCAATCGTGACATCATGACTGCAACTCCCAATGTTACTTGCCTATTCCCCACCATCCACTAATTTTTCAATTAGTGGACGCTTGGCTTGATTTTTTTAGGTTCGTGTGCAAAAAAAATTCCTCCTTTTTTTCGTCACCGTAAAGACTTGTAAATGAAAATTACTTTCATAAATCAAGGTTAATTACTGTAGAACCCGAAGAAAGTTAAGGAATTCCTTGAATCAATGAACCCTAATAAACTAAACAAACTGAACGTTTAATAGGAATATTTTAGACCTATTTTAAAGACTCAAGGAATGAAATTAGATGTAGAGCTGCCGAGGCCTCTTCCTACTACTAGCCTAGGCCATATAGCCTAGCGTAGTTATGAAATCATCCCAAGATTTTTATCTCTCTGCACCGACCAAAAAGTTAGCGACAGTGACTGTATTCTCTCCAATGCTTTGAAAAATGTTTATTTCTTTGACGAATGTGAAAAATTACAAATAAGTTCTTCTAACACAATACAAATTACAAAATAGCCTAGGCCTAGTTATTCATCGTATCAGTACAGTACTGCTGATGTGTAGTTAACGCGTAGGCAATGCCTAATGCAGCACAAATCAGCATACGCACAAAATATAAATACGCACACAGTATACTGATCATATCACTATAGCAACCGATGACTGGTACAACACAGTTGGTTATAAAAACTAAAATTAAAAGACAGGCGATTGACTTATAAAGCAATTAGTAGAGCATGCGTCGTACACTAACGGAAAATTATTATACTTAGGTTAGATTTAATGCATTCAAAAATTTCCTCCGGGGCTTGCAGGTCCTCAGGAAGTTTTTTCAAGCTCTACTAATTGCTTATTATTTGCAATCCATAAACTAACATACTGGGCTACTGTATGAATTATACAACAATGGCATATTGAACTTATAAGTAATTAATCTCCTTCCTAGAAGTGGCTTCTGGGCCTTGTTATGGGCTTACAGTATGCCTCCTCGGTTCTCTGCACTTGTTAGGAATTCAATGGAATTTAAATGAATGAGAGGGGTAAAGTAAATAAAAGACATTCAATTATCATTGATTACTTACCAATCGTTTGTTTTCCATTTCCAAAATTCTGCTCTTCTCTTCCAGTCTTTTATTAGACTGTTCAATATCTCTCATTTTTTTGCTAGTCTTCTCTGCTTGGGAACTAGATGCAAAACCAGTGGGAGAGCTAGCCATTTTCTTTTCTATGTCTGTCTTCTCATCCATAAGCTGTCGATTCCTGTCCTCTAGTCTCCGTACTGTATTACTTAAATCTGATAATCTCAATTGCAGACGTCTTTCTTTATCTGAATCTTCATTATCCGCCTAAAAAGAGTTCATCAAATGCTTATATAAACCTTCTGATGAATAAATCATCATAATTTACTTTTGTTGAAAAATGCCAACGAAAGTAAAAAAAATGCAACAATTACTGTACTTCACTGACGTAAATGTCATTCAATTGTGATTAACTACAATTAGAGCAAAGAAACATCCACTCACTACACGGCGTGTCAGTAAATATTCAACATTTGCACTTAACATAAACATTTGTTCTTATTGCAGGATGTTCGTAGTGTATAATACCAACATAGATCTTGAATTTGTTTAACATAAATTTGTTCATTCTCATAATGAATATTATGAACATTATTATACGAAACAATATTATCATTGTCACCATCATAATTAGAAGGTATAATGAGGGCCATATCCAGGATTGCAATTGGTTGGGTGGGACTAAGGTAATTAAAAGCAATATAAACGATCTTCATATTTTTTTTGTGAGGAACAGACACTTTAGAGTCAATCAAACAGTCAATTGTTGGATTTTAGGAACCATTTCAAATCATGATCATGGTCGATGGTCATTCACTTGTATTGCGCATATAACATTCAATGCAGTTTCCAGGACAACAGAAAAAGAAAAACAACACTACAAGGACAGCTCCTTCTCCTACTTACTTAACTCAAAAAAATATTCAACGAAGAAAGCTCAATTTAACTTCAAAAGTACATGTAAATCTCATTTTTGGAAACAAGTTGGGATTGAAAAGAATGTATGAAATAATGCACACTATAGAGTACTACTACTATAGGATTTTACTTTTTAATGGATAATAACAGAGGTGGATTCAAGGGAGGGCCTAGTTGGCCTACACATCTCCCCCTCCCAACATTTTTAAAAATAAAAAAATAATAGGGAAAAATTGAAAATTTCATTCAAATTTATGTCAGATTAATAGGATGCCATCATGCCATCTAGAAGTGCAAGGGACATAAAATGTTGTACATCAGCCAAAACAATGGCAGGGCTGTGGTAGTCTGGACCCCCCAAAATTCCCTCTCTGGGCCACCTCTTATTTCCACCGTTTAATGTTGGTAATTATTAATATTAGCACACAGTTGTTAAAAACAGTTGAAAGTGAAAAGGAATGAGTCCATAAATACAGTACTCGGGGGTTTGAATTTCCTCAAAATGCTCCATCAGCAAATAGTTGCTGTAGGTTATGGCTTTACTACAGTAATTTATTCTTCTTCTACAGCAACAAACTTCATAAATTGTTTTAAGAATAGGCCTACTCTATGCGAGTTTATACCCATTGCTAGGCCTGGGTCAGGTATTAACTCGACAGCAATAAGCCTGCCGAGTCTGGGATTTACAACAGCAGTGGAAGACCCTTTCTACTGTACAGCAATTGCTGTCGGTGCTGTGGTGAAATTTGAACCCTGAGTACCTGTCTTTATTTTATGAACTTTTCATCAGTCCCTCCCAAACATGCAGCTGTTAAGAGTGTTATGTTTAAGCTACATTCTTTCAATATATAATCACTATAGAAAAAAATGTTAAATGCCAATCATCAATTGTAAGAGAATTGCATGAATACAACATCTCTATACTGTATAATAGCTTGTATTTCTTTTCAAGTGTAGCTGGGGGAAAATAAAGTTTTTGTGTCAATATACAGTGAATAGAGAAAAAGTGAGAGTTACATCAAAACTGCTGGGGCATATCTTACATCTCCGTCTTGGGATATTACTGATTGTAGTGTAACCTCTATAGGCAAAGGCCAATTCAATCCAATTTACTATACCTGTAGTTGGAAAACAATCCAACTTCTATTGGCAGGGCTAACTATGTACAGTAACATAAAGTAAACTAGAAATTGCAAATTGCAAGTGAAGTGCTGCGAAGTACAACTGCTTTTCCAGGGGTGGGTTTTCTAGGGGTGAGTTGACTGCCAAAAAGTGTTGCCAAAGTGCGAGCCAGCGTGTTATTTGATCACAAGTGCAAGAAATCACAAGTGTGAGCCAGCGACCCATGACGTCACGATAATAGATACGAGACGTTAATGAGTTGTGCGAGGTATCGGCTGAGATTTGTAGAGTACAATTCAAAAAACAACTATAGGTCTAATAATGAATTATTGTGATGTTAAATAGACAATGTTAGCTATCAAGGAGCGACGTTGCTTTTCATTGGGACCTTCGACCTAGGCCTATACCATCCTAGCTAGTCTAGGCCTAGAGTAGGATTTTTTATTTGGTGAGATGATTTAGTATGGGGAGTTTTCAAGGCGGCGAATTTTCTAGGGGCGAGTTTGTAGAGGCGAGTTGACTGCCAACGCACCACACAACGTAAGCATGATCGAATTCGAGTCAACTCGGCACCAAATCAACATGGCCACAGTTTCGCGACCCCCTAGTATAATACATTTTAAGTTATTGTTTTAAAATGTAATAATTAGCACGTTGACATAAATAAGTTTAACTGGGTTCGTAAATACTATAGGCCTCAAAATACTGAATAGTAATACTAAGCGTCTCGAGCTGACGTGGAAACATAGTAAAAACGAGCGTTGGTACCGTGTATGCCAGTCTACAACAAGCGTCGCCTAAATGTAATAATTAGCACGCTGAAATAGGCTAGTAAATAAGTTTAACTGGGTTCGTAAATAATATTGGCCTCAAAATATTGTGGCTGAGACATGGGCCGATTAAACGTAGAAATAGGAAACCCAGAAATATAGTAAAAACGCTGAATAGTAATACTCGAGTGTCACGCGACATGCGTGTAGGTTAGTCTACAAACGTCGGCTAAAGTAATTGATTTTACCCGGCAGAACGAAAGAAGGAAACTCTGCTTTTCAGTCGTCTTAGGCCCTTGTTTTTTGACAAACAATGACCTTTCACAAGTCAAATTGCTGTCAAGAATATGAATTGGCTGCTTCGCAGCAATTAGGGCTCTTAAGTGATGTGTAGTAGTAAAATGGTGATTATAATGATTAATGAAAATAATGATAAAATTGAATACGGAGATTAAATAATATCTGAATATCTCTGAACATAATTTGTAAAATAAAAAAAATTTGTTCAGACAATCAACGATAAATCAATGATCTTGATATCTATTTGAAATTAAGGAAATAAAAAAAAAATCATCATTTTTAAATATACCTTAAAATAAAAAAAATAAAAAAAAAACAAGACATAAAAACCCAAGCCACAATTACATCACAATTAGGCCAAATATAATTAATTGCTGATTTTTAATCCTGGCCTCATCAAATTTTGAAGCCTCATGAACAAAATTTACTATCTGCTTTAAAAAAAAAAAAAAAAAATTACAATGAAAAATAAAAATAATGATCTAAGGATCCTTATCTAAAAAATATTTACCAGTCTTTTTATATAGGATAGTATAGTCATACCCTCAACGAAAAATAATTTCAAATCCCAGACATGAAACTGACAATTATTTAATTTGTTCTTGATACTTACTAAATTTCCTAGATCCAGACTGTAACTTTTTTTCATTGCACTGAGGGCTCTTGGTGATCTCTTCTCCCACGATTCAGCCATCTTGGTCAGATTGAGCAAGTTTCCCAGGGAGTCCTTCTCCAGCAGAAGACGCTGAGAATAGCTTGATTGATGACCTAACTCCTTTTCCAGGTCACCTATCACTCGGTCTTTTGATTTTAACTCTTCAATCTTAAAATGAATAAAATATATCAGATTTTAACGATATAATTTATTGCAAGTAAATCCTGTATGACGATTATGAGAATAAATCGGCAACGCTAAGGTGGAATTACATACTGGATTCTAATTTAATGCTTACATGATGTTTGGAACAGATCCCAATGCAGTAGAGAATACATTACAAGAATAGCTCATGAACTTGCAACCTGAAACCACATTCATTAAAGCAAACTTCTTCCTCGAGAACTTATAATTTAAAAAAAAAATATCATTACCATAATCTACTGTAATCTGCATACAGTATTCCAGAGATAATGCCACCTCCCTGCCCCCAGTTGGAGTGTCAAGGGGAAAATTTCCCACGATAATGTTCTTCCCCCCAGTTTTCCCCCCAATCATATCATCGCTTTGCCTTTGGTACACTTATCACAATCAATACCAGCAATGCTTTAATTTTCCCTTATTTCTTATCTTAATTAGATACTGCAAGGGCACGCTTTTTGTAAGTCTTCATGATGCCACTTGTAAACTTGCATTCTATCTAGAGCCAGGTGACAATTGCAGCGTGTAGGCCCTACTTCTCCTCCCCCTCCTAAAATTTTGCCTTCCCCTTACTTGCCTCCCCCCTACAGACCCCCACCCACAGATTTCAGATGCTGGCACCTTCACTGCCTGCCCCTCCACCAAACATGACCAAATTTTACATTAACTTGCCTTACACTGCAGTACCGGGGTCTGGTATTTAAGAATGCTAAGTGGCTAGCGTAAAAGATTTTGTTTAGGTTGTTTTTTAAGAGGCCCTGCAGAAAGCACTTTTCCACATTCATGAGGTCTGTGAATGATGTTTAATTTCTTCAAATTTCAAGTGTTTTTTGTGTTAACATAAAAAACAAATGATGATGATAATGGTTACATTGGCAATAACACAGATTGGATAATAGGGCCTTAATGTGAAAGAACTGAGTCTATGGCTGTGCCAAATGAGTGGACATGTCTCCCTTAAATCATTTTGTAAATTATTTGGTAAAACGTAAGCCAGTAATAGAGGCTATTACGAAGTATGTTTGACTTAAGAACGTTACTTTGAACTTCTAATAGTACGGATTAATTTTGTAAGGTGGGGGGGGGGGGGAGGGCACCTAGCTACCCTATGTACACCTGGATCCATCCATGACTACAGTAAAACTAGTCACCCTGTTGAGAATACTGTGACTATCTATACTGTAAAAATCCTCAACTCCACTGGAAAGTGCTTCACCATCACTGCCTCATTTAATTTATTCACCTGAAAGGGTTTAAAGTCAAGAAAACACTGTTTTACTAAAGTACACACTCAAACCTGGCTGAGTAGAAGGTGATGCTATTAAGCCGTGCATGGACAAAGAGGTATTATACAGTTGAAGTATACTCGGCTATCACTGTCAGCTTTACTGTAGACGTACTTGGGGTGAACCAATTGTTGACAAAAATTGATGGCAAATAAAGATAAGAACATTAGATACAAAGACTTGCAATATAGTCGGCCTACAAGAATGACCACTTAATCAATACCTATTGTACTACTGTATGTTTCCTACATAGGCATGAATCAGCGATTCTGTCAAAGGGTATTTCTCATCCTGATCTAAACCCTGTCATAGCAAAGGCCCTTTGGGCTTTAATAAATTCATGACCCTTTTATGACTGTCATTAAAACTGTTAAATGAATTCACAATTTTAATTTAAAAAAAATTTTATTTAAATTCTCAAAATCAACAGAATTGTTACTAAATTAAAGTCAGCGGCAAATTCAGAAATTCAAAATAGAGGGCGCCCAGGGAAGGACATTCACAGATGGAGGGACTAGACAACCTTAGCCGTACCATAGTAGAGGCAGAGGTAATAGCAATCTCAGACTTAAATTTGAATATAACTTTCATTTTATATCAATTTTTTATAATAAAATAATTGAATCGGCTACTAATGTATAGGACTGACAAAATAATAACTAAAAACTCTCAACATAATATAGTATGTAACAAAATAGTTCCAAATAAAAAAGAAATATTTTGATTTTAAAATGCTTTTGGCTTTATATTAACAAACCCAGAAAATTATTAATATGTTACAGAGAAAAACATCTTTTACCATACCAACTTGTTTGTGTAAACACTGTAAGGGAATAGGCCTACAGTATATAACTGAATATTAAATAAATTTCAATGTGGAAGCACTGAGTAAATAAAGGAAGTTGCATAGAAAGAGGAGAAAAATTCTACTAAGTACTATTATTAGACAAAAATGGAAGATATTAAAATGACACAACCATGATATACGCAGCTGCATTAAAGCCTGCAATAATAGACAGCCATTTCTAAAGATGATCACATTGCCTTACAGAGGCTACAGTACCTGAAACATTAATCTAAATATAGCGCATATAGTTCTAACCCTTGAGGTAAAATATGATATATCAATTTGATGCCTTCAGTACGTGTGAATATAACGTTCATGAAACATCAATAATGATTTTCCTGTGATGATGCAGATGGTTAGCAAAGTGATGATCTCTGAATTTTATACAGAATCATTCCACATGAAAAGAGTACTTGGACAATAGTATGCTTATATCGAACTGCTACAGCCCAACCATTCAAAAGAGAAAAAATATATACTGTATTCTACCATAAAAAGAAAGAGCACTCTTCAATAACCAAAACAAGATTTCCTTCAAAGTATATCTACAGGATTGGATGAGATGAAGATACAATACAAAATATATATACGACACAGCTAGGTCTAAAATGAGGCCTAAGTTATCATAATCTACAGTAGACTGGAGTATGTACACAGTACTGTAGAACCCTTCTTTGGGACACCCTGAAGGGGACACTTTTTTCAGCCACAAAAAGAGAAAAAGCATGATCTTCTTCTAACATTACGGCCAACCCCAATTAGGGAGCCCCCAATTAAGGGGAAACTTTTTTTGGTCCCAAAAAGTGATCCCTTAATTGGTGGCTCTACCCTATTTGTTACTACTACTACTCTGATGATAAAACTGAAGGTTTTTCCAAGGTTCAAGTTCAACTGTACACTGTACTGTAGGCCTAGGCAATGTATATACTGTACTAACCTTAACGATTACTGCTGATAGGCAATTGAACAAACTAATCTCATCTCTTCAACCAAGTACAGTACAATGAACTATGACAACAGGCCTAGGGTCTCCACTGGGTTTTAAGTTAATCCATCATAATCCATTGGCGCTCCAACAAAACAAAATCAATGCAACTCATCTAGCTCTCATTCTTCCAAAGGTGTTCAAAATTGAGCTGAATAACAGTCTGAACAAAAGAACCTTTAACATAAACCTGGCACCACTTTGTGTAAACCATACAAACATTTTTGTAATTTTATCTTAATAGTTAATTGCAATTAATTAAAAAAGAAACTGGTCATGTGATCTTAACCATGTGATTGTTATTTTTAATGTTTGGTCATTTACCATAATTAAATTATCGTGTATGTTTGATGTTTTTCTTGCTTAATATTTTTGTATTGACTTGGTAGTATTAAATAATGTGTTTGTATGTAAATTTTAATCTGTAAATTAAATCCTCAATTCAGATTTTTGCTGATTTGGATTTTTTATTCTGTAAATTATGTTTATGTTCATATATATTGAATGAAGATACAGAGATATTTCTCCTGTTTCTTTCAAAGATTACATGAAACAGTTCCATAATTCACTGTGACAGTCTAATGAATATTTGTTATAACCATAATTACACACTGTAATACAAAAGTGCCTATCCAGTGGTACAGGCTGGTCAATAACAATAATAAAAGTATTAAAATGTATCGTAATGCATTCTGCCATTTATGTTTCCAAAGCTTTGATAACAATCTTTCAGATTGTCCTTATTTTTGTTTTTAATGGAAAAATGATAGTTTTTTTTTTTAAACAGCAAACAATAAACTTTTCATGAGGTTCTAAAACTTGATGAGTACAGGTGCATTAAACTAGCAATTAATATTATTTGGCCTAAACAACTACCGTATACAGAAGATACTATACATCAGCAATGGGAACATTTAATCATTTACCTTTTAAGTCTAGTGTAGTTACAAACCATGCAATGTGGTGAAAACATTCTGTTTTTTTAATTCTTAAAAATATTAAACCATGCTGACAGGCATCCATCTGTGTTGCTTGACTAGTCACATATTATGATAATCCTTGGCATTGCCTTTTGACTCCCAGTGCTGGAAAACCTGACACAGTTTTTAACCTGTTTACATGTTACCATGCCAACAATATACTGGGATTCCAAAGGGAGGCCACTTGCATGGTGATTCAGAAGGGAATTAAGCTACAATGCAAACAAACTAAGGGGTGGCTGAGAGGTCATCTTTTACACGCATATCTTCCAACAGTCAATAGAAAGCGGATGCATATTTTAATTTTATGATGATAACACTTGAGAATAAATCAATGGTCCATGTAATGATTGAGCTAGTATTTACACCAGGCATGATTCTTGATTGTGCCAACTGAACAATGGATCATACATAAAACCTTTATAATTTAATTCAGTGACAAACCCAAGGGTTTGAAATAGAGGGGGCACAGGGAGAGACATCTGACAGATGGTGGGTCCAGACAATACCAAGGCTGGGGCTGAGCTAAGAAATTTTATGGCTATGCCACCTTAAAAAGGCACTACTGTAATAGACATGATTTAAATACACAGTAATTTTCTTTTTCCCCCCATAATTAAAAAAATATTTTTTGTTTACAAATTCGTGGGGAGGGGAGCGGGCTGGTTGCTCCACCCCTGAATCCACCCTTTGATTCTTTAATTATGAAACATTCAACAAAAAAACCTTCAACTGAATCAAAACTTAATTATAGAACTCCATACCTTTCGGCATTTTCGATTGGTGTAAGGGGTCGTTCACAATCAACATTTTTGCAAATGAAAACTCTACTCTTTTTCGGTAACCCCTCCCTCCCCTCTGAAAGTTTACATAAAAAATGTTGATTTTCCAAAACCATTCTCCATTTTTTTGTGAAGTCAACTGAAGTACACTTTGTTTTTTTTTCATAAGAACCAGTAAAATTTTGCCCAGGCTCAGTGTTCTTATTTTTTGGCCGATTTCAGGCTCAAAATGTTCTTAATTTGTTCTTATTTTACACACTTTTCAAACATAGAAAATTATTATTGTAAAGCAAAAATGGGCCCTGAAAAAATTCCCTGGAAAAATTGCCATAGAAAAAAGGCCTGGTAAAAATTTCAGGCTCAAAATGTTCTTAATTTGTTCTTATTTTACACACTTTTCAAACATAGAAAATTATTATTGTACAGCAAAAATGGACCCTGAAAAATTGCCTTGGAAAAATTGCCCTAGAAAAAAGGCCTGGGAAAAATGGCCCCAAATGACAGCAGGGACCTACACCTGATTATAGGGGGTATTACATAGTCACACCTACATTACTGCACATAAGGTACAGATATAATATTTTTGGTTTTTCAAAAACCTCATTTGACATTTTCCCTCAGCCTCAATTTGTTCTTATTTTGTTCTTATTTTTAAAGCAATTTCAGCCTCAGTGTTCTTATAAAGTGTGTAAATTATTTTGTTGCATAACAATCTCTACTACTGTATATCTACAGTTGCATTATAATTGGTCACAAAAATCTATTTAAATATTGCATCAACTTTTTAAAGCACATATATAAGTGTACAAAGTACCCCCTCTCCCTAGTGTACCCCCTAACACACTGGTTTGTACACTTGTGAAAATGTTGATAATTGTGAATGACCCCTAAGTTGTAAATTGAATCAACTGCTACAGTAGTACCATAATCTAGGTCTGTGTGTATTGTACATTGTACTGTACAGTAAATTAGCAAAAAAATCAAATAAAAATTAAATACATACATTTGGTGTAATTATGCATCAAAAGTCTATTTTAAAAAATAATGTAAAGTACAGAGCAAAGAATTAAAAAATGACAGAATAATATTGGTTCCCTCCAAATTACAGAATGTGACAAAGCCACATTGGAAATTCAGCAGCAACTTTTTTTTAAGGACCAATAATTTTTTTTTTATTAATTTATCACCCTCATGCGCATGCCTTCTATACTGTACTGAAGAAAATATTTCTTTTTTTAATTATTTTTTTCATTTTTTTTTAACTAGTTAGAAGATACAGTATGGTTTGCATTATCTCAATCGTCTTTTACTTTGAATACTGTAGTATTGCACCAGCAAACAACCCAAGGGTGATATTTGGCTTTAGCAAAATAAAAAATAAAAAAAGCCTCCCTCTGTCATTTTTTTTTAGCCTAGATAGGGTGATAAACTAATAATATGTTTTATAGGACCTACAGTAATAGTAGAAGGACAAAACCAAACAGGATTGATTATTGAAATTTCTAGGTGATTGGTGACAACACAGTTTGTTCTCGACAGAAAAAACCCCTCCAGACCCCTAATGCTTTGGGTTTTATAGGCAAGGTCAATACCTCAATTGTTATGAAAAAAATTCAATCAATGTTACACAATTTGTGTAAATCATTACAGTGACAATTGGGAGATAATCAATGAAAGCTATCAGTATGCAAACATGCCATCACAGATATTAGGCCTATACAGTAGTTAGACTGAATCAAAATCATGTCAGTTTGGCCACAAATTTATAGGCCTACTTAGGCCACTATCAGACAGCGCTACAGTACGTTACCGCAATATTCCGGGATTATTCCCATCAATGCTTTCTGTATGAAGTGGTCAGACCTAAACACAGCCACATTATTGGGGTTTACGCACAGTTCCATCCCAGACCTACTTAATATTACCGCGATTCCTGTTATCGTGCATTCTGGAGTGTGTCTGTATGAAGCTAATTAGTCACATTCCCACGATATTACACCTACTGTATATTTCTAGAAACAATACACAATAAAGCACTCCCAGTCTATGATGACTAAAAAGAATAACCATGGCTCTCTCAGCATGCGTGATTCATCATACAAAAAGGCATTATATAACTGCAATTTTACCGCAATATTGGTTGGTACGAATGGTCTATGTCGGAATTATTATTACTGCAAAATTGCCAGTACCTCGGTCTGAAAATGGCTACAGTACAGTATCATGTGTACAACTTACAAGTTAAAAAAAACAACAATGGTACGCCTACAGATTATAATAGTGGGCCCAGCCAGCCCACACCCTCACTCACCCCATCCCATAAATGTTTCAACATTACTACCAAAATTGAAGAAAAAAAATTACTTCAAACTGAAGTCTGAGACTGAGAGTGCTACTGTAAATCAACTGGGTGAGCTGGATGGAAACACTAAAGCGAACTTAATCACTGTGACTAATGTCAGTGTTTCCCACTCACCCAGTTTCACATAAAATAAATACTATATACAAGATAAACATATAAAATATTTAAAAATATATCAAAATCTATAACATAGAAAACTTTATCTAAAAAAAGGGGGGGGGGGATGACTATAAACCATAGGTTTAGTGTACAATTTGGCTCATGCACTTTAAAGAAACCAAGGTACTGTACATCTTTCGAGATGAGTAGGGAGTTACCCCAGTGTACTGGCCCATACAGCTCCTGTTGTACATCCCCCGTTGTGGACAGATGGAAGTAGCTGGTACCGGTCTACCAGGTAGCTCAGAAAGGAAGTAAAAGTTACTGTATACAAGCTAGTCCACACCTCAAGTCTTTGGTATAAATAGTGATAATTCCAACTAAATTAGAAATGGTTGTCTCTATTTACAATATCCCTTCCAATAGGAATGCTACCCTTGCAATAATTATCCCTCAATAGCAAATGTTCCCCAGCTTCTGAATCTGTTAATCCTTCAATAGAAACTGTTCTTAATTTGTACAATTTCCATAGAATACTGTAAGTAAGTGCCACTGACACAACAATCCCTTCCACAGATATCATTCTCCGAGTAATTTTATATCCCTTCCTTATTATATACTGTAGCATAATACCCTTGTCATATGTGGTCCCAAAGTCCATTACAGTCGCTTTTAAATAATAAGAAAAATTTTACTTACCAGTCTGCGAATATCTGTCTTGGCTTCCTTTCTAATCTGTTCCAGTACTCTTAAATGCTCTTCATGTGATCGCCTCAAATCCATTGCTTTCTGTTTATCTGCATTCACAGTCACACTTAACTCTTCCTCTAACTGCTTCTTGCTCCTCTTCAATTCGTCAACTTCTTGGAGAAGCTTCGTTTTTTCTCCTTCAAATACCCTAGTGGCACCTTCCTTCGCTTCTACTAACAATTCATGTTTCTTCCTTAAAAAGAAATCCTCTTTTTCTTTTTGGGCTGCAATTTTGAATCTCTTTAACGCTTCATCTTTAGTATGAGAAATCCTGTTAATTTCTGTGTTGTGCAGTTTTGTAAGCTGTTCCTTTAAGTTGAATAACTCCCTTTTCTTTTCGCTGAGAAGTTTAGACTTCAAATCACTAATGAGAGTATTGCAGTGTTTTTCATTTTCCTGTTGCAATTGTTTAATTTCTAAAACTTTCTCTCGTCTTAACTGCTTCACAGTGCTCTGTTTTTGATCAAGTTCTTGTTTTAATTGTCCAACATGTGCTCGCATTTCTTCTAAATTTGTCTTCAAGGTATGATTATGGGCCTCCAGAGATGACACCCTATCAGGACTTTTGGTAGCCATTGGTAATAAACTTTATAAAAACTCTTTCATAAAAAAATATATTTAAGACATTAAAATTTACAATCTTGATTGATAATATTAGAAAAAAGAATGTCTGTTCATCTTGAATCCACTATACTGCATCTGAAATAGAAGATTAAAAAATCACATAAAAATACGACTTTCTTTATAATAGTTTGGTGCAGTAGGAATGCTTCGGTTTTCCGACGAGTCGGGGATTCAATACCTCACTGTGCATTTTATAAATAGCAATTTATTGTTATTAAAATTTCGCTTGTGTCCTTAAGCAAGGTGATTGATCTACATTGCTTCAGTTTACCTAGCTGTATCAATGGGTCATAGGAAATTGCTAGTGAGTAACATGTGATGGACTAGCTCCCTTACAGGGTGAGTATCACGCTCCCATCTGCTTCATGCTACAAAAAACAGGAGATAAGTAGTCTATTGCTATGTTCTCACACGGCAGCTAACGGTTAGCAGGATCCGGATCCTGCTAACCTTTAGCTGCCATGCGTCCATAAGTGAAAATCCCGATCCGGATACCAAAAATATGATGATTGAATCACTGGCCATTAAGAAACTAGAAATTGTAAACATGTACGTGTTATTGGTTGATGATAGAAACGCGCTCAACTTGCTAACCAATAGCACTTGTATCCAGATACCGCTAACGGTTAGCTTCCGATCCGGATACTAGGGCTCTCGTGAGAACCAGGCCTTACAGATACCCATAAGAAAAAGGCAAGTCCTGTTAAGCGTGTGTAATTATTGACTCAACTGACAAACTACTGTAGGCCTACATTTACTGACTTTAAATATCAATTCAAAATTGAAATATTGTATCAATACACCATGCCGGACATCACACTTATACAATTTTTGGAGGCTTCAATGTGGTGCTTATGCACTTGTCAATTGTAGGCGGGTCTACAATTGACAAATGTGCATTAATCGAGAGCAGCGCTTATTCGAGGGCAGCGCTTATAAACAAATATTGGCGTGGCACTTGTTACCTATCTCACGCATTCCAGTAGATCATTCATAAATGTCATCGTAAATTAACGTTTTATAAAGAAATGCTTGTGTCATTCATTGTCTTCATATAACTAACACTGCATAGGCCTACATTGTATTTCAAACCCTGTTTCTCAAAGTGTTTCATTACACACAGGGTAATTATAACTCTTGATTAAGCGCCATGACGCTTATTCGAGGGCGGGGCTTAGGTTTGGTGCGGCGGTTATTCAAGAGCCAATTAATGCTTATTCGAGAGCGGCGCTAAGTTATTCAAGCATTTACGGTATCCACTGCTAGTAAGAGTGTACCTATTCTGAACCAGATCATGTCATGGTCTTGCTGCTCATTCAACAAGTCATCAAATCTAGATTTCATCATCATCAACATTCAACAAATAAACAAGACAATTAGTTGAATTGAAGAAGACCCTTGCCTGCATGCACATATTTCTCACTCACCGTAACTTACCGTACACCACTCTAATATGAGTGGTGCAAGAGGCTGGTAGGCCAGTAGCTAGTAAGTGGCCCTCTGGCAGCCCCTCCTCTTGTCTTCTCAAACTGTCTGACACTGTCTGTACTAACTTCAACCGTAATGGCAGGGAGGGAGAGCGTTCCATATATTGCCCATAATATACTTGTGATCAACAATCATTAAGTGGTTAGCAGTGGTCTAGCTTTACTTACCTTGTTACTACATATACCTTGAATTCTATAAAATGCTGTGATGAAGTTGTAAATAACTGACATCCCCCTCCTCTCTGTTTATCACCACTTGTCATTCGGAACATCGCTCAGCCCTCTGTGTCTGCTAGATCCAAAAACGAGATAGGCATTCGCGTCTGTAATATAGACTATCATACTTCGCTCAGACATTGTGACTATAGAGGGGGATATTACAAAAACTTTTGTTCACATAATCGCCATTTGCTGGATTTCTCCATAAGTTTCATACATGTGCTGGATGTCACTACAGTAAAACACTATCGTTAGTACAAAGTGTAAACAATCAGGTCAAATCTGGGAAGTGGAGAGTGAGACGGTCAATCCTAAATATGTCCTCACAATTATTAACTGTTTTTGTATAATTCGTTGATGTTTTCAACAGTTTGGAAAACGTTAATGGATGAATATACATGAGGTATTTTTTAGTGTATATTTAAGAAAAATATCTGTAATGATATCTGCGAAATTAGACAGAATATTTGCGTAGGCCTAGGCTTAGGGCCTAGCCTAGCTAGCTGGACAGGAGGAGACGGGCACCAATAGGCAGGCAGAGTAAAATCAGGAAACCCACCCACTCCGTGCCTGTGGCATTTAATGTACGGTAAGTAAGTAAGGAGGTGCTAAAAAATTAGCCCCACGATTTTCCCCAAAAGAATGATACTGTACAGCCAGCTGCACAGTACCACGCTTTGAATTTAAGATGTACAGGGAGGGGCGGATTGCTATAAAACGGTTTTAACTGGTAGTCTAAACTTCTCGAATAAAGCCGGCTTTATCACTTAGACGGTCTTACTAAAGTCATTCCTCTAAGACCGTTGCTATTAAAACAGTCTTTTCTAAGACCACTCTGAGTATTGAAATGTAAACAAGCACTTCCTGGTAACGTAAGATTGGGGGCAACATCATGCATGCTCTACCCACGCAAATGGACGTAAATAAATATTTTCACAGACGCTGAAAAGCGTGCGGAATATTTTTCGTTCGATTCTCCAACTTTGACGATCTATGCCTAGGCTTTGCCATTGCGCTGTTGAATTAATCAGCAGAACGCCATGATGAAAATGATTTAAAAGTAGGCTTTAAAATTTAAGACGGCTAGACCGCAGTATAGCAATGGTCTATAATCATAGACCAGTAGTGACGTCATGATTATAGCCGGCTAACTGTTAAGACCGTCTAAATACCGCTTATAGCAATCCGCCCCAGTACTTTTCAAACTAACTATATTTCACTGTATATTAAAGTAATAGGCCTAGGCCTACTATTAAAAACAATAAATACCTGTAGTAATAATATTTATTTGGGTATAAAACATTCAAAAACAGTCTGCTGCATATGTCTGCAATCAATGACTCAATTTACAATAATAAAAAAATAATTACTATTAATATTTAAATAGGCCTAATGTAATGGTATAGCTTACTACAGTAATACTAAGTTGTTTCCGTAGGCTACGAATGTGATTTGAGTATGCAATTGCCATTGCCCTACCATCTTTTGAATGTCCCTTAACCCATGTCTAAATATGCTAGGTAAACCCCAGTAGTATTAATTTTACAAATACAATTCACAAATTGTGCACAAAACTATCTAAAAAAGATAGTTATACTCCGTATGTGATACTAAAACACTTTTAAAAAGTATAATTTAAAATTCAAATTTCGTAGATTGTATATTTAGCTAAGTGATTAGCTTTCAATTAAAAACTAGAATGATGCATTTTTTTTCTTCGCTAATTGACTGACATAAATTATATATTATTCATAGACACAAATTGGCTGATAATATTTGTAGTAAATGGTGCTAAACTAGTGAAACTCGGCAGCAGCGATGAAGGAATGTGATGATGACATTTTCCCTAATGTATCTGTGCTTCTAGACTGTGCTGCACTATTCCCAGAGGTGGTGCCCCCTCTCCCACTAAATTTGTCAAAATAATTAAAAAAAAAAAAAGAAATTTATTCAAATTTAAGTCTGAGAGTGCCATCTCAGGCTATTTAGAGGTGCCATAATCATAATTTCCTTACCATAGTGGGGCTGAGGTGTTATAGACCCTATAGACTTTGAAAGTACTTCCCTAGCCCCCTCTATTTCATATTCGTAAATCTGCAACTGACAGTGGCGGATTCGGTGAGGCCAGTCGTCCCGTCCCCCCCACATTTTTCAAAATAAAAAAAAAAGTGGGGAAAAAAGAAAATTAAGATTGTATGAAAGTGCAATGTCCAGCCATTTGGAGGTGCCATAATCATAAATTTTCTTCCCTCAGTTCCAACCATGGTGGGGGCTGAGGTGGTAGCTTCTCTACCACCTGTAAAAGTCCCTCCATGGCCCCCCCACCCTCTTCAAATCTCTTTGATCTGCCACTGAAAACTGTTTAATACATGCATCTTCAGAAATCGATTAAATAAGACCTCAGATTATCAAAAATGCCAGAGCTCTAACTCCTCGATCCCAGCAGGGTTTTTCCCCATAGGTACAGTCCCTGGAGCCATTTTGGTCCACTGTCTACAAATTCACACCCACCCAATAAAAATCCTTTGTACGGGCCTGAGTTGGTTTAGGAGTCCGAGTGGAATTGGGGGTTTACTGGGGCCAAGTATGATCAAACTTGTGCTATGCAGGTATAGGTATAAATCTAAATGTGACATCACTGTCCTAGGTCCCAAATATGACACAAAAAAATAACTTTTGTACCTAGGCCTAGATGCTGTTAACACAATACCAGCAAATACTATAAAGTAAATGAAAAGTTCATTATAAACAAGACTCATTTTTTTCATTTAATTTATGGTTTGAAGAGAATTAGAAATTCTTCCCGTTATGACCGGCAACTGCTCATATGTTTACAAAATTATGTTTGAAGGGCCTTATAATGTGTTTTATCACGCAGTATTTACAGAACCATCCAAGAGCATGCCTATTCCTACCACACAGGACATGATAGGATTCTGGTATTACGTAATGCCAGTTAATTCATGATAATATCATATGTAATGCTCTTAAAATGGAACATATTTTCAAATTTACACTGCAATATTAATTATATTAGTTTTTTCCATTGGCATGTGTTCCACTGATTGTGGTAAATAATGTGATAACTTCTTATTATTTATTAACATTGACCTCATGCGCTTCATAAGCGCATAGAGGTCATGTCAATATGCGTGTTATCTACCACTATCATTATTGAGGAAGCCCAAACAAACATGCTGATACCGCGCGTATTGATAGTTAGTATTAAACACTGATATAGGTAGACTAGCCTTATGTTGTATTCTGAAGGTAGGAATCAGTGTTTGTTTTACAATATGGGGCTTGCCATGCCAAAACCAGCATGACCGAAACAAGAATTTGACTTCTTAATACAGTATATTCATATATTCCACATTATAAGCTTTAAAATGTCAATTACTGAAATGGACTTCTTGTCAAAGTTATGAGTAAAAATATGGTGTCTCTGTATACTTCTTTAAAGCTATCACTCAGTTTAACATTTAGCAAGAGTACGCTGGTTTTTGGCATGGCAAGCCTTATGCTTTAATTTTATTGTTTCTAATCTTAAAAAAAAATGTGCTGAACTGCGATGGCAAATATCACTGATTGATTGATTGATTGGTTAGTTGATTGATTGATTTACTTAATGGAATAATACTTTACAAAAGTGGCACATAAAATATATTTAACTACTTATAAATTACACTTTCAGAATCTGTGGATGTGAAGTACTGTATCAGTTATGAGGATGACTGGGATCCTGCATTAACTTGTGAATCTTCAGTACTTACAGAAACTTTCGGAAAATCATCATCAGAAGGAATGTCTATGTCTAGCTGTGATACGTGTAGCACAACCAGCTCATCTGCTGACGATTCTTTCAACCTTACTAGAGGCGATCTAGGCCTAGGCTATGGTTTAAAACCGGGAAGTCTAATACGCATCACGCAGAACAACATAAACTCGCCATGCTGGAAGTGTCGTTCAGCACCCAGACTTAAGGTCAATATTAGCGGCGGAAATGGGATAAACCACGTTTGGACACAGGCGTTAAGTAAGACGCAGAAGGAGGACATATTTCCTATGATGGACGGTGTACAGATAGGAACGTCCATTAGGCAACAGAAAAAATTGTATGAACATAATATGAGAGAAGTAAACTTTAAAAGGGAACAGGAGAAGATTAATCAGTTAGCATCTGGAGGTAGGATATTAAATGATAATTCTTTATTAAAGCTAAGCATTGCATTGTCAGTGATCAACGCGACTACAAGTGGCACGCACAAAGTTAACAGACTAGAGTTTCTTGGTTACTAAATCGTAATATGACCAATTTCAGTGATTCTACAGTTGCTTTCGATCACAAGAGCACTCACATCCCCTCAAATTGTGCAACATTCATAATTGCTCATCTGTTTGCCATAAAGATCTTTTGAGTCCAAAGGGTGATATACAGTAAGCTTAGCTTTTACTTATTTTATTACCGTGTATATAGTATATTGTTTTATTTAATTCTCAATACAAGTAGAAAATCAAATTGTTATTAAAAGTAATTATAATTTAATAATATACTATATTATAAATACATGGTAATAAATGTGTATACCACTAATTGAATTAAGTATATATATTGCCTGTTTTGTAATCTATATCAATTTACCAGCTTTAACCATTAATTGAATAATTGATTATAAATAATGATTTAGGAGCAAATTATCCTTTGGCCTATAGTGATACAATATATCTCCAAATAAAATCTAGAAAATTAATAATGAATTCAATATTATGTACTAATACTAGAAAATTAATAATGAATTCAATATTGTGTACTAATACTTAATATATTTTACTGGCTTCCCTGCTGTGGTGTGCTACAGCATATCTATTGAATATCAAATTCACATCTCTTTCAGTGCCATGATAACAGCTGCAGTTCATTGCTGTGTGTGAAAATCATCATGTGTGTACATTATATTAGGCCAAGTATTCTATAATTTTAATAGATATTCTAAGAGATTTTCTATTTGCTAGTGGATTCTAAACAAATGTATACAATATAAACTGTAACAGACAGACAGTAAAATTTGAAAACGAGACATTTTGAGGATTCAATGTTTTGGTCATTTTCAAAAAATTTGGAATATTGCATAAATATAATTTCTATAGAATTTAATTTTTTAGTAATAAGCTTGGGTGTAAGTCCAATAGCCTAAGGTACATGAATGAGTAACTCTAGCTGAATTTTATAAATAGGCCTACTTTCAGGAAAAAAAAAATCACAGATTGGTTTTGAATTAGGAGAAAAATTGCCTTTGATTGAAAAGTGGATTTCCCAAATATAAGCCCAGACAAAAAGCATCTAAATTTTGTGTTCAAAGGGTTTGACTTATTCCAGACATAGAGAAAGATGTTCTATTTTCTCTATGTTCTAGAGGACGTACAGTATTTATTATTGTAATCTAGCTATAATTATAGCCCTAGTACTTTTATCCATTAATTAATTCTGAAGGGATTGTTTCTAAATCTAAATTCTAAATTTGATAATTGTAATAAATTTATACAGTATGAATTATGGAATAGAATTTTACATATCATTTCTATGGAATTTGGCTACAGTATGATGGTATACTTTAGAGTTGTATAATTTAATCTGTAGAGCGTAGAGGGGTTTTGCTTTATAAAATGATCAGTTTACTTATGGAGGTAAGTGCTAGAGTAGAAATAGGCCTACAGTACAGAGCCTACTGTATAGATTAAATATACTGTAACATTATTAATTAGAGAGCTAAAGACTAATTAACAGAGACATTCAATTGAGGCTATTGTGTATTTAGCCTGAGTTTATTATTTGGTTTATTGACAATATTGATTTTTGTTACTTGCATGTGTCGACATCACATTGGTATTAGGTATTGTTTAGACAAAGGATCCACCTGTCACCATTCTGCTCTGATTTAACTTCTTTTTCCAGTTGTAGACTAAAGTGTGCTACTGGATTATTCTGATTCAAATTTTAAATATTTGTTATTAGTTTTATTATAATAGTTAATACATTTTTCAGTAATTTGTGTTATATAGTATATAGTCACTCTTTATTCACAAAAATTAATTCAATATAAATAAAATACTGTTCTACTATAAGATCATGAAGAAATCTAAAAATTAATCATATAAAAGTCAATATAAAGTCATCAGAAATAACTAAAACATATGCTAAAACTATTATAAAATGCTTAATTAATCTTTAAAAATTAAAAAATTACATCAAAATGCAATAACCATTTAATCAATTTCAATTAATCGTAATTTTTTTTTTAGCTTGTATTATTAGATCTAAAAACGATACCATATACCCTCAGTAAATAAAAATAATATTTTATTACTAATTTTAATATTTTTTAATAATAATAATGAGAAATTTCTTAGGATAAAATCGTATGTATACTGTACCATACATGTACTTTTGACAATTCAAACTAGTGGTATGTTTATTTGGGTTTATTTATTAACAAATTGTCTTCATTATACTGATCATCAATACCACATAAAATTATGATAGAATTCCATATAAACACACCAGAATGATATTAGAAAAAAAAAATGTTTAATATTAAACTTTGTTTTAAAGCAGACAGATTGTCAAAATATATCCTTACTTTATCATGTATTACATTATTTAAATGTAATTCATTAGAAGCAATGTTTTCAATTGGAATTGATATTTAAATAGTGGGGACTATTTAAAGCTCTCTAGATCTTTAATGTTTATTGGATGAAGACTCTCAAGGGAGATTTTTACAGCTTTTGTGTTAATGATTTGTTAAGGTGATAATATTGTGAAAATGAACTAGAAGTTTAGCATACAATACAATATGATAATTTTAATGCTACGGTTCAAGGGCCTGTGGCCATATGGTTGAAATTACAGTACTATACTGTAGCATGCTCTGCCGGTTACTGTTTTTACCGAAGACTTGTTTACATGATATCACAATATTTGTTTAATGCACTTAAATTTTCTCTAATCTACTGTACACAGATGTACTGTACAGGTAAATTATTTCTATAGTGTTGAAATCACAACCTTTTCGGACTATATCAGAACATTCTGTTTTTCATCTTTGCTTATTGCAGAAGATAGTGGAGGAATGACGAGCCAAGAATTAACCAATGCCAGTAGGAAGTTTATTCAGCAAAAACTGTCATTAGCTGCTCAGGTACTGTAAATGGTAGACTTCGCAATCATCTGTATAGTCTAGCTGTCTGTTCCCATATAGTGGTGTAACGCCTGTAGTGTGTGCTCTGCCGGGGTGGGGGTGTGAAGGCCCCAGGGACCCAGTCCAAATGAGTGCATGAGTGATTCTATGATTTATAGTCACACAATATAATTTATGTAACTACTAACATTTCCTTTAATGGCTGTAGCTGGCTGTAATGTTACTTTCAGTATTTATGGGTTTTTGACTTTGAAAACATTTCAACTATTTTCAGGAAGTTGAGGTGCTTCAGAATGAGTTAGATGCCTGTAAAAGTCAACTGGACAGTAAATACAAAGCTATCAGAATTCTACAGAGTCAGGTGTGTGCTTAACTTAATAATGTTTTTTTCTTTTCATAAATTCACATAAATTAATATATATAAATAAAGGTTTTCTCCATTTTCTCTATATTTTTGTTAACCTCAAATTTTGACACAATACTAACCCCCTAACTTACTCTTAAATTGATCAATAAGCACATCTACAATTTACATTTTAATAAATGTAGATTTGTAATAGAATAAAATGATATAGTATTATGTTATTGTTTGTTTCCTCACCTTCTTTAAATTTTTGTTATCAATTAACACAGATTTACATTCTATCTTTAATGTCTTTGTCACAATCAGTTATCCCATCACCTACAGTAAAATTAATTAACCATAATTCATGAATCTCCTTTTTCTTTCGTATTAATCCTAGTATGCTCATGTAAGTTCTAAAATTATATTTTATTATTATATTTCTGCTATCACCTCATTGATTGACATTTCATTTTGTTTTTTCATTGTATTTCTTGTATGAATTTTTTTACTATTCCATCTCAAATGCTGGTGCATTTGTTTTTCTAGTATTGCTATTATAGAACTGCTTTTATCACTGCTTTCTTAATACCATTGTCATAACTATTGTATTTACCCTATAGAACCACAGCGATTACTGCTACTTTTACCGCTACAACCACTTCATACAACTACTGTACTAGCCAAACTATAACCACAACCACTACTTTTACCAACCCTGTACCAGCCAAACCTACCACAACCACTACTTTTACCACTACTGTACCGGCCAAAACTATTACCACAACCACTACTTTTACCAACCTTGTACCAGCCAAAACCACAACCACTACTTTTTACTACTACTGTACCAGCCAAAACCATTACCATACCACTTCAGTACCACTATTGTTACCACTACCACATTCTTTTGCCATTACCACAACTGTAGATTCACTACCACAATTATCAGTACCACAGCATTACCAGTATCGCTACCAATTCAAGTTGCACAGTACCACTTCAACTCTCCATCTGTATAATTTATTATATTATTGTTTTCATTTCCATGGTGACTAGTCTCTTTCACTACCTAATTTTTCACTGTTGAATATTTTATATTTTATTGTTTTTGTATTTTTATTTTTCATGATTGAAATTCGAATAAATAAATTAGAACCCCTGAAAGCTCATGCATATTCATTAGCAATGACTGGACTGAAAATTTACTTTTTTTTGCTACATGATTATTAATATTCCATATTTGAACAGTTAAGTTTTATAGCCTAAGCCTTGAATGTGTCTGAAGTGTCTATTTGTGTTTCTTGCTGTTTTTTCTTTGCTGTGTTCATTTGTTATTTTGCCTCTTGTTTGCTTTTTAAAAATTATTTGATTATGTTCATTGTATTTTTGCTATTAATTATACTAGTGTATGCTTGTATATTTTATGTCAGTTGCGATAAGTGTATAGACCTACTTAAAAAAATGATTAATATTTTTGTACATTGCTTTATTAATTAATCTCTTTGTTTATTAGGCTATGCTAGCTGCCTCTCAACACAAGCGAACAGCACAATCAAGTATAGACCACAAGAAAGACTTGGTGAAGGTGAGTATGAAAAACAGTATGAAACATAACGTATTACTGAAAGTCTTCAAATACTGTACTAGTAATTAACAATGAATATGTTGATAATAATAATGACAATGATATAATATTAATTTATAATACTGTATTACTTATACTACCAAAATGTACAACAACAAACCAATGTTTCTGTTTTTTTTGTTGTTTTTTTTTAATAGTTTATTTTAACACATTTTGTGCCAGTAATTAAATGTTAATACTCGATAGCAATTTTTAAATTTGTAGTTTTTGGTAGTGTTAACACATCTTCATTTAATTAATTAATTATCTGACATCTCTTAATAGTCATGTGATTGCTCCATGGCACAATCAAATGACAGGAGTAAATTGCTGAAAATAACTCAGGATGTTGTGTTACATTGGAATCCAGTCTTAACCAACAGGCTTCTATATATTATTTTACATTTATACTACTAACTTATTATTATTATGTTTTTTGTAATTTTATTATAATTTTTCCTCAGGAGGTCAATGCACTTCAGTTTGAACTTGACATCAAAGCAGATGCACAGTTACGATGCGAACACAACTGGGCAGAGAGGTTTGACAGGTGTGTTGATAAAGAGATTTTAAACTTAATTTCCCCACATTTCCTATCCTTCGTGTACAAATTTATTTTTTCAGCGACTTTCGGGGGTAATTTTTTGGGGGAAGGCATTATCCAGTACGTTCAGTATGGGAGTTCCTGAGGGTTTTCAATGAGTATAGTCAGCAATGATCACCAGATTTTGGATTTCTACGTTTTGCATCCATTTTAAATACGAAAGAAAAACGAGTATCAACTGGGTCAATGAGACTAGTACCCTTCTCACACTGTCACTATTTTGTAGTAACAACTACTCAGTACTAACAAATTTATGCAAATCCATGTATAATTTTCCGAGACATCGCAATCCTATCTTATTACCAGTTGACATAGAACTTACATTTTTCCGCCTCAAAAGCCACTGTGGATGCCCTGGATTCGCCCTGCAATGTCTCAGTAGAAAAACAAGCTTCGTAGTCAATGTTTTTTTTTCCCGAGATGTCCTGAGTTGTTCAGTGTGCATGTGCTCATACTGCAACAGGCAATGGAGAACAAATTTATTCAGGAACCTCCCTGAAGATGAATGATAAATTTTGATTAATTAGAATCATCACAAATCACAAATCAATTTATTCAATCCTACAGTTTATAATAATGTTACAAATAAGTGTAAAAGAAAATTGAGAGAGACTCTCACTGAGACCAGAGGTCACAAGCATGAGATCCACCCACCAAATTAAATAGTTTATGAAAATTTAAAAAGAAAACAGAAGTATTGTAAACATTTTCCTTCTTAAAATAAAAGTAAAATTTCATTTTCATTTTTTTTACTAAAAAGTAATGTAAAGCTTTTCCCTTCTTGAATAAATTATAAAAAGCCAAATCTTATTTTCCTTTAATTTTATATACAAACAACTTATAAATAACACTTTTGTTTGTTATAAATGATGGCTTACAAGCAGAGCGGGAAAAAGTGCACGATCGCACAACATGAATTTTGAGGGAAAAAAATTCAAAAAAATAAGCTGTTAAAGTCAGGCTCCGGAGGAAAAAAATTTGTTGATATGTTGTAGAACTGATTTTTCTAAGACAGAAAAAAGTTGTTTGACGAAAAACTGGTGAACAGTGAATGAGATAGAGATTTTTTAATATTTAAAAACTGGGGGAATAAGGTGTAAAAATGGGCAGTTACGCCCCTTTTTCCCCCAGTTTTTAAATATTAAAAAATCTGTATCTCATTCACTCTCACCAGTTTTTTGTCAAACAACTTTTTTCTGTCTTAGAAAAATCAGTTCTACAACATATCAAATTTTTTTTCCCTCCGGAGCCTGACTTTAACAATTGGTGGTGGAGGCATTTTTATCAAGACATCTTACATGGAGGGAGGCACAAAAAATTATTTTTCAGGCCTGCTTACAAGTAATTATTTTAATTTTACGAACTTTGTCAAACGATATATATATGCTTCCAACATTTACTAGTTGGATTTCAAACACATGACAGACTGAAAAATGATATGCCTTTTAAATCTCACTTTGTTTACACCACAATATATCAAATGGAACAGCCTTTGTTAGAGCTAGATGATTAGAGAACCTCTTGGGCATTATAATGAAATATTAAATGCTGTTTATGTAGTTGTGATGGTAATTTGAAGGCAATTGATGCAGTATGATATTGGCAAGGACGATTGGACTATACCATTTGAAATATTCCAAATTAATAAATTGTAGCAATTTATAATAATTATATACTTTTGGTACACCATGTGGCTATTGCTACAAATTTCAATTGATGGTATCTAACCATCTTCCCCTGAAGACGGTTAGAGTATGCTAATCGAAGCTTTGGGACATTACAATCTAAATGGTTCTCAGAACCAAAATACCATTAATTGAGATTTGTAGCATAAGTATGCCACATGGTGTAATGAAAGCATGTAATTATCATAGTCAATTCGCCATGCAAACCTACTTACTAAGACTTATTTTTAGTAAATTCATTTTTTTTTTTTATGAATAAGTGGTGAATGGACCATTCCATTATTTGTTCTGAATATTTATTGTTTATCAAATGTAACATATTTGAAGAATTTAATTTTTGTGGATATTTTTATAAATGCACTATAGAGTGAGGTGGTTATTATCATATTATAAAGTGATTATCAAATTTTTGATATTTCCTTTTTATCTAATATTTTTTTATTAATTTTGTTTGTAGAATGTGTTTAGAGAATGCAGCCTTGATGGCAACTCTAGAGGCCCGATCTGATGAATTGAGACGCATACAAGCAGAGAATATTGGTAATGAAAAATGAATATTTTAGATGAAGTATGATTACTTGGGTAATGAAGTGCATATAGGCCTTTCAACTGTGCACTATGCAAGGTTACACATTAGTACATTTAAGTTGACTACTTAAAATTTATTTAATTTTGGGCTCCAGTTGTGTATCTAAGAGTATTGAAACTGGTGGGGGAGGAGTAGATTGTGGTCTTGCTTACCCAAGTAGATATGCCACTGTTTGGCTCATATGATCGCTTTCACTGTCTCCACAACTGCTTCATTCAACGAACTGATTGTTAGATCTACATTTTCATGTGACCATTCTAGTAGGGAAAAGTTCAATGACAGCATATGTACCTGTAGATCATTGTTTAGATTGGTGATACTCTTTTTATTTGTTAATAGGGCTTTGTAGGGAGAAAGAAGAACTGTTATCTGTAATGGATGTTAAAGATAAATTGGTTTATGAGAAGCACAAAGCAATAAATGATGAAGCTATGGAAGGATTCGCTCCGTCTCTTGTTGATGTAGGTCAATATTGAAATTAATTTTGATAGTAATATTGATTATTATTACTATTATCATAACATTGTCATTGCCATTACCTTTGACCTGTGTAATGATGTAAAGTGCCTGAAGGCCTTGGTTTGTGTTATATAAATAATTAATTTTAATTCCAAAGCTGAATATCGTATCACTGAACACTTAATACCGACATTTGCACAAAACAAATTTGAAATATAAAAATTAAACATACACGTCAGAACTCCACACTTAGTAAAGCTATGAATGAGGAAGGCTTTTACAAAACCACACATTTAAGTTCAAGTTCATTTTATTGGTCATATACAATATATGAAATTTGCTTTCCCGGTATAATAAAAATTAATAATATAAAAAAAATATATATATATATATACACTATACTAGAATAAAAGGTAAAAAGCACAAATTGCACAGAATATCACACACTAAAAGTATAAAAGCAGATTAAATAAAATTATCTAACAAATCTATTGTTTACCATCTTAATTGCACTAGGAATGAATGAGTCTGTGTCTATTTGTTTTTGTTAATGAGGTAACAATTTATTCAGTGTATATCAGTATGAATACTTACATAAGAATAATCCGTCTCAAAGATAGAGTATGCTCACGGTGCTTATTTCACTATAAGAATTTTAAAAAGCCATTAGTTGAAAAACACAATTTCACGTATATTGCAGTCTACAAGCGTAAAAATACGCTTCCTCAATATATTTTGAGGAAAAAAAACAAGGAAAACCGACCGACATTATATATCTATAAAATATGTACTAGTGTCACAGTAATAATAAGTTTCAAAATTGAAGAATAATAAATGAAAAGAGCATGTTGAGTGTGACCATCCACACTAAATACATACCCAAATGAATGATTTTATTAATTATTTCACTCCTCATTAAATGATATTAATGTAGTTATACAAATTTCTCTCACTTAGCAAGTTGCTGTGTTGGGCTTGTGCAAATGTTCCTGTAGCGCCCCAGATCCTTGTAAATGTGCCAAGATGGCCGCCCACTTCAAGAAAGAAAATGCTTTCCTTAAAGAACAGGTAACAATATTACAACAAAATAAGATGACAACCATCATTCAATCATTTGAGGCTACTAAATACAAAATATGAGAGTTCAAAAAAATGGTCTAGAAATCAATTAGTCGTGTCCCAGTAAATTCATTAGTTTTGGTGATTAATAAAACGATTACACATTCAGAGAATTGATTAAATGAGTGGAAAGGCAGGGGATCCACTAACTACCTCCTTAACATCAGCTCTGGTTCGAGCCACTCATTCCAGGTTTGGTTAGTAAAACCAAATGTTCTCGGATAAAAGATTTAAAATGGAGGTCCAGTGTACGCATTTGGCTTGTGTGCAACTTAAAGAACCCATTGCATCTTTTGAAAAAATAGGGGGTAACCCCGATACTATGGATCAGTTCAGCTTCAGTCATGAATCTACAATATGAGCACGACTGTGCAATTAAGCGTAATGATGCTGCAAGCTATGAGTTATTCTTTTACCTTTACACAAGATCATCTTTATGCTGTGCCTTTACTCCCAAATAACTAGGTAGGAATTGTCCAATTTCAAGGAATGACCCCCCCCCCTCATTTTATAGATAACATACTACAGTTTCTGAAACTAACATTAACTTGAATTTTCATGCCATATTTATAGCTCACAAACTAATTTTGATGACATGGCCCTTTGCCTTTCATTAATAGACTGATGTCTTAAAAGTGAACTGTTCCGAGAGCTATTCGGTGGCTGATGCTTATCGTATCGCATTTGAAGAGCAGTTAAACAGAAATACAGTTTTGAGTAAAGAAATAGCAGAATTCCATAAAGATAGAGAAACAAACAGGTTAAAGTTATGGAAAAATAAAAATACACACACGAATGGTGAGTAATTTTAAATCAATCGTGATATAGAGTACCACAGTCGTGTCGTCACGACACCAAGTGGCGCTCTCTGTTGTCAACAGATGTTGGTTACCGTTCATTACGCCTGAATGACTTCATATGCTTTCTAGAATATAGGCATTTTGAAATCTAATATTTTACCATCAAAATGTACTAAAAACACAAAAGCTCGCATTATATTAGTTATCGAACACACATTTAACCATCAATTAAAATTTACAAAGAAAAAGTAAGATACAACATCTTAATAATTACATTAGATATTGGGATCAATAGTTTGTCAGTGGCGAAAAATGGCGCCCGGTTGAATCCTTTTTGCAACGATAGCAACAGAGTAGTATCATGCGGTATCGTGACGTAACACTGTAGTACTCTATGTTGGTAGTGTATAAATTAGAGGCAAAGAGAGGCAACTGCAGATACGTTGTCTTGCCCAAGGCTAGTCACCAGTGTGACTAGCCTTATGTGCTGCACCACTTGATTCTTTATTATTGTTATAGTAATAATAATGTTAATACTGTAATTATGATGATAAAAATAATATTTATATTAATGATTATTTACATAATCATAGTTATTATGATCCCAATAATTATTAAAAAACATATTTATTATGATAAAGATAATTATGATGTACATAATAGAATAATAATTTGGAATATATATATTAAATGACTTGAATGAAGTGATTACATAGAACCAAAATTTCTTCCCATACCATTGACTACCCATTCTGGTCAGGCAGATCCGTTGTGTTCTGAGAATGCAGAAAAATGCATTGTGTTCTGTTACACTAATAGATGCATACCAACTGAAAAATATTATAAATGTTCTACAATCATATCAACATTTTACAGAGATACTTTAAAAAAAAAATATGTATTCACTAGCCCTTCCAGTACACTTCCAAGTACTTATGACAATTACACAATTTTATTTATACTTACATAGAGAAGTGATTTAATTTTTAGCTTTGTTCTTATATTTCTGTCAATTTTTTAATACACTTTACAATCTTAATCACATTGTAAACACACTTTAAGACTTTGTTTTTATTAATTAACTTTCCATGTTGGTATTTTAGTGTAATATTAGGAATTTTATTTTTTTGTCCTTGCTTTAATAATTTTATCTTTCATTGATATGTTTTTGTTTTAATCAGGACGATATGATAGATCAATTTTTAAGTGTGCTTTGTCAATTTTATTATTGTATATTTACATTCATTGAATATGTATCCTGAATAAATATGTTGCATAATAATTTTGTGCCTTTTTTCAGTGTTTGTTAGTAATTGTTTTTCAGGTATTTATACAGTTTTTATGTTTTTTTTGGGGGAATTATTTTTTGGAGGTTTCCATATCCGAAGTGGGGATAAAGATTCAGATAATCTAATGGTATACTTCATTTTTGCTTTATATATTTTTGCATGAATTATTTTAACTAAACATGCATATTTTGCAAATTGGGATATTAATTGCAGATCAATTATTATCACATTGGTGAATTTAATGATATATATTTCAATAAATTTCATCTAATACCATTAATGATACTTATTATTGTTTAATAATTTTAACCTAATAAGCATACTATTTTACTATTCTTATTTATCTCAAGATTAATTTGGGGATTTATTTATAATGGACCTTTCCGTAGTGTTAATCAAACCCAACAACCAGCCAATCAGAACAGGCTCAGGAATTTACACGTGCCTAAGGCCGGGCACTCACCTGCGCCCGACGGTCCATTCAAAATGGTATATTTATTCAAAATTCAAAATTCAAATTAAGACATAAAACATAGCAGCCAAAAGGCTGAATTGCGAATTATGTTAACAATTAAAACCATTAAAAAAAATCAAACAGCCGACGCGATTCTACGAAGAATGCAATGGCACAGCGCGCATGCAACAGATTGTTTTTAATGACAACCCGTTTAGAGTACCACCAACAAACAGCAGACAGTGTCACATCGTCAAGCACTTCATGTACGATGGTCGTATGATTGTCGTACAATGCTGTGAGTGCCCGACTTAACTGGCGTTTAAATACGTTTTAATGTTTAAATACTGTCGTTTTTTGGGACCTTAACAACAATCTCCAAGGGGCGGGGCTTAGCAGAGAGGTCCATTTAATATGAATTTCTTGATCATTGGTTGGATGGTGCAACAGTGGGAATAAAGCTCTTGTGATACTATATTTTATATTATCGGTGTTCTTGGTCAAAGTTTGTGTATTGCTACCAAATATTCACAAATTAATGGTAACTTTGTCTGAAAATGTATTTAGTTATGTATTCTCTGGTTGGTGAGAATAGAGGAATGAAGTTGTATAAGTATCTAACTGGTTATTATTTATTAATGTTGATGTAGGTCCTGATGAAGAGGAAGAATCTCAAGAAGTCAGTCAGTTGGGTTTTGGTGAAGAGTACCATAGTGATAGAAAGGCAAGGAGTCTAGGTGTACAAGCTACAGAACCAAACACATCTGAATTCATTAATCTTCTCTCAGATCTGGTAACTGACTCTTTACTCTTTATATCAATTTTTTAAATGTATATAATCTGTATTTAAAAAAAAAATAGAATATTTAAATGCAGTGCTTTGAAAAGAAATATATTTTTCAATCTGCAGAATGACAATTGTGGCACTCTTTTACCTCCCAACCCCCAACACCCCGGCAGCTGCCAAAACGTATCACCAACATCTAAGTGTGAAACCATTTAGACGAAGGGTTAAAATATCCCTATACCCCCTATAATAGGTAGGGAACACCCAAAAACCTCCCAGCCATAAATTCCCCCATCCCTTCCTCCCCCTTCACCCTCTGGTCATTGATTGCCAGTTGCGCCACTTTGGGATGAGTGTGTCTACGAGCTTGGACACAAAGATCAGTTAACAAAGAAAATTATGGTAAAGTTTATTTAGATCCTCATGGGGACAGTAACTGTATTTCCCAAAACTGCCCCAAAATAAAGCCATGTCCAGACTATGAAATTCCACTTGAGAAAAACATGTGACTTGCCTAAATATGGTCATGATGACATCACATCATGACCATATAGGCACATCAAGTCTATATATGGGCATACAGCAGTTTTTTGTCAAAGAAAATTTGTTAGTGAGGTGTAAAATGTCACAGTTGGTAGAGCAACCAAAGAGTTCTGAAATTTCAATGGGGACTACAGTAAATGTTTTGTGAAAATAAATTTTTGCCAACACATTAATAATAAAACAAATGTATAATATCATATTAATATTCAATAATATTGCACTAGCAATAAAGCTCTAAATGCAAATATGGTTTTGTTGTTTTATTCCATAATAAATCTATCTAATTTCTATTATTTCTTGAGTCATTTAAATTCAGATATTTTCATAAGTTCTGTTAATTTCCGATTTACTGAAAATAAAATAATTCTAAACAATCAAAATGAAAAACAATAACTATTTATTTTAAAAACAATATACAGTTGCAAGCAAATATTAGTTAACAAGAAGAAGAATCTATCCTTCAATAAACACAGGTTAACAGTTAAGCCTAAATAATTGTACCATAAGGTTAAGTTATCAAAAGTAGAAGAATAACCCATAACTTGCAGCGTCATTGTGCTGAATTGCGTATGGGCGTGGTCCGTGACTACCTAGCAGCCGTAAAGAGGCGCTTCTTGGTAGATACATGTTCACATCTTTCCACAACGACAGGGGCTAAAATGAACCATAACATCAGGGTAACCCCTTACTCTTCTGAAAGATGCAATGGGTTCTTTAAAGTGCACATGAGACAGATGTATACACTGGACCTTCATTTTAAGTCCTTATCCGAGAAGACTTGGTTCTACCAACCAAACCATGGGCGAGGAGCAGCTACAACCAGCGCAGATGTTAAGGCTGTAGCTAAGGCGCCTCTGCCTTACCGGGGGCCACTCGACTCACCATCCTGTCACCATCTTTTCATATGCATAAATTTTAATGTGATATCAATTCTAAAACACTTTAAGTTTAACTGAATAACTAAATGTAGGCAAAATTACAACAACAAAATAACAATAATATCAAAGTAACTCACCATAAGGTTCAGCTTCAGTTTAACTAGCACATCACTGCGTTAAGGACTGAACTGTACTGGAATGGAACAAAGAATGGCTAACAAAAGAGAGCAACTGGCTACTTCGCAAATTAGAATCAAGGTAGAAGAAAAACAAGCAAATTTTTGCTTACTTTATTAAATTTTGATTTTATTTTGCAGTTGAATGATAGAAGTGAGGCTCTGGCACATCAGAGGCTAGCAGCTCGACTTCTGGCCAATCGGATGCGAGACCTTGAAGAAATTCTAGAAAGGCTGACAATAAATAAAACTCCTAATCTATCCGAGATGCAGGTTCCCGTGGGTGTGGGCCATATTTAACGTAAGAGCTGATTGAATTTTGTGGACATTCTTCATTCAGCACACAGGCCAGCAAGGATTGGGGTGATGCTGGAAAGTGGCTTCAAAATACCTTATAAAAGTTAAAGGTTGCTAGCCTATGGTCCAGTTAATAGCTGTTCGATAAGGCCCACTCCTTCGTTGCTAAGGTCCCACAAAACAACAACAAACAGCTACATAAAGGCGAACATTTGTGAGACAACTTGTGTGTTTGTGGGCCAAGCGCATATTTCTGGCCCCGTTGATCAGTTGTTAAGGTAGATTGACTCTCCAGAAAGGACTAACAACAATATAACATTCATCCCTTTAAGGCTGTTTTCCGAGCGTTGGTTCATGCGCATTCACATTTCTGAGTTTTTTGCTTCAGCGGAAAAATCAATAGTTCGAACTGTTTCTACTTTTTGCGAAGTGAAAAAATGCGCAACCAATCAGAGCTCAGGAAGCGAACCAAAGCTTTTGATTCACATGAATAAATTTGTAGTGGAAAACAGGTTTTATGTAGTGACGTAGCCTGTGAGATTGCTTGTCCAATATATTATGAAAAAACAAATTCACTCAGAGGTACTATTTTTGGAAATCATTATCAAAAAAGTTTTATATTTTAAAATATAAAAATTATGAATATTTAACATTTCAGAACTATGTTTATTTATGTACAATATGTTACATATACATAGCAGAAAAAAAGAGTATTATTATCTCTACTGTATTTGTTTGTATTTCTGTACTGTAATGAGAGGTACAAATTGCATTTTATGAAAATAGCAATTCTATTGTCACAATGAAATTTTTACTTAATTTGATGAAATTTTAAACCATTGCCTTAATCTATCTTTAGGAATGTTAAAACAGTATAAATTATATTTTATTTTATTTCAAATCATCATCCACAGCAAAAAGTCAATTACAGGATGTCTTATAGTAATACATCATATAAAGACATTAAAAATATATTAACAATAATAGTAAAAACAACAACAATAATATTAACAACAATATAAGTAATAATTATCAATCCTTGTGTCATCATTTTACATATTTTTTCTATCCTTGAGCAAAAATTGTTTTTATTGTGCCTGTGGTTTGACGTTTTGGTGGTACATGTGCAAAAAGCACAAACCTGTTTACTACGACAGTGAGAAATATTTTGTTGACGAGCCTAACATTTGCTGTGGCATTGGCAAGCATTTATAAAGCCTATACCTAGGCCGGACCTAGTTAGTCCTGACAAGATAAGAAGGCGATTTATAAAGCAATTATTGTGAAGTTTGGGCATTGACTGAAAAATAGAACTATTTATTTCCGTTAAAAATTGCCTTCAATAATGATTGACTGGTTACTATTATCCAATCAGCACCCTCAAAAATTATCTGTGGAAATTAGTAATTTAGTTTTAGTGTTGCATTGTTAATGGGATTAAATGTAGAATCTTGATGTGCAATTTTCATTGTAAAACATGTGTATTAGTAACTTAAAATGTTTTCATAGTAGTATTTAACTTTTGTAGAAACTCTAGAGTACATACGATCAACTGTAGAACAGTTTGCAATATATAGAATTTTAATATCTTTATCTGACTGTAATAATAATGATGTTACCAGCTATAAAAACAGGGAGGGGCTATGGAAATTAACACCTCCCAGCCTAGGCCAACAATAAAATGGATACTCAAACTAGCATTAGCCTTGCACAATAAGTTAAAGATGTTCGACCTAGTATTTTTGTTGTTATTTATATAGTGCCTTTCCTTTATGTTACGAAGTGCCCTGTTTTCCCTGGTCATTGGGTCCACATGCCTAAGTGTTGCTGCCATATTGGCACAGTAGCAGGTAACCACACCAGGTACACAGTTACACTCCTGGGTGGAGAGAAGCAATGCAGATTGCCTTTCTCAAGGACACAAGCGAAGTGCAGAGTGACGGATTGAAACCAAACCATTCCCACTGCGCCAAACCGCTTCCACAGTCCAGCCTTTCTGGCGTTAATGCAAAATCGCATCACATCTGAAATTTTATTTTATTTATTTTTATGGTACATGTATTCTCTCATATTTTTTACCTTGTAAAAATATACAGGTCTGGGTTAATGGATCGAATACATGCTATACAATAATACTCACTATTATCAACTTAACTGATGGCTTGTCCAAGGTCTCGCAAACAACCCAGATCTAAGCTTTCATCATGTCATTTCAATATGGATCTAGAATAAACATTTAGGGAGTGAAGCTGTCCCCTGTCTGGTAACACAGGATCCAGTGGATGTGCGCGGGCTAATACCTCTGGTGCAAACTGGGCAATTTTGAGACATTTCAGAACATATTTTCCTATACAATTAAAATAAAAGGGAAAATATAGTTATTTTTGTGTCAGTTATAACAGATAAGAGACTTAAACCACACCTGCATGATGTGGCGCAACCTCTAGGACAATCCTGTTACTTTTAGTACAATATGAAAACCATTGTGATTGAAAGATGTACTTAAATTCAAAGAAGGTATGTAGGATATTGAAAAACATCGCCAAATGAACTTTCTCAAATGCATGCACCAGTCAAACCTAAAAACGGGTGTTCAATGTTCTCTTTTATTGCGTACGGTTTAAAAAATAGAAAAAAAAAACGCAGAAAAATCCGCTTCACATGCAAGTTCAAGTGCATGTCATGTAACTGCTGCTGGGGTCCCCAAGCTAGAAAAATAATTTCCAGGAGTTCAGAGTGAATAAAATACTCAGCATGTATGAACTAAAAAAGTGCAATTAGTGTATCTAATGATACCAACAAATTACAGTACCATAATAATTAATTAGTGTGTTGTGTTACTGCAATCATATTTTTTTTAATTCTGTAATTAAATTATATATATGTAATTGAATGTATTTTATGATTATTTATTCTGCAATATAATAGTATTATACATAATAAATTTATTAATTATCCCCTTTTAATTATAACCATTGGGGTGTTTCTCCATACCAAAGTTACTGTCATGTGATTTAGTATATCATACAAGTTGGAGATCAGTGATTGCCTTCCAATGCCATCTTCAAAGGTTAAGTTCAAGATTTTTAAATTATTAAAAACAGCTGTTTAAACATATTTTAATTTTTATTTTTTTTAATTTTTATTTTAATTCTCATTAATTCATTTCTGTATTGTTTGTTGGATAAATAAGATGGCTCAAATATATTTTCCTTCAATAAAGTATTTTAATGAAATAAATGTTTGTTGTCATTACTTTCATGTTAATAATTTTATAATTTTTTTTATGTAAACACTGTGAGCTCTTCTCCATTTGACTGAAGGTCAGTAGTTCAGCACTCCTTACTTTTATCTGAGCATGCTTATTTTATTGTTTGTTTTCCTTTAAGCCCACCATTAACTAGATGCACTGTCTACCATGAGCTAAAAATATGAAAATTTGTATATTTATGTAAATTATTAAATTACAATTAAAAATTTGAATGTGAAAATGTTCCCATTAATTAATGGACAGTTAAATACAATCTTTTCTGTAATCTTTTGCATATAGACCCTTAAATTGGCTGGTAATCAATTTAAGGATTTTTGTTTAAAAAACACATCTGTAAATCAGCAAAAATTACTTTTTTTTTTAATCTGTTTCTGGTTGGAATTTAATAATTTTTTTGATCTTTTAAATCAGTTCAAGTATTCAAGTTCTTTCACTGAAGTATTTTCCAAATTTTTCTGCAGAAAAGTGTACAGTATCTTTAATAATTGAGCAACATTATTTATACTGTTATAAATTTTTTGATTTTTATTCAGTGTATTATGCAGTTTAAAGTTAACAGAAGCCGCTTCTAGGAGATATGGCTTAATGAGGTTTCATAACACATCTAATTGCATTTTGTTGTGCATGGTAGGCCCTAAAACCCATGGCCAACTGTTGTCAGGGACATAAATACAGTAGAATCACTAAAGGCACCTCTATTAAGGAGACATTTTTTTGGCCACGAAACTGGGAAAAATATATATCTTGAAACACTGCGGCCAACCCATATTCAGGGGAGACCCCTATTAAGAGGGACACTTTTTTGGTCCTGATGGTGTCCCCTTAATACTATAGGGATTCTACTGTATGCAAACAACATGAATTTCTCTTGAGCGTGCCCTTAATACTATAGGGGTTCTACTGTATGCAAACATCATGAATTTCTCTAGAGCGCGCCCTTAATACTATAGGGGTTCTACTGTATGCAAACATCATGAATTTCTCTTGAGCGCGCCTTTAATACTATAGGGGTTCTGCTGTATGCAAACATCATGAATTTCTCTTAAGTGCAGAAGACCGTGCCTATTTCCGCTAGTCTCCCGGTGACTCACAGGAGACCAGGCACCCCTCTATTATGTTTCAGTACTCAATAATAAAATATTAAATAATATATATTAATATAAAAATTAAAATGAATCACAACATAATTGTTTTGTAAATTCACAACAGACTAGCATAGGTTTATTTCTATAATACATTTTATGTACAGAAACTACTTACTGTATATCATATTAGTAAGTTCACAAGTTTTTTAATGGAAAACATTGTTACTAAAGCCATGTTTCTGTAGCAGTGAATTAACCATTTAAAAAGGTATACTATAAAATTCCAGTGGAGACAGAGCCTAGCTAGATTTTAACTAACTTCAACTTTGTTAAATATTCAAATTGGACATCTGACAGTGTTGTGGTCTGACATAGCTTAGGTACCATACATGACAACAAAAAGCAGCTCTCTCAAATAAGCTCTCTGTTCTCGACTGATTGCCAAACCAAACATACTTTTTTGCTAAGCGCCCCACTTGAATAAGTGTTGCTGCATTTATTAAGCGATGTCCAGATTATCAAATTTTGTTTGACAAAAAAACTGTTGTATGCCCATATATAGCCATGATGTACCTATATATGGCCATGATGTGATGTCATCATAACCATATTATTTAGGCATGTCACATGTCTTTGTCAAATAAAATTTGATAGCCTTGACATGGGCTAAAGAGATACAGATTAAATTCTGAATAAACATTATTCCCAACTTTCTTAGATTTGTTGTATCATCAGGCGTAATATTAAATAACATTTCTCACATTGAAATTAATACTAATGATTGCAGCAAGGGAGACAGGCTAAGTCCAATACATGGCACCAGTATAGCACTGTAAAGCACCACTCTCAAACAAAGTGACGAACAAAAGCCTCCAAATAATTATGGTAGTCACATATTCTCTGTCACTGCTGCATTGAAAATTTGCAAATTTCTGATGCTGTGTTAAGTATAAAATGCTAATATGAGGCTTGCTCTCCCAAAACCAGCATCAATGACCGAAAAATGAAAATCGACTTGTTAATATATTCTTATTCTCCACATTATACGCTTCAAAATGATGGGTCATTTAGTGGAATCGACTTTCTATTGGCAAAAAGTTATGAGTAAAAGTATTACAGCTTCTTTGTACTAAAGTATACAATACCCATGTTCTTATAATTACTCAGTTTAACAATTAGCAACAGTACACTGATTTTGGGAATGCAAGCCTCATTCCTGATGATGACATAATTAATGTCGAGATATTGAATCCCAACACGATGGCATGCATTTCGATAATTGCAGTATGTATTATACTATCTTATTCAAGCCAAGTATGATAAAGAACTACCTCGGTAGTATTGGCAGTAAGCATACATACTCAAGTTTCACATGAGCGATGAATTTTTTTTTTAAAACCCAATTAAAACAAGCAATTTTATCTGATAAGCAAGACTGATTGTGCAGACTAGGATCACCACAAATTAAGTATCTGATCATTTCTGATTGACTACAGAAGCATGGCCATTGAGTCAAAATTCATGGTTATATAAATTTCCTAGCTGAGAAAAATATAAATTTTTATATTGTATGCCTTAAATAATATTTACAACACAATACTGGAATTGGAAGAAATTATGTCATACATTGTTTGTATCACACAAGAGCAGTAACAGAAAACTGACATAATTTTCTAAATTTCCTATAAGAAAGATTAATACCACATTATATGAAATGTATCAGTCGGACTAAAATGTGATTTTAAAGTACAAAATCCACCTTTATCTGTCAGACTTTTGTTGATACTTGATAAACTATATAATACAATAATACTGTTAATATTGTCACACATGAAGTGTATTATATACATGTAAATTATATAATATATGCAGCTTTGCAACCTTATTTCATCATGATTATATATATAAATGTAACTGACATGTTAATAAGCTCAGAATTATATAAATTATTTACATTCATTACATTCTGTAAATCACACATTTTTCTATTAAACATAAACATTCCACCATCTCCACCTCTTTGAAAAAAGACAAATCAAACTTGATAGCATTAACATGATGTCATAAATATTTGATATGAAAGCAGTGATGAATTTTGTAGTGTACCAACTCTTACCTATGATGAAACCCAATTCAAAATTACGTTGATAATGGTAGCCATGCATACTAGTCTAAACAAACCTGTTTTATATGTTCCCTGATAACACTAGTTTAAAGATGTATTGTCCCATGAAAAACAATTAAAAAAAAAAAAAAATCATAAAAATCATTTTTTAAATTAACTTGCTCACTGGAAGTGTTTGTATTATTGTTATCATTCCAGTATAAAAATCATGGCAAATATTCAATAATTCCTATGCTCAAGTAAATAATTTGTATGTTACTGCAAAAACGATCAAGTTAATTGCAAAATTAGTTTACTATTTTCAGGAGAAAATACACCTTTAATAGGGAGATTTTGATGTGATATTAGAACAGATTCACTCATGCGTAACCTCTATATTCTCTGTACAATGTAAATTTGGGCAGTTTGCATCCTAGAATCCACTCGAAAATGAAAACTTAACGTTCTCACATGCACAGACAACTTTATGAAAAGCCATTACGTTTTACAATCGAAGCTCCCTAATATTACTTTGTGCACCATTGTCTCTTTCCTCCCAGTTGAAATTAAATAGTCATGAAGTAACACAAAGAAAGTATATTATGGTTCACAAATAATAACTCCAATTTTCTACCAAATACAAATATTACAACTTACCCTTTATCAGGTAAATAATTTAAAAGTATTTACACATATTTTACTGGCATGTTTAATAACAGAAATATAAGTTATAAATTTGCACCAATAAAATATAGAAGTTATAATTTCTCAAAGCAAGGTTTGTTAATTAGCAAGTACACACTCAAGATGACCATATAATATTGCAAAATGCAAATAGTTTTCTGCAGAATATATACTTTCGCAAATGCAAAAAATGTTATCAAACTATTAGGCAAGGCTTTGTTATTTAATATTTATCAAGGTATTTTTAGTTACTCTACAGGTATATTACAAATAAAATAATTCAATATTTTTCTAAAAATATTTGGCAGATATATTAAATATAATAATAGGAATGTTAGTCTTGGAGAAATGCTTTGGATTTGTGGTTATGATGCTATTCTTTAAATGTGGATGGACGTGCATTGTGGCGATGCGTTTTCCATAGGATCGCATTGACCAGCAACTGCTGGGCGAAGCTAGTGCTCGCTTTCAGTGTTTCTAAATACTCAGCTTTGCTGTAAGAATTACCCTTTAAAATTCAATAAAAATAAAAAACAAAAACAACTTTTTTTAGTTTTCACAAAATTTGTCTATACTGTTATGTTTCAAATTTACTTTACAATGCTACCCCAAAACAATTATTTACGATTGGGAAGCATCAGGTAATTTGCATAATTGCCAAGTAAACCACAAATATAAAATCTTTATCATTCCTGATGATGACATAATTAATGTCGAAATATTGAATCCCAACACATTGGCGTGTATTTCAATACTTGGAGTATGTATTATACTTTCTTATAAAATCTTTAAGTTTACAAATTTCAAAATTATTAAATCAAGGTATAATGCATTTCATATAAATCATTTGTCTAATTTAATTAAGTACAATAGATAATTAAGTATATAAATGACTGTTATGATAAAGGCAAGCCCCGACCACAAATTTTCTTTACTTTCTGTTTAATCTGTTTTAATTTTCTGCATATTCGCATGTGCCCATATTTCCGACTTGGAACTGATAAAATAGCAATTTTTCTTGTTGCAATTTCTTGTACAATTTCTTCAAATTGTTATTGTACTAAAATCTAAAATTATGAGAAAAAGTGTAGCTGGAGCTTTGTTTAAAGAAAAGCATATTTTAATTCTTGCCTGATGAGATATCCATTCACAAGAACAAATTATAGAAATATAGTATTTTTCATCAGTTAATAAATGTAGCCAACCTACATAGTATACCATAATATTCAAAAGACCAAACTTTTTAAAGGCAAATATGTCTTTTTTTAAAATTAAAAATGAACTCTAATAAATAAAGAGTTCTACTTGCATTGTGTAACAACCTGAGCTACACAAATGTAGCCCTCAATCGCCGACCGTCCTTACTAATTACAAAGCGTTTATCTGTGGGGCTTGGTTTGGTCGGGGAGGGATTTTCTGATTTTACTGGTGTTTGTAGTGTGGTTCCTGATGGAAATGAGATTCCCATCCTGGAACGTTTATCCTGTTTTTCTAGGACATTGATGGCAGACAACGTGACATCTGGTTTGGATGCAAGCTTCTGGTTGATGCCGGAGGCATTACATTGTGACGGTTCTTCAGGAGGTGTAGATTTAGACTCTTTTGATTGTGACATCACCTGATTAAAATCTTCTTGATCCACGCTTAAAATGAGGTCATGAGTGGATGGAGATGGTGGTAGGGCACCCAAGTCTTCATCGACATCATTACGACGATCAGTAATAGGAACAGGGTGCTGATCAGACCCCGGCAGTGTACTGCCCTTGGAAGACTGTGCCTTTCGGTACACCGGAGGAGATGGGTAGCTGATTGGAGTTGGGGGTGAAAAGTTTGGCATATCAATATCCAATGTTGTGTTTCCATCCAGCACCGGTGGTGGAGGAAGAACACTGGAATTATTAGAGTTCGGATCCTGATAATAATCTCCCTCTTCCTCTTCACCGTCCGACTCTGGATCTTCCTGGTAATGCAAGCTGTTGCCTCGTGTTAAAGGCTTCCCATCATTTCCATTTAAGTCCTCATTCCGTAAGGAATTCTGAGAATAACTCCTTGAATTAAGCCCCGATTTGTGTAGCAACTGTTCCGACCGACTTCTTGCATATCCGAGGCTACGTTTTCCCGGTAATTTATGTACATGAGAAGAGGTATCCAAGGTCCAATTTGTTTCACGGAAACTGTTTTTAACAATGGAATCATTGAAGTGTGGAGAGGACATGTTGGTGTTACGTGAACCAAAAATCTCCTCAGCTTGGTGATGCGTTGGCAATATTCCATCGGGAAAGGTTGTTGGTGTCTGGTAGTTTTGCGGTATTGGTGGTGTTGATTTCGACCTAAAATATTGGTTTCTGTTGCGGTTCTTTGGTGTTTTGGTATCCCTTGGGTTGTCCTCATCATTTTGCAAGAACTCTGGTAGTTGGTAGATGTTGGTGATTCCCATTGAGGTACGTGGACGGTTCTCCGGAGGATTCACACCAGCTGATGGTGAGGATTTCTTGAGGAAGTCTGGCAACTCAAGGTTGAGGATGGTCAAGCCACGCTGATCATTCAATCGACTTCCTTGGGCTTTTGACACAGCAGCTATCAAATCTTTTAAGAAAAAAAATAGAAGGTGTAATTATTTATTTATTTTTAACAAATCTTAACAGTACGACTCTTTGCAAACTAATATGGATGTTATATCATTATTTCGTTCAAAAGATTCTTCTTGTTTGTCAGCTTAATAATGAAAATTATTATTATTGCTATTAAGGATCTACCACTACTGCTATTACAAACACTACCACTAAAACCAACACCACTAACTCTAACACTAATCCAGCACCACTCCAACTACCGCTAAACTAGCACCACTACTACTACCACTAAACCAACACCACTACCACTAAACCAGTACCACTACCTCTAAACCAGTACCACTACCACTAAACCAGCACCACTACCATTAAACCAGCCCCACAATATACCACTAGTGCCTGTATCAGTACTATGGTCTAATTAATCCAATAAATCATAAAACATATACATACCATCAGCATCTTTTGGGTTGAGATTGTCCTTGCTTTTATTTGAGATTTTCTTTAATGGACTTTTTATTCTTCTTCCAAGAGTTGAGTTGACATCTTTTGGTTGCTTCTGAACCTTTTCTGATGTTGCCTATTAAAAAAAAAAAAACTGTTTAAATAATGATTAAAACTGTTTAAGAAATGATAACAAATGAAGAAAATCCTATCAATTTTATTCCAACAAATAACAAAAAATATTTAAAAAATTTAATTTTCAAACACATTTTTAAATATGAAAGATTTGACAGTCATTAGTCTATAAAAAATTATTCTAACAAACCGGCAGTTTTTTTTTTTTTAATTCAGATCTTCAAATTATGTTTTAAGACAGACTCCTAAGGGAAAAAAAAATTGATATCTTGGGAACTAATTTTTCTAAGACAGAAAAAAATTGTTTGAAGAAAAACTGGGGAAAGGTGAATGAGATACTGATTTTTGAATATTTAAAAACTGGAGGGAAAAGGTATGCTCAATAGAGCAATACTATCAAATAACATAACAAAATATATGTGGCTAAGACAAGCCAAACCAGTCACTTGTCGCAACTCCTGTTTCAGAGATATTATCCGAAACAAGCTGGAATGTCAAACTTTTGGAAATCCATTTTATTGCAGTAAACTAACCTATATACATCTATTACATCATGCTATGTTGTTCATTTTCCCCATTTTCAATGTTAAAACAACAATTTTTAACGATATGGTGATGATTTCTGCCTAAGAAATGCCCAAAAATCGTAAACTTTGAAGGCTGATTTCTCAAATATTGTTCTTTAAACATCTGTATGTTTAAACTCCTTTAACTTCATAACGAAATGTCTGATTTAAATGATTTTATAGCTCTCATTTTACTGTTTAACCCGATTTTTGCGATGAGTGACTGGTTTGGCTTGTCTTTGCCGCATATATCAATTTTTCTGTTAAGCACATTTAGCTGCCTGCAATTTTTCTTATATATGTCCTAACATTACTATATCAAGTCATGGAGGTATTATAGTACAGCACACTCTAATAGCTCCATGATCAAGAAATGGTCTCAGTATAGATAGACATGGGGTGACTATGTCATAAACATACCTTATGAGCGTTACCGTTCTGCTTGCGTTGATTCATATATTTTGCGGAGCCATGAGTCAAGACGCTTTCTGCAGACAAGGATTTGTGAAGTTTGGTGTTCACCGGCGGTGGTACAGCGGATGTAGCACCATTCATCTTGTAGGTCCCAGCTACAACAAAATCGATAAATAAATCAACTACAGATAGGTAGTTATCGTTCAATGTACCAACCCTTAGATAATACTTAATAAAAAAACTTCATGTAATTACGGAAAAACTTGTTCACATCAGTGGTGTTATTCAGCAATGCAGTAAAGACATTGTTCAAATCAACAAAACCAAAATTACAACAAAACCGAAATTAAATCAAAACAGTACAAATAGAGTAATTACAATAGAAAATCACATTACTGAAATGAAACAATACAATTACATAGTTAACTGTTTTCCAAAAAGCAAAAGGTCCACTGATTAATCTCAGATACTTGCATTTCGATACTTGGGGTATGTATTATATTATCTTATAGTTAACTGTAAAATTTTTAATTAGTTCCCCACCCACAAAAACAAAAGTGTAAATGTATGGAAACATGTGCGTTTGTGGGACAACACGTGTGCTTGGAGGACACACACGTATTCCAGGCCCTCTTCTGATTGGTCAGTTGTTGAGATGATTGACATTCCGGAAAGATCCATTATCATAAAAGGTATTTAGAGGCAGTAGGGCTCTAAAATAAAATAGATTCCCAGTGTGAGTATCTGTCTACTGCTTGACATAGTTTTTTTTTTTTTTTTTGGTACTTTCTATGTAGAGACTCAATTTATGTTTGAGAGGCTGTTATTTTCTATTTTTAGCTTATGATGCAATGGTATCCCATAATTCCTCTCTTTGCCCTTTGAACTCTCAAACCGGATTCACTCTCATATCTTACAAGTGAGATGATAACTAAGTGTCTACAGCCCCCGTGTTGGCAGGAGACACAATAAAACCTAGGAACTAAGTCCACCCACCTCCACTGATTAGAGGTAGCAGCTTTAAATTTCATGTAGCATGTTACAAAAAGCATCAGTGGCCAATCCAAAAATGGTCATCTCAGGATGTTTTATTTGCAACATGCATGAAAGACCAAATCATTATGTGATGTCATCAGACTAAAATTTGAATTCGCACAAAATGTTTTAATAGAGGTAACCCTTGCATTGTTACTGCCAATCAAATGACCATGGATGATGACATTTTTAACAGCATTCAATATATCAAAATGGGTTTAGATTTATTATGATGAGGCCAAACAATGTAACAACAGGAAACAGTAGCACTACTTACAGCTGTATTGTTCAACGGTCTCAATCAATATACGTTTGTTGTCCAGTGACTCAACGACCATGTCCATGTCCAGTGGTACTGGTGATCCCATCTGAAATGACCAAGTAATAAACCATTTCAACATGAATATTATACTGAGAAAATTGCCTTCATCCTCATAAAAACAAAAATTAACTACAATAATATATTTAAAATGTACCAGCTACGACCAAAAGTTACATTTTACTTAAGATTACTTCATAAATTAATTAATTCCGTGATTTAAATTTAAAAACTGTAAAAATTGTAAAATTTTTGTATAAATAAAACATACAAGCTTTTAATACAGTGTATAATAGGACTACAAAATAAATTATAATTATTGCTTTAAAAAAGGATAAATATTAGATTTAAAATGCTTTAATAAAGCCAAAAAGTTTCTGATGCTTTAGGAAATTGGATGCTTCAATCCCTCGTTCCGCAACCTTTATAGCCCACGACCCAAATTATATGTTAAGCACTCTGACGCGACCCATCGAACCCGAAGTGATTAAAACATCCATCGTTTTATGTGCGCGAGGGATAGCGGGAAGAACCACCCTCTTGATTCTTTTGTGAATTGATTAAAAGATATTATCAACAACACAACAGAACAGAATCACCATGTAAACCCATAAAAATGAAAATATAACTTGAATTACTTATTTAACAAAATCACGCAAGTTATCAAATTTTTCAATAAGTTAAAACTTTTTAAAAATTAATGATTAACAGACATTTTATTATAAATTCCTAGTGCTGCCAGAGATTTATGTGTTATAGGAAGACATAGACACATTAAATTTAAAAATGTTTTCTCAATATAATTTGCAGCTGAAAGCCTAACACACTGAAATGAACAAAACTAATACTTTAAAGTTGCCATAGCTGTACAAAAGTACAAAATGTTTTGATAGTATATTTTTAACATCAAACTGTGATAACGCACGCATAACAAAATTAAACTGACGCACTTGTCCCACTTAAATTCAACTTTCGTTTGCTGTAATTTAATTTCATTCGTTTTCATTCATGTTAAGTAAAGTTTTCACGATCTGAAGAGATTACACGACCCATAAATTTTTTTTCATAAAAAAACCCATAGGTTGCGGAATGGTGCTTTAATCCAATGTGAATGGTACAATTTTCTGTACATAATAATCGAGAGTAGCATAATACTATGCAAAACAGGTGCCAAATCTTTCCTTACTCTGGTGTGCGAGTAAAATATATATAAAAAAAGTATTGTCCCATGAAAATGAAAAAAAAAAATCATAACATTTTTTTTTTTTTGGCATTTTTCATGGGACAATACATCTAAATGAAGGATGTGTTACACATAGTCCTATCTACTGCTTTACTGAATTATTTTTAAAAGTGCTTGATAAATTATCTTGGTTTTGAAAAGAGGATACATTTACCACCCTTGAAAGGTAGAAACAATGGACAGGGTTTTTTTCCTTTTTATGAGTGGGGACATTTTTTACATGCACCTGTTGCGCAGATAACCCCACCCCCTGCATGCATGGCTGCTTTGAAATATAAGCTGATATATAGAACAAAATACTCACTAGATGTACCACCATGGCATCCAGGATCAGCTGGTACTTGTGCGTGATTGGCTTAAGGACTTCATACAACTTCTTTGTTGGCTTAGACTTCACTCCTATCACCCTCTTGTTAGGCAACTCAATTCTGCAATGAAATGACAGCAAAGAGACTAGTCAAACATCTTCAAAGCAGTGCATTGTTATCTGACAATCTTAAAATATACTGCCACCACTAGTTTGCATAACATTTTCAGTTATTTCATTTAAGAAAGGGGGATGACGTATAAGTGTGCAAAATGTATGTGTTCATGATCCAATGCTAATAATTGTTTGATTTATGAGAAATAGATATTTACACTTTAATATTAAACTTATCAAATTAACTATTTAAGTATATGTTATTATTTTTCTCTTTCACAAATAAATAATAATAATAATAATAATAATAATAATAATAATAATAATAATAATAATAATAATAATAATAGAATAATGGATAAGAACCTTGAGACTGTCTCAAATAATTCAAAAATGTTCTGTACGCTAATTGCACCCCCAGTGAGATAAATGGTATATTCCTTTGTAGAAGTATTCACAACAGGATCTCTCCAAATCGATACAGCAAACAACTTCCTGTCAATACTTCACCCATCCTTAAAGTGAGTGGATCTAAACATTTCCTTAAATAGCATCTTTTAGAAACTGAAATTAGTATTTAAAAATTCTCTATGATTTATTATGTTACATCTGCTGCTGAACAAAGAACAATGAAAGTTATTAAGTTTAATATACACTTTTTATTTCTCTAAAAGTTAGTTTCTATTATTATTCCAGATATTTAATGATACTTAGATTTTTTTCTATTATCAAACTGTTAAACCAATTATTATACTCTTATCATTTACTTATTATACTTATATATCTATTTAGAAGTTTAGTGTAAGTTTATATTAGATAATTTAGATTGTACCCTGCTTATATTCTGCTTTATTTGGTCATGTCATTTGCAGTAAGTTAAGGCAAGTGCAATAAATAAATCTAAATCTTTTATATTTAAGGAAGCTAAGAAAAGTCAGGATCGAAACCTAGCAAAAGCATCGATAGAGTACGTCATTTTAAATCACATTTTGGTGTGCTTTTGTTGGCTAAAATAATTGGCTTCCGGGAACGATTCTTTAAAACTTAAACCATGTGGTAGTAGAAATCAGCAAATAAACAAATATTCCATGTCAGGTCAGGCAAAATAGATTTCTCAATGCATAGTTTATAATAGTCCTTGGAAAGCTGGTGACCAACTAATGATAAGAAAGGATCTGAATAATAAGAAAAAGTCAGGATCGAAACCTAGAAAAAGCACCAATAGAGTACATAATAATAAAATCACTTTTTGGTGTTTTCAATGGCTAAAATCAATGGTTTCCTAGTTCTATGTCCAGTAAGGCAGGAAAGATTTCTCAATACATAGTTTTTAGTCCTTATGTTAGTTATCTGGTGACCAACTAATAAGGGATTTGAATTAAATTTTATGGAAATTGCATGAGTATGGTTATCTAATTTACTCATTCTATTACGTTAAGTATTATATCACTTTTTTAACTTAAGTATTGTTAGCATTGTATACCGTTGGTATCAAAGTTCATTGATGTAATCACTGCGACTGTGGAAACCTTTATTTCTTTGGTTTTATTCCACCAGCCTACCCGTTCAGTTTAATACGATTTGTAACGCAATCTTTCAGAAAAGACGTATGGATTGGTAAAGAAACATACACTATTTGGAAAAAACAGGTGAAGATTGTCTACCTACCATTTATTTGTAACAACCTAAACTTTTGTTATAGTTTTGTAATTTCTTGGAAACAGTATAATGAACAGTATCGATTTTATTGGGAGACATTTTTTATTTCAATATTCTAATCACATACAAATATTTTATTATTTTAATATCTTTTAAACAAATTAAATAGCTATAGATAATATTAATCAATTTCTATATATTATTACAAGATATTTTCTGCAACATACCTACGTTTTAATTATTGTAACTTTTTAATTTTCTTGTGATATTCTCACCATAGAAGAAATAAATTTCTTCCTTATCATCCCTGTAGGTATATGAAATAGACCATTTCAAAACAGTATACTAGGCTTTTGACTGTTTTGAATGTTAAATTCTGCTCTTGTTTGAAAGTTAATTTAACAGTGTTTTACTTGCTTGTATATATAATTATATATTTTATAATTTTTTACATAATTTTGTGCTAATAAATGTCTTATAACTAAAAGGAAATAACAGAGTATACACAGACAATTACAACGTTTCGTTTGAGGTTATTGTTTTGTCAATGATATAGAACAAAACCAAACAGAAGGAAACACATGAGACAAAATACACAAACAAATGGCAGTTTCACAGAAGGATGTAAAGCGGATAAGATTTATTCACAGGTAGGTAGGTAGGTAGACAGACACATAAGGTGACTAGGAAAAACAATGACTAAACAATGACTACATAATATAATAAATAGAATCACTCAAATCTCAATTGTAAACAAATAATATAATATATTAATTCTATTTTTAACCACTGTCTTGGTATAGATCAATGGACTGTTCCACTAAGCCCCAGCCCTTGGATATTGTTGCTTACAGTAGGTCCCACAAAATGACAGTGTAAAAATTAACGCAAACACATGCATTTGTGGAACAAACAGGTGAGTATTCCTGGTTCTATTTTGATTGGTCAGTTGACATGTTTGACACCTTGGAAAGGTCCATTACTGGTAGGGGACACATTTCTTCATGTTCTAAGACATTGAAAGAATCCTTCAATCCTCGGTTCTGAAAATGCTGCAATTTACGCTGATATCTATCAAATACGCCTATCTAACAGTATGAAAAAACCCTTTTTTGGAAGCAAATAATGCATGAAATTTATTTTCTCAAAATTGACAAGACTAGAAAGATGAAGGAGAAACAAAGATTGTACGAAACATGTAATAAATAATAACAATAATAAGTCAATCTTAACAAGTGATGCCAAGTTGGCTATGCACTTCACATTACAAGTACTTCAACAATGATTATTATATAATATACTACAAATACACATGATGGGCACACAAACATTAAGAGTTGATAAACTAAACTTATTATTATTTATTTGTGGTTTACCGTAAATGACCCAAAAAGCGCTGCAATGCTTTATATAATTATTCAAGATCGAGAAAGACATTTATTCAATGACAGAAGTGATACAATAATGCACGTTGAAATATCTACAATTCAATCCAATCTTTGACGTAAAATGCGTATTTTACTAAGTCTTGGAATAGCACACAAGATAGATGGCGCATTACAAGTGCTGTTTTATTCCTATTGTTAAATCCCAATGCACCAATTTGAGGGAGTGCTCAGGAAAAAAGAAACAAAAGAAACAAAGGAAGAAAAAAAAAAGAAGAAAAAGACAGAAGGAAAACATTTATTAGAAGTAAAGTGTATCTTTAATAAGCAATGTGGAGCTTTTTTCAAGACTGGTGTTTGGTAAAACCATTCATGTTTGATATGGCCCTTCTTCTAGAATGGCTCGTATTTGTGAGAGCTACGTATCATTTACCGTATGCATTAAATGTCAATGATGTTATTGACTAGGTTCGTTACTACAGAAAAACTTGTACTTCCTACACTTATGTGCTGGAGTGAGAGCCCTTTTTATACAAAATGCATTTAATAAGCTAAAAATTTCATATATAAATAGAATAGAAAGTTGAGTGTACTTCGAAAAGTTTGTACGACATTCAATATTAATATCATAGAAATAAGAATGAAAATAACAATGATAATATAAAAACAGATATTAAATATGAATATCAGGAAGAAATAGTTGATGAAAGCCAGCAAACACATCAGTACGGTAATGCCACTCACTTAAATAAAACCCGTTTCTCGATGACCACTTCCCGAGGGCCAATGTTCGCCATGTCCTGTTCCAGATCAACCACCTGTTGTAGACAAAAACAATTCAATCAATAAACTTTGACTTTTATACAGAAAAGAACATTTGCTAATACAGGAAGTATTAGATAAATTGTTTTTAATGCAGGACTCAAAGTTAGCAAGATAAAAATCTTTTATAACTATTATTTTTAATCTAAAATAGTGTTAATATTCTTTAAAAAAAAAAAAAAAAAAGGTTTGAACCAATCAATTATAGATGGAAATCAGGGCACTTAAAAAAATAAATAAATAAATAAATAACATTTATATAGCACAAAAGATTGGAACTCTCAGTTCTGCAAACAAATCAAAAGAAAAAGATGATTTTTGAGTTTTGTTTTGAAAATGTTGACAGATGTTGATGCACGGATTTCATATGGAAGACTGTGCTCGAGTTTTGAAGCTACAACAGAAAAAGCCCTGTCCCAATATGAAGATGTTTTAATGCGTGGTAAAAGTTTCAGGATCTAGTTAGATGAACAGAGAGTTGAGTTGGTAGAGAGTGAGATGCATTCATGAACATATGCCGGAGCACAATCATTTATGGGTTTGTATGTCAAAAGTAGAATAATAATAATAACAATAATAATAATAATAACAATAACAATAATCAATAATAATAATACTAATATCTCCGCTTCTGTATGATGGCTGCGATAAAATAATAAATGACACAAATGAATAAATTATAACAACAAAAACCATCACTTGAAGGATGAAGATTAACAATACTATTTACAGTACATACAATAATTATAGTACCATATACATCAGTCAAGATACTGTTTGTTGGATAAAGTCTCATCCGAGACATCTGGTTATATGAGTTTCCTTCACACATTAACTTTTATTTTGTCCCCCATCAGCACTGACTTCCGTGAGACAATTGATAATAAAATAATAAAAACATGCAAATATCATGAATTTGCAGAAGATATTTGAAGAAATTCTTGCTTTTTGTGGGTGTGCGAGACACCGTCCCGATTTCCGGCAGATTTCCAAAGCTTGCGGGAAACTTTGGACACCTGTTCTGATTTTTAAATCACTTTAAACTGGCAATAACAGTAACAATAAGATTTGGCAGGCATGCAGCATGCAATTTGGATTTTGATGCCACCATGTAAAGTGAAGTAGATGATGTGGCACAGGGTAATAGGCAATGAGTAATGAGATTTAACTGGGAACGGCAGTGTAGCGAGGGCGGTGCAGACAAGAGGAAATAAGAGACCGTGAGTAATAATACACAAGCTGGTAACAGACAGGTGGAAATATAAAACTACTGGGATGACAATGTAAGGAAGGTGGTAATACACAAGAAGGTATGAGAAATTTGAAATGGAAATGTACAGAGGATGGTAATTGTAATACTACTACTGCTATACTACAAATCTAGAGAATCAAGACTGAGATCGCAGCAATCTGGGAAATTATGAAGAGCACAGTATTAGGCAATTACCTCAACATTTTTTGTGAAAACAAATACAGCTTACATGCACTCAATGGGAACTATTGTGTACAACTACGTAAGACACCGCTTTGAACTGACAAAAGGAAATGTTTGGAAGCTATGGTTGTGGGTCAAAGATGAAACTTGAACAACTTAAATGACCATCCTATGGTTTATAAATAATACCTTTTGTCTTCCAATTGGGTAAAGCTGCACAGGTAGACAGATAACATAGGTATGAACGATTATATAGGTAAATAGATATTTAGCATGTGTAAGAATATCCTATGTTATAGTAGTCAGTTTAGGTTTTTAAATTCATTACAACAGAAATGGTCTCATGTAAAGAATGATTAGTAATATTTTAATGTGATGAGGCATGTAAATAATCTCAGTTTAAAATGCAAACAGTTACAAATAGCTGTAGAATCACATTCTTTTTAATTGTTGTGGTGCATTAAAAATAAAAATCAGGCTCATTGATAATGTTTGACAACTTATTTTTGAAATTAGCTTTACCTCTTTAGTGTCTGCGAAGAACACCTCCATGGCAGCCATTGGAATGTGTCGCTGCTCACAAATACTTGCTATGGCGGACCGCATAGTATATCCACGGCGGATCAGTACCCTGGTACAAGAGTCATTAGGAATCATGACACGCATGTAATGCTTAGATTGTTGAAGCTTCGCTGTCTGTTTTGGCACCTCTAACTTATTATCATGGCAAAAAACCTATAATTAAACATATGAAAGGCTTTTAAGTTAATGAATGAATAAATGGATGAATGTACGTATGAATAAATAGATGGATAAATGAATAAAGAATGAATAAATGAGTAAATGAATAAAAGGAAGAATGAATGAATACATGACAGAATGAATAAATTTGAATGATTGAATGAATAAATATTAAGATTAAATAAATTAAAGAATGAATGAATGAATCAGAATGAATGAACAAATACATGAATGAAGGAATAAATAAAAGAATGAATAAATCAAAGAATGAATGAATGAATCAGAATGAATGATGAATAAATGAATGAATGAATAAATAAAAGAATGAATGAATAAATAAAAGAATGAATAAATCAAAGATTTAATGAATAAATGAGAGAATGAATGAATGAATGAATAAAAGGATGAATAAATGAAAGAATGAATGAATAAATAACAGAATGAACAAATTAATGAACAAATGAATGAAAGAATGAATGAATGAATTAATTAATTATTGACTAAAAAGTAGAAACTTAAATTAAAACAGATTTGTTTTGTGGAAAATATACATTTATTTAATTTACTGATTACAGTACCTGACCAAAATCACCACTATTTCTTGCGTCTTCACTTGATGCGGAATTCTGGCGACTTAAGTTGTCCTTGGAAGAACTTGTCTTCCTAGTTCCTGTATTGTTTGAAAAAGTAATCACAAATTATAAAAACAAACATTTAGAAGTGCAATTCAGTTTCTTCTTGCACTGCTTCTTATAGGGGAATTGAGTAGTACCTAGATTTAGACATTTTTCCATAGTTTATATGAACCCATATTAACTTAAAACTTATTAACTAATTTATAAATTATCTTTCTTTCATGAAAGTAAAACGTTAAAAACTATATAACGCACAAAATACACAGAAAATGTTTATAGTTCAAACATTCATACAAACTGAAAGACATTAAGAAAAAAAAAAAAATCTTTTATTCTCTAAGCCCTCATAATGAGGCTTTAGGAATCCATAACCAGGGGCGGATTTAGCGCCGGCCACCACCCTTTTGGAAAGTTTAAAAAAATGAAAAAAAAAACTAAAGAAAGAAAAAGAAAAAATTGATCGCCCAAAATGCCTCAGAGATTATATTCGGGCGTCTAGAAAACAAACATTTTGCGGGGGAATGCCGGACCCCCTGGGGTAGTGTTATCTCAATCAGCCCCACTGTCGGTCCACATTTCAGACATCTTTGGATCTGCCCCTGATAACAAAAAAGCAGACATGGTTGAGGCAGCATATCATGACATTAATCAGCACTTTCTAAATCATGACTTGCTTTTCTTACCTGTCCACAACAGGAAAAAGATAATTGAAATATGAACCTTAGACGAGACTTTTTTTACACTTTGTTTAGCGAACCCGCTGACTGCAAATATTGATGATTTTGAATAAAAATAAAATATTATTTTTGGCCAATTAGCGCACCCGACGCTATGAAAAAGTGGAAATAAAAAAAAAAAAAGTTTTTCTTTATTTTTATTACGCCCTCCGCTGCCTTGAAATCTCCAAAGATAAAATATGTATATTTTTCTTCCTAATTATATAAATTTGAAGCATTTAACTATCCCATTTTTACATTCAGAAATAAAATTTTATTTTCATTGTCTCCTCCATCTGGATGATTTTGGCAAAATTATTTGCTAAATAAGGAAACTAAATTTTATTTTTATTTTTATTCCGTCCCAAATAATCTTTAAAAAATAAGTACGCAAAACAAAGAATAAAAAAAGCTCGCCTTATTTTGACCTCCACCAAGGAGGTTTAGGCCAAAAATTGTTATGTCTTGCTTAGCGTACCAGCCACCTGCCAATAAACATGATTTTGAATAAAAATTAAATTTTATTTTTGGCTAATAAATGTACCTGCTGCCACAAAAAATGGCAATTTTAGAATAAATAAGTTTTTCTTTATTTTTATTATGCCCACTGCCTCCTTGAAATCTCAAAAAATAAAAAATGCAATTTCTTCCTAATTATATACATTTAAAGCAATTAACTATCACATTACTACACTGTTTATACATTCATCAATACAAATTTATTTTTATTTCTCCTCCATCTGGCTGTTCTTGGCAAAACCATTTGCCAAACAAAAAAACAAAATTTTATTTAAATTTTTTTTTTTCTGAATTCCTATGACGATCTTGGAAAAAAAAGTTCGACTAAACAAGGTATAAAAAAGTCTCTTCTTATGTAAAGTAAACGTAACGCCTTGCCGAGCCAAAGGGCTAATTTGGGCTGGAACTTTAATAATTATAATTTTCAAGTAGAGTGAAGCGGATGAGACTATGTTGTTCTGCCTGGGTGTGACCTGGTCCAACACAGGTTACTCGCAGCATTAATGTGCTAGGACCCACTGACGCAGCTGGGTAGACTGAAGCAATGTAGAAAAGTGCCTTGCACCAGGAAGCAAGCTAAATGCTCAGCATAGAATTGAAACCCCGACCTCAAGGTTGGGAAACCAAACCATTTCCACTGCGGCAAACCGCTTCCACTGTGTCATGTCAATTTAGGTATAATAAATGCACAATTATGATAAACATCAATGTTTGAATTGTTTAATTTGTATATGGTATTTGAAAGTTTAGAAAATAAATAAAATAAAAAATATCGTCATCACAAAAATAACGCATAAGCAATATTTCTCCTTATCTTTCGGAGTAAAAAATCTGTAAACTGAAATGTTTTGATTTGTATTTTTGATGTTGATAACATTTAGTTATTATAAATGAGCAAAGTTTTACTTGAATTTTAAGGTTTTATCTATTTTTTTAACTGACTGTATTATCATAAACTTATAGTATTAAAAATTGAAAATTACAAAAGAGATTATAACAAATAATTTGGAAATCAACTTGCTAATTTTGCATTCAAATATTAACTCCAGCATAGAAATCATTGAACTTAAAAAAATGTGTATCCTGATTTTTATACTAGATAATGATAAAAATAATAAAAACACTTACAGTGATTAGAAATGTTTCTGTCAGTTTTTGCTGTCAAAGTAAATACTAATTTCTATGTTCAAGTTGATAATTTTTATGTTACTTCGATATGAGCAAGTTAATTTTAAAAAATGGTTTTTTTGATTTTTTTTGTGAATTTTTCATGGGATAAATACTAAAACTATAAAACATACTTCTATTCCAAGGTAAAATTGACTTCTTCCATTTCTTGCTATCAGAATGAGAATTAATAGTACTCTCATCGGACAACGAAACATTACTTGAAAGACTTGTCGGTATTCGGTCTTTGCCTTTACCCGTTACTTGGTCATTGCCATTGCTATCAGAAACTTGGATTGGTAGAGGGCGTCCTTCCATCTCCGCCATAATACACTCTTTATACAGGTCGCATTTTAAAAATCTTGCATAGCTGTCGTATTTCATCAGATGGAAGATCTAAATAAGAGAAAAATGTTTAAAACATAACACTATAATGAAAATAAAGCTAGCAAATAAACTGTTGTATGCCCATATATAGTCATGATGTGCCTATATATGGTCATGATGTGATGTCATCATGACCATATTTATGCATGTCAAAAATAAAAGTTGATAGTCTTAACAGGGCATAAATAATATAAAACATTTCTTTTTTTCTTAATGTTAAAATAGGTACCCAAAACACATAGAACCCTTTTGAGATGGACAACAATATGAAACTTTATTCTCATTCAAACAACAAAAGTTGACTATTATGTGTTACCATGGAGGTATACTAGCAATGGTTAAGATAATTTTATGCATAAATTGACCACATGTGACCCTTTTTATTATGGACACTGTGCCATAAGGTATTCTCCCTGGTGGGCATGATGTTCTTCTGAGATTGAGGGCAAAGTTCATATACGAAGGCTTCAGCCCAAGAGGGTGCAGACTAATCATTCAATGTTCACGTAACTCAGACCCACACTTTCAACATTGATACCATATTGCACAACAAAAAAAAGAGTTAGACAATCTAATACTAACAACCTGACTATAAATATAAAATTTACCTCATGTTAAATAAATAATTTAATAAATATTTTACAGATTGTGATTGTCTTAAAATGTTATTTATTTATTGTTTGTTCTGTATTCTTTTTATAATATTTTTATTTTAACTATTTTGAATATTATCATGATCAAAGAATTACTTGTTCTTGATCATTATGACCAAAACATGAAAGTCAATAAAAAAAAAAAAAACTGTTGTAAAACAAAGAAATAATAAGATTCAGATAGAAGTGAAGTTGCACCGTGTAAATTTCTATTGGTATTCATTTCTCACTCATTGGTATCACTTAAAATACTTTACAAAAAAAAAATATATATTAATATTTACTCTATCTTTACATAAAGTTCAAAAGGAACAAATGATGACTGAATGTGATACAAGCATACAAGCATGATTGTTCATAGCATGATCTAAAGGATAAAAATTACACAACACAAATCTAAAGTAACTAAAACATGTGATGGAAAACACTTTATATGAAGAGTAAAGTGAATGTGATTAAACTGTACAATGACTGTACTTTCCTACCCACTAAAAAAAAAAAAATAAAAACACAATGGTTAAAATGTTTACAAGTAGTGATCAATGGATGATTTCCCCATAGACTTTAGTACCCTTGAGCAGTCCATGGGCAAGAAATTATAAGCAAGTGGTCCAGTGTATAACTCGGAACAATGTAAACTTTACGCCAATTAAGAATTGGATGCTTAGAAAATCTACAATAAATATACATAACAGGAAATCTACTTACTCTAAGCACCTGGTAAAGTAAAAAACAAAAATCTAAAAGTTAGTTCGTCAAGCATGGGTACAGTTTACAATTTTCAAATAACGCCAAATAACAAAATTACTTTTTTTGTCATTTTCATCTCCATTCTTTTGGCCCAGAGTATATTTTGTGTTACCATATTTATTATTTCAAAATTGTAATGCCAAATTGCAAATTTCCAGCACGTTTTCTGCAAGGATGCTGCACAATTAAATGAACTAGCATGACAACATGTAGATGATTTGTTGGATTCAAATACTTAAAAGTCCTCCAAAGTTGTGAAGGAAAGTAAAATTAAGAGCACAGTGATTTTTCATGAAACAAATTGCTTTTATGTATCGATGAAAACCACAATATGAATTTCAGTGGAAATGGGTTGAGCATGGTTTTGGAAGGAAATTTAGGAGGTAATAGAGGGACAGAAATTCCAGGAACAAACTGGATGAGCAACGTCATGGTGTGGACAACGACGAAGTATGGAGAATGTGTGAGTATGTGAATGTATGTATGTGAATGTGTTTTTTATCAACTGTTTATCTCTTTCTTGCTTTTTACTGTAAAGCTGTTTGTTTTTACTTTGATATGAATTTTGTATTTCTGGGATGTTTTTCCTTTCTTTTACTATTTTGTTAAACTCCCTGATTTTTCTGTTTACCTTTGCGTTTCCTTTTTTACTTTTGTTCAATTTTACTGTATCGCTTTTTTGATTAGTTAGTCTGGACGCACCACTGAATAGTGCGTGCCACCGTTGTAAAAATGCGTGCCAATAAAAACTGAAACTGTGAGAAGGGCTGAAATAGAAAAGGATGGAGATCCATGGTCATCGAACTGCTGAGACCAGATGTCACCAACAGGTAACAGGAAAACCACACAAGCCACACACATACTGAATGAAAAACTGAAGAAGCTTATTTTAACAGGAGAGGTATCTATAGCGAGGGACGTTAGAAATATTACATAAGCCCAAAGGGAATTTCAGTGATAAGCAGACCACAGGACCACTGACAACATTATAGTATATTATCAAGTACACTTTTACAAAAATTAAATTACATGAAACCTACAGAAGTTTGAACAAACAGTTCTTAATTTATTAAACATATTTAATAGCAATTAACAAATCTGACCAGATTTTTCTAAGAATAAAATACTGAATCATGCTATCTCAAACCAAAACACAGAATACAGTCGAAAAACGAGACCAAAAGTCTGCTAAACAACGAAACATGACATTACATTAGTAATTAGAGCAGTTTAGGTAAAGTGGTTATCATTCATAATCTTTTATTCGGTATTCAGAACCAACAAGTTTAGAAACTGAAGCAAAGCCCTATGGACCATTTCATTGGGTCTATTTTGAAACAGCACCACCAATGTCTCCCAACTTTTCACTGAGTAGCTTCCAGCGGACTCTGCCTGAGCAAATTTTGTTTTTCTAGACACATATTTTCCTTTGAGTACTTTGACAACCAACAACACTGCAGGTTTTATGCGGCCCTATTTTCTTTTCATTCTGTTTTCAAAGACTCTATTGCCTGCTGTTAGGTCACGATACCACGTGATACTACTCCGCTGCTTTCAGCAACCCAAAATTTGGTAAACAGGATCCATGGTCTCCACTGACAAACCAATGATCTAAATTTCCAACTTTAAATTATTAAGATGTTGTATCTTAATTTTTCTTTATAAATTTTAATTTGTGTCCGATAACTAATATAATGCGAGCTTTTGTGTTTTTAGTACATTTTGATGGTAAATTAAAGGTTTTATCATTATGTTAAGATATCATATCATGTCATATAGAAAAAAAAAAATATAGTAGTTTGATTAAGATCTTTTTGAGTTGCACCAACTCATGTGTATTTAAAAACTTCAAATGTATAATAGCCTATTAACAAAATCAACTAGAGTATCTTGATAGATGTCACTTTACAAGTCAATGTCTTTTTTGATGGCTTAACATCGCCAATATTGGCCTCTTCACTATAATTCTTTAATTGTACCGACATGTGGAATAAAGAAACAAAGATTATTTTTATTTCCTTTACAACCAATAGGAAGTACACTTACTACTTATAGGATGGAATAATGTTTTATAAGGCCAAATAAAAAATTCTATTAGTTTATCACCCTCACACACATGTCTTCTATGTATTTAAAAAACCAACATTTTTGAAATTTCCTTTTTTGGAAAATTTTTTTTTTTTTTTCATTTTTTTAATTAAATAGTTAGTAGATATTGTTTGTATTATCTCATGTATCATGTTTTACTCTGAATACCATGCACAACAGAATGGTGATATTTGGCTTTAGCAAAAATAAAAAATATAAAGCCCCAATCCCTCATTACTTTTCCAACCTAGATAGGGTGATAAACTAATAATATTTTTTATAGGGCCTAAACCAAGGACGACCTATATCGTTGCTAGTGATGTAAAGTATCAAAGTAAAAAGGTGTCTGAATGCTGTCGAAGTTTGGGAATATTTGGATTACAACTGTTTACCAAAGTCTAGCCTGAATAGGGTATTAGACGACACAATAACCATGAATTGCATACAGGTCTCCCTCCAATTAAAAACTACTTTTAGGGTTTCCAGGGTCTTTAGCAACTTTGGTCTTTAATTAGAATACTAAAGATAAAAGACATTATTGTGAATTTGGGATCATAGATAAGTGGTCTTTACTTGGAGGTAGCCTTAATCAAAGGGGTCTTTAATTAGAGGGAGACAAGTATGTACAAAAAATGATAGTTATGACCGTGCTACCTTAACACGAAGATGTGAATATTTTGTGGAGAAAAATATCAATTTTGGCAAAAAAAATATCGTCAATCAAATGCGAAAAATCATGTTAAGATGATTTTGATGACAAACCTGTTGCTGCGCATACTGGTATGTGTGTGATGTCGGTGAACTGAGGTTATTTTCAACCATCTGTTTTACCGTGCCGTCTAAATTGACCGGGTGAATTGCACTCTCCGTTAGAAATGTGTTGTAGATTTCTTGAGCCTTCTTTTTGATCTGAGAACAAGATGGTAATAAGTAATTTTATATTAAAAGAGAATGGAAGTTAAATTATAAGTGTCGAATATGGAAAATCAATCTGATTCAGGCCTGAAAAAAAGTATTGCACTGAATTAGAAAACAGCTGCTACACCAAAAGTTTGGTTGTACACACAGCCCAAACAAACAATCTTAAAAATATGCCTTTGGGAAGATGTGTGATGCCTCTGACCACCAGTTGTCCAGTCTTTCTTCTTATCCAGCCCCGATCTATAGGATTATTTCCTTTACATTAGAAAACACCAGGATTTCCTTTGCAGACAAAAATTAACTCACAGGTCATCTAAGTCTTATAGACAAAAGCAAAGTATTCACGCCACACTAAATGACATCTCACAGGCTAGAATCAAAGTATGTTAACTTAGCAAAACTGGGAAAATATTCCCCTCATCCAAGAGAACTATGAACAATTCATTTCTCATTTTTGCAAATGTGACAATATCTTGACTCATACTGTACTTATGTAGATGTTTATTTTATTTTTGACATGATTGCCATAGGCCTAAAATCGTACCCTGGCAATAGACAGAATTGAACCATACATTTTAAACTTGCTCTTAGCCAAGCTCTATATTACCATGTAATAATTTTCAAAACAATGTAATAATTGACAACGGTGGAATAAACAATACCTTGGATCGGTTTGTTAACTTGCTAAACTTCTCGCATGCAATCCAAAATAGGATGTTTTCCTCACTGAATTCCTTCTTCAGGAATTCCTGAAAGATATCGAATGAAACAATGTTAATAAGGAAAGGGTGACTACAAAGCGTCAGACAGAGGCCTGACTTTGTGGTTGAAGTGCTCACTTTATAATATCAGAATCCCTGGTCAAATCCTGGCTTTTCAAATATTTCTCACAACTAAAAACAATTATTATTTATCTTTGAAGTTTATAGTTCAATGCTTCCATTTTGTACTAAACTTTTTCTTTTTTGATAACATTTACCACAATTTTTTAACGATAACATATATACTCAAATTAGGAAGAAAATGAAAGTAATTTTTTTGACTTCAATGTTTTTTTCCCCAACATTATACATGAATCTGAAATATAAATCTGAGTTTTTAAATTATTTTCACAAAATTTTACATCTTGTATATATATCATATTTGTCATTGTTCAATCATATTATTATTTTATTTTGTGACTATGACATTTATATTTAGAGGTCAATATATGGGCCTCTGTATATCAGCCTAGCTGCAAGAGTAGCCTACTGTATGTATAGTTCAAATAAATAAATAAATATGTATCAATTTACAAGTTTTATCTATCTTTCGGTGATCCGGGGCCTCTCTCATGTCATACTACTACTAATAGTAATGCTATTTTAAAAAATAATTAAAATTTTCCAACACAAATGTACAGTATATATATCTCAATGTTTATTCTTGTATTTACAGGTTACAAAAATGTATGAGGTTTAAACAAGCAAAAACTCACCAATTACCTAATTAGTGACATGTTGTAGGAGATTTATCTTAAACAGAAAACTAATGTGTACATACTGTAAAACATACTACTCCCAGCTCATCAGCTAGCAGACGATCAAAGCTGACAGCCCAGCCAGACACCCTCCTGGCACATTCCCTGGAGCGTCCATGTATGCTGAGGCTACTGGTTGCACTTGATAAGCTGTTGGTACGTAATCTAGGTTCACCATTTGGCACCTCTGTTAAATAAAACATTAAAAGAGTATGAAAACAATATGGAAAATAACAAAATTATCAGGCACTCTGAAACTTATTCAGTTTTAAGGATGTACAAATTGCTATCATTCTTATCTTAAGCTCATGACAAATGGACATATGAGCCATACATAATAATAATAATAGTCCCAACAATAACAACAGTTCTTTTCAGAACTATCTACATGGTGTACCGCAAGCAATTAATATACTGTAATAATAATAATAATAAACGTGTGTATTTGTATAGGGCCGGTATCCATCAAAGATGATGGTCCTGGCACTTCGTGTGTGGAACTAATAGCTCATTCAGTGAATTTCTTCATCCCTAATGGCGATGTTGTGTCTATAATACTGCTAAACTGGTACCAGCTAATCTTACTGTCTACCCAGGTTATCTGGACCAGTACTATAGGGTTTGTGTCAACTTCTCTCGAATAATGTACTGGGTTTTTTAAAGAGCACAAACCAACTGTGTACACTGGCTACGAGTTATAGCCCTTATCCCAAAAGAGTTGTTATACCACCAGAATAAAATGGACAAGCCAGCAGATATACCAGTGCTGACATAGCTATAGGTTACGGCACCCATGCCTTAACTGCTTGACCAATAAATAAAATGAATTAGCAGGAGATGGGTTAGTTTCCAGGAAATTTTTTTCTTTAATAATAATAATAATAATAGTGTAGTTTTATATAGTGCACATATCCATCTTTCTCGGGAGATTGAAGAAAGTCATCTTGATTTCCGGGGAAATTCCCGCGTCTTGTGTGAGATTTGTGACTCCCGTATACATTATCAATTGAATTACATTACAGTACATTGAAATGTTGTTTAAATAAATTTTATTAAATGGCGCAAACACATTTACATAGATATTATGTTGTAATTTATTTTTCAAAATATTCTTACCAGAGTCAGATGCAGCCATGGACTGTAAAAAAAAAGAAGAAAACGTAACATTAACATTTGCTATTTATTGCTTTAAATTAGATTATACAACAAACAGTATCAAATTTTAAAAACAAATTGTTAAAATGGTATGCAAACACATTTATTTAAGTTTATGTGCAGCATGGTATAGGTATGCCAATACTACCACTAATAAAACACACTAATAAAATATAGTAATTGTAACAAATATATAAATATATTATAAAACTCATTAAACATAAAATAGTAATGACACACATTAAGAATTTAAATGGAGTGAAGAAAAATATTTTAAACACGGAAGAACTTTACACTAGGGGAAAAAAATCACAAAATACAGGAAGTTGTAAACAATTTGCTAACAAAGTACAGTACCACTACAGTATTATTAAATCCCAACCATATATGTTATCTACTTTAGAACAATTATTTATTATAGCCTACAAGTACATCCTAGATAAAAATCTAAGCTGTAATTCTTGCAATAATTGTCAAGCTTTTCCAAGCATGTATTGTGCAATCCATTATCATTACAAACTGTATTAATAATTTCATAATCATTCTTGAAAGTTCACACAAAAAAGCTGGTCACCACCCACCCTGGTTGAGCATAAAAATGGGTCAAATGGCCAAGGCGAATTTTTGATTTTCCAAAAAACCTAATCGACTGCTTTTATGCTCAGTTTTAATATTAATTTTTACAGATGATCGGTGACGTGCCGTAAAAAACAAGTGGTTTTCTAGCCAAAGATGTTTAGCGGGCTGCGTACATAGGGTTTTTAACTATTTTGCCTCAATAAAATCACAGTTGAGCCGCATGTGACCCAGACTTAGAATATGGTCTAACAAGCACACAATACTTTTTATCAATACAGTGAAACCATGAAAGTATAACTTGTCTCACGTAATTATCCACTTACAGAATGAAGTACTATATGTACCTAAGCTTTTAATTACCCTTAAATTCCATTACACTTTTTTTTTAAAGAGAACTTTACTTAAATTTCTATAAAAGTCCACAACACAACTACTTGAAGCCTTACTTTAGAATTCTTTCCCATTTTCTGTCTCATTGACGGTGACAGCATAGGCAAGCAGCCACGAACCACTAACTCATCATCTTCATACATATTTTAATGGTTAAAAACTAGGAAATAAATATTTACTGGACTTGTCAAGCTTTGATACCATAACACTGAAACTGATTCCACAACTTTGCAGCCAGCTATCCTTAAACTAAGCCTCCTAAAAAATCAATTCCAGTCATTCGTTTGGACTAGCTAGGCACCAACTGCTAAAAACCACGCTTTATCTGTTCGAAGGTTCACTGCAGAGTGCAGGCCTATGTGCTAAGTAGTAGAGGATATGACCTTCCATAGTAACTAACTCTTTTATTCCAAAAGGAAATGGTAGAAGGCTACTTCCTATAAACCACTTTTCTTCTGAAGGAGTTAAGATTAGTACAATGTAAACACAGGATGTAAAATAATAGATGACATCAATTCTCATATACTCAAGAGACCTATACAAGTACTATATATCTATATAATTATTTATATAATAAATAGTCCATTTATTATTTCATTATTCCACTTTTTAATTTGTTGATCAAAATAGCGGTATTAAGATAAAATGTATAAAATATCTTTCCAAATCTACAACAGCATGAACTAGACAGTGTTCTCAATTCTACCATCCAGTCCCACACACAACCTCTTATACCCGATTCACACGTGAAGTTAAATCTAACAAAAAGTACGAAATTGTAAACGAGCCATCTCCGAGTCATTCCTACCGAGATAAAGCATTTACATGCGTTTGTAAGGTAATGCCAAGGTCGTGTAAAATTTATTCAGTGTTTATTCAATGAATCATTTTTGCCCCTACTGCGATATAGACCTAGCCTAGGCCTAGTTGAGAATCCCTGTCACAGAAGGACTGTTGAACTCACCATCACAGTAAACATTCAAAGCAATCAATGCCCTTAACTGCTGTACTACTACTACTACACTAGGCCTAGGCCTAGCTTTCGAGTTTCTGTCGATTCTTGATAATACTAGTAATAGTATTAATACCATCCCGACGTTCATTTATGTATCTTTTTCTTCTACCATGCTAATTAACATCGATAACAAGGGTAATTCATCCATCATTGAGAAAAACTAGGCCTATCTAATTCTAGTGGATCGAAATCATCTGCAGCAGGAAGAATATAAATTCAAAGAACCCCGCGAAACACAGTAGGAGTCGATTGTTGTTATGTTGATATTCCTGCACATGCACAGATCCATCCTTGCTACATCTCGGAAGCTTTACCAGTCTCAGCGAGACTGGTAAACATTACCGAGATGTTCCGAGATTTTGCAAGGATATTACACGTAGGTACTTTCACACGTGCCGTAAAATGTTACTTTTGTTTACATTTTGTTACATTTGATAAGATTTTTGTACGTGTGAATTGGGTATTATTCACACACTATTTTCACTACACTTGTTGTTGGCCCTGTATTTAAGAACGCAATACCATCGTCTGTAAAGAACTTAGATATTTTTTTTAAACATTTTACAAATCATATTCAATCAAGTACTGTTCATTATTAAATTATGGGCCTTCAGGTTTCCCCCCATTTAAAGACCACTTTTAGGACCAGCATTTTCATTGGTCTTTAGCAGCATTGGTCTTTAATTAGGGAAAAATTTTTTTTTTAAATATGTAAGGTAAAAATTTATTTGGGACTGCAAAAATGTGGTCTATTAGAGGTGGTCTTTTATTGGAGGGGTCAAGGAGACCAATAGTTATAATTCATTTCATTGTATTTTGCTACTTGCTATTATAAGCAATTGCTTTTTGGTTATGCATAAGGTATGATGCTTTGCAAGTGAAATAAATAATCAAGTCAATATGAATACTGCAAGGACTACTCAGAGGCGTATGCGAAGCATCAGAAGTGGAACGTGAAATTTCAACATGGTTTTATTTGCAAGAAAAACAGCTACCCATATTTCTCGACTGAGACGTCAGTGGGAGCTGTAATTTGTATGGCAAGGAGATGGTGCTACCCTTAATTCGTATTAAGGAAATTTATGACCACAAACCTTGTAGTTATTATTATTTTGGTTATAATATAAAATTTATATTTTTTGGTGACGTCACATTCACAATATAGTTAGCATGCATACGTTATAAGCTAAATTATGTCACCTTTTCCTGGCAAAGCAAACTTTCCCGGCGTGCTTTTTTCATGGATAAACAAACACCACTGCTTTGCACATGGATGCCTTGCCTAGCTAGGGCTACAAGAGCCGCATTGTTAGCATTGTATATGCCTTAAACAAGGTACTGTACGTCTGCAACTAAATTATTCTTAGTTATTTTTTTTTTTCTTATTTTAATTTATTTCTTTCGAAAGTGTACTTTATATCACATATAATTACACTGTCTACTTAGGCCTAGGATAGGCCTAGTCTTATTATGCCTCATCGTCCCCTGCTACACAGTACATCAGTAGGCTAGGGCTAGGCTAGGGCATCCCCCTCCCCCATGCCACAGTACAGACGTTTGCTAGGCAACAGAACGTGATTGCACCTTCCTTCCCAGGTGTTCATGTAACATTTGCATATTGTTAGCTAACCAGTTGTGTGTATTCCTTTGTGAAAATGAGTACTGCGGCGTACTCATTTTGACAAAGCATTTGCATCCCCTCTTGGAAAGAAGGAACTTCGAAATAATTGTCTCCATATCTTCACTAATTAATTACCGTAATTTAGCTTACACTTATGCATGGGGGGAGCACTTAAAATGTAGAATAATCATTTCACTACCCAACAAACCCCAAACTTTATTCATGCATTACATAAATAGTTTCATCTTCCTGTACTCCAACATCACTGGCACATGGTAACAACCAACTGACTGCAGACATTCCCGTTCACACATTACTCTCCATAACGCAGCACCCCCTAGTTCCATCACCTCTTGATGAGCAACTTGAGATGGCGAATGTACTATGTTAGGATTTAAGTTCATGTCATTCTTCAGATATTCTTCTTGACAGAATTATGTGTAATTACAAAAAAGAAAACACTTAATTCCAATGTCTGATATAATGCATACCATTGGGCCATAGATCTCCCTCCAATTAAAGACCACTTTTGGGACTGGGGTTTTCATGGGTCTTCAGAAGGTTTGGTCTTTAGTTAGATAAATAAATTATTAAAAAGATATTGTACAGATAAAACATTTATTTGGGACTGCAAAAAAAGTGGTCTTTCGTTGAAGGGATCAGGGAGACCTGTAGTTAATAATAATATTATAATAATAATAGTTGGATTTGTATAGCACATCATGCGAAAAAGCCTCTATGCGCTTGGTGATTGAGCTCTTTGAGTTTGACATTTTGAAAAAAATTTATGTTATTTTATGAAACTAAAAAAGCTACTCCTTAAACTATGGCATGGTTGGCCGTTGGCTCCGAGGATTTCATCCGCCCAAGTTAATCATTTTATTTCAATGTATATAATACATACCATTTGTTCATCATATATGCCCATGGGCCTTCTTCTAAGCTTCTGTGGGGCAGGTGGAAAGATAATACCATCATAGTTCCCTTGCATCTTTGGCTGAGGGGACAAGTCTGTAAAAGACATTGGAACTATAGGCTTGGCTACAGTCACTTTGGGTTTAGGCCACTGCATAGGTGACTGGCCGACTGCTGAATCAGTGCGAGGCAGCTCTGGTAAACCGTATTCATTGCTGATGAGGGGCTGCATCTCCGACTGTAAAGAGTCTAGACTTGTCCAACGTTCCTTTCTGCTCTTTTGCTTTTTACTGTAGAACAACCGAGACATGCTGGAAACAGAGGCAAATCTTCTTATGGTGTCCTCTTCTCCCCAGAACCCGGATTCGTCATCTTCGTTGATGCTTTTCAGTGACGTACTTCGTCGTGAATACGACCACCTGAGAAGAAACTTCCTTGTGTTATGCAAGATTCCTTGAAGTTG